ATCCCACACATGTCTCCTCGTGATCGGGTCCATGCCAGTAGTCTGCAACCCATGTATGACAAGCACGCATGTGTAAAGGAACGGAACTTAGATAAATTAACATCAATAGAATATTGAAAGTAACAAACCGGTTCGTCCAGGAAGACCAGCTTTGGATCACCAATGAGTGAGACTGCAACACTGAGTCGGCGTTTCATTCCTCCACTGTAACTTCCTGCCCTGATTTTCCCTGCTTCTGTCAGTTTTACCTCCGCTAGTGACTTCTCAACCATCTGTATGATGGGAAAGAAACATTTTAAGCGACAAAAGAGGAAAAGTATTCTTGATTTGAAGTAACCAACCGACTCATTTCCACCATTAGGGTGACATACCGAGTTGATCGATGCAGGTGGCAACCCTTTGATGCTAGCAAAGAGTTTGAGGTGTTCTTCACCAGACAAAGCATCCCAAAGAATATCAAACTGTGGAATGGGAATGTCAAAAAGCATTTAAAGCATAACAAATGTCTGTAACTAAGGCAAATGTCAGAAGAAGATAGCAACAGAAAAAATGGCCCACCTGAGGACAAACTCCAATCATTTTACGGATGTTGGACATACCAACAGAGCTTCTTATAGAATTTCCATAAATTAGTGCTGTTTAACCAATCAGAGAGATTTTAGTATTGTGAAAATGCTTAAGACACTAGCTTCTACGCAACAGAAACAAGGAATAGTGGAAGCTTCATCTTACCATCACCACCAGTAACTGGAAATAAGCCTGTCAAACAATTGATAGTAGTTGTTTTCCCTGCGCCATTCGGTCCAAGAAGACAGAATAATTGATCTTTGGCAATATTCATCCACAACCCCTGATTATACTCCAAAAATTAGTATCATGGAAGAAAACACAACCAAGTCCTAGCCATAGAATGGTAAGATTGTCATTTGGTGAACATTTTTGGTATAGAACAGACTCTTTCATGCTAAATTGCAATTAACAAACATAAAAAGGTCATTTTTTCAAATATGTTTTCTTAAAAGAAATACCTTCAGAGCATGAAAAGGGGGAGTTTTCTTGCATTTACAGCATCCAAAATTCGTCGTCCCAGGATAAGTCTTTGCAAGACCACGTATTTGAACTGCAATGTTGGGATCAACTAAACCATCCATTGAATGTTGTTTAACTAAAGTTTCCTCTTCAAGGACATCTTCGTCATCTGGTGTAATGTGATCCACAGGTGGGACTGAACCAGTACAACTACAAATTCCACCTTCTGTTCACAGTAGAAAAGTTTAATTAGGATCACATTTTGACACAAAAATTACAAATGAATACAGAAACAAGACTGAGGAGAAAGTACCTTCTACTCGGTTGCCACCTTTACCGGTCCAGTAACCAGGTTTTAGAAAGTAAAAGATAGATTTCCTTACACCAGACGCATTTGGAGTAATATTGTCAAAGTAAAGAGCCAAAACAAACCACAAAAAGAATGTCCCAAGAAGCCACAAGTAGATATCATTCTGCCAAAACCAAAAAGTAACGATCAGAGAGACGATTGCACACAGTTATTAGATGGAATTTGTTTTGAGAGTTGACGTACAATTGTAATCACACAATCAGTGCCCTCGTTGGGTCCGCATTCTGCTCTCTTACTCCAACTAATACCAGGATCTTGAGGAGTTGAAGTTGCATCAGCAAGCAGCTTTAGACCCTGAGAAAAGGTATTGGGTGGGAACAGTGACCAAAGCGACCTGATCATGCGAGAATACTTCTTGGCATAGGGAAACCCAGTTGATGTTGCAAGCTGCAGTTAGATTTATGATTAGTAACAGTTCATAATTCTAAGAAACAATATCATCTATTTGTTTTGCCTGAGAACGGTACCTGTGTTACAAAGCCAACCAGAAACACAAAGAACCCGACAGTTGTTGCTGAAGATGATTTGCTGATAAAAGCTGATAGCATGAATGCTAGTCCAATCTAGCACCACAAACAATGAAGATAATAACTTGACTGATGTGCCAAAAGAGGTAAAAACATTAGTTTTAGAAAGAGAGTTATACCAGATTTAACTGGAAAAGCATGAAAAGTAGGAAGACAACAGGGAAACTGTTCTTCAAGAAAAAGTCGAACTGGAACATCATTCCAAAGAGAACGGTCAAGAGCGCCGAGATGGCAGTAAGAATTCCTTCCCATGTAAGCCATGACAACCAATAAGCAGTGTCAAAAACACCCATCATCGTCATTGCCTGTTGCAAAACAAAGGATCAATGTACTATATACACTTCCGTAACAGCTTAAACAGAAAACAACGTTATACCTGGCGAAGTTTGAGCTCTTTCTCAGTAATCAAAGAACTAATCTGAAGTACAAAACCAAACATCGCAACAGCAAGGAAAAAAGTCGGTCCTATAGTGTCCAACGCAACAATAGCTTCGATAGTTGGGTGAGGAAACTCCTTAAACCCAACAACCCAATTAAAGTTTGGATCTGCAAAACAAAATAACAACTTCCCAATGTCAAAAACTAAACACTTGATACCATAAACACAAAGATTCATCAAGATATGCATTACCTCCTATTAAAGACCTCGCGATTTCACGCTCAGCGGCAATTTGAAGCGGTATCTGAAACTTGAAAGTGGGATCTTCAAACCTTCCTCTATTCATCTCTGGTGTTGAATTAGTTTGAATACCATAACTAATTACTGTAGCATTTCTTTCCACAAAATGCAAAGCTCCTGGAACTAGCAACGGGTTCGCCATAAGCCACTTATCTACCGCTTCAGGATCCACGAATGATCGAACCTGAATCGACAACATAACAAACAAACAACCAAACCAACAAACAAAATTACAATTTGCATATTTAACTTCCACTATAATTCTCAAAACCTTAACCTAACAATTTGGTTCTCTATATCTATGACATCACTAAATTTCTATTGACATAACAATCAAAATCTACTCTAATTTTTTTTTTTTTTGGGTACAAAAATCTACTCTAATTTCTCCTGAAGAATGCTTAATTACACAATTTGACAAAATCAAACAATGAAAACTCGAATTTAAGATTTACAATACCTTCTCAGAAGGAATTGGTCTTCCAGGATTATTCTTCATAATCGCATTAACAATCTGAGTCACCTTGGGGCTACGATTTCCGCTCCAAACAAAGTCATAGCACGGAAGATTCACGAAGAACTTATCTTCACAAGGCGGAATCGGCGGCGAAATCAACGCCGTCGGATCCGTAACAGTTTTGAGAGCCGTGGAAGACGCAAAGCTCTTCTCCATAGCTTCTTGGATACAGAAGATAAGGAGAATGAAGAAGAAAGAAGCGAAGAGCTGAAGAAACGTGGCTCGTTTGCTTCGCCATGAAAGAAGAAGGTTTTTCTTGAACAACGCCGTGTACTGTTGCAAGAGAAGAGGCAAACCTCTCTGCAACGTCATGGCTTGAGACGTTTTTTCGAATTTTTGGGAATCTTACTGTGATCTGAATTTTTGATTGGAGGGGATGATTTAAGGGAGGCGTAAGATTTTTTTTATATTTATGACCCTGGATTTGTAAGGTATTTACGAATTTGCCACTCATGTTTGCCTGCGAAACTACCTCGAAAAAACGTAATGATAAATTAATAATTTGGTGGTAATTATTTACATTAAGGCTTTGACTGTAAGCAATTGTTACTAATACATTATTTAACATTGAAATTATTAAATTGTAGATCTTTTGGGGTATTTTCGTAGATAGATGCTGTAATCGTTGATATTCAACACTTTTAGAATTTTTGGCTTCGTAGATTTTACAGAGAAAAATAATGAAGTGTGACATTGATTGATATAATAATCCTTGGAACAGTCCAACAAGCTAGCCATGTTCAAACTTCCGAATCATTTAATTTGAAGGTCAAAGAATGTGTAGATGATATATTTTGTCAAACAAGAGATCTAATTTTTAATGTGTACTTTTCTGTGTACTAATTTAAAATGTTGTGGTTACTTTCTTCTATGTCAGTTTCGTGAAAAAATATAAAAAATGAAGACATTTTTGTGGACAAAATAAACTCATCATTTATAAAATACAATTAGAAATTTTCTTCTTTTGTTTGGGAAAAATAGACAATGTCAATTTATTCAAAGAACACTTTGAGTCTTCAACAAGTTGATGGTATTAAGCAAAAACTATATCATAAAAATTAGTAAACCTCAGAACCCCGCGTTAGTCGTCTACTAAAAAGGCAATTCCAAGTTTCCAACTATATCATATATTTTTATATTATTTTTAAAATCATGCGTTACTTGTTGTTCAAGTAACCCTCACATAGCCATAGGATTAGGAACTTAGGAAGCATTTGGTAAAGTTTGTTTTTCTTATGTTAACTAGGAGGATTTGGTAGATTTTTTGAATTATATCGATGGTGCCCTCACGTAATACCTAGCTATAATATATTAGTAATAATATCTTTTATTAGAAAATCTCAAAAAAATAATTGAAAGGATCGTGAGGATCACTCATTCGCAGCTCCTTTTGAATTTATATTGAAGTCCAATGTTTATTTATTTTACTAAAAATAATTTTCAAATTTAACAAACTATTTGTATACTAAAAATTCTTATTGTAAAAAAAAATGAACCATTATTATTATTATTATTATTATTATATATATATATATATATATATATATATATATATATTTGACATCTTTGGATCGACAAGACCCAATCCATAGCCAATTCCTACTACGCGGGGTAACGCGACTTACTGGAATCGAACTCCGGTGGGGAAGGCGGAGTCAAATGGACTTAACCATTTGACTAAAGAACCACTATTATTATATAACCACTACATTTTAAAACTTTTCATTATTATTTTCCTAATCATTGTATTTTCTTTTATAATCTAGTGCAATTTCTCAATAAAAATGCAGTTTTAGGTAGGATATAATGGCTTATAAGTCCGATGAATGACCAAAACAATATAATAACATTCGCAATGAAAGCCTTTGGCGCTGGTTAAAACAGTTGAACAAAAAAAAAAAAAGAAGCTACCAAGCTTCATCAATGGCGGATTCTGGTCCAGCCAGCTTCTTGACGCGTGCCAATGCCATACTTAGAAAAAATTTAACCTATCAGGTTTGGTATTTTTCGTTCCCCATACTTTCCAAGAACATAATCTGTTTCAAATGTCAACATCTACTGATTTCCATATACATGCGTCTACTAGTAGTATATCTGATCAATCTTGGTACTCTGTTTTCCAAATTTCTACATCAAACCGATGTTTTCGCTTGTTCTTTGGTGGTTTTGTAGAAACGGAACATATGGAGCAATGTTCGACTTATTGTTATCCCTTTCTACCTCTGCATAGTTCTTGTGTTTATTCAAGCTATATTCGATTCACAAGTCACTAACTCTGTAGATAATCAATGTGGTTGTCAATGCATTGACAAACTCGGAGACGGAAAATGCGAAATGATCTGTGGTATAGAATATTCGACTCGGGACCAAGGATTCTTTTGTGCTATCCCAAAACCACAACCATGGCCTCCTTTGATTCTAATTCCGCGTCCTCAAGCTCGCGCTGTTGATACCGGTTTCACTGATGAATCTTGCAGACGAAAAAACAATTGTCCTGTAACTATACTTTTCACTGGGAATAATCAATCTCTTGGAGAAAGTATGCTTGTGAATGTGTCCTTCTTTTCTTCTCTAGGCTTGTTTTCATTGGAACTAATGTTCTTGTTTTTTCTCTAGCTTTATCTAGAAATCTTTTCAGGAGGTCTTTTACAATAATGAAATCCTCTGACCTCATGTTTAGTATAGCTAGTAATGTGTTGGTAAGTTCTTGTTTTGAAAATTCTGTTTATGAATATGGATGTCTTCGCTTTTTTTTTTTTTTTACTTTGAGCTCATGCATGTTTCAGGCTACAACATCTAAAGGAGGTGCAACCAATTATCTTGATTCAGCGATTGTCTCAGATCTTAGCATTTACAACATCCAATCTCGGTGCCTTCCAAACTCGAACTTTTCATTCTCATTCGGAAAATCACCTCTCAATTTTACGAAAGGTATAAAGTTTCTGATCACTTCCCTTAATCATCTGAAGAAATACTATTGTAGTGGATTAACATAATCATTCTGTTGAAAGCAGAGATGAGATGCCTTCAAGGATTGAATCTTTGGAGAAACAGCTCCATAGAGGTCAATCATGAGATTTTCAAAGGTTATGAGAAAGGGAATTCTGATGGGAACATAAGTGAGATTGTTGCAGGTTTGTAATTTGAATTCTCTGTCTTTTATCTTTAGAATTCACATGAGACTTCTGAATGTTTATGTTCTTTTTTTTTTTTTTTGCTTTAGCATACGATCTCTTGGACACTGATAGCACTAACTTCAATGTTCATATATGGTACAACGAAACGTACAAAGGTGAATCAGGAAATAAGCGTTATAAGTTGGTCCGAGTTCCCCGCTTAGTCAATATGGTAAGGAACTAAGATATTTCCATATAGGACTAGTTTCAAGAATGAAGAGATTTTCTCAAACTCTGCATAACTGCAGGTGTCAAATGCGTATCTTCAGTATTTGCAAGGCCCTGGGACAAAGATGTTGTTTGAATTTGTTAAAGAAATGCCTAAACAAGAAACTAAACTTCGTATAGACATCGCGTCTCTAATTGGTCCATTATTCTTCACATGGGTTATTCTTCTTCTGTTCCCTGTAAGTTTATTTGACATTTAGTTGGCAAATTGCATTCTCAAAAGCGTATCAAGCATTAGACGCACGCCATTCATAATTACAGGCATTTATATGCAGGTGATATTAAACTCATTGGTGTATGAGAAGCAGCAACATCTAAGAATGATAATGAAAATGCATGGCCTAGGAGATGGTCCTTATTGGGTGATAACCTATGCCTATTTTCTCGCCCTATCCACGTTATACATTATATGCTTGATGATATTTGGGTCAGCTATAGGTACTGAATCATTACCATTTCTTATAGAACAAGTTTCCTTCTCTGGGGTTATTATAGCAGCTATAGTTCCTTGCAGGACTGAAGTTCTTCCTGTTTAATGACTATAGCTTCCAGTTCAGTTTCTATTTTCTCTTCATAAATCTGCAAATCTCCATAGCCTTTCTAGTTTCCTCAGCATTTTCAAAGGTCGAGACAACATCAGGTACTAACTTAAGTCACACGTTAACTAAATGTACTCAAGGTTAACATGATGTTGTTAACTAAAAGAAACACTTTCTGTTTTATGTCCCAATTTTAGTTGTTGCTTACCTATACGTGTTTGGATCTGGGCTCTTGGGCGAGTTCCTCTTCCGGTTTATGTTGGAAGGTTCATCGTTTCCTAGTAAGTTATCAAGATGACCATGAAGAAACAATATCCGCGTAAATTATTCTCACAACTGACTCCAATCCTAATATATAATGATTACTTTTCCCCAGGAAGCTGGATTTTTGTCATGGAGTTGTATCCCGGCTTCTCCTTATACCGTGGGTTGTATGAGTTCGCCCAGAATGCTTATCAAGGAAGCTTGAATGGGAAAGATGAGATGAAGTGGAAATATTTTAGTGATAGTGAAATGGATGAAGTTTTCTACATCATTATCGTTGAGTGGTTTATTGCACTCATTGCAGCATACTATATCGATAAGATATCTTCATCGGGAAAAGACCCTTTGTTTTTCTTGAAAATCCATAACCCTTTCCAAAAATATCTCTCTCCACAAAAGCCTAGCTTGCAAAAACAGGTCTCAGCAGTTTCTGTAGAAATGGAGAAACTAGATGTCATTCAGGAGGTAGTGCAAAAGAAATTTCACATGATCTTATTCCATGTTCTTTGTGGTTTTTTTCAGCTGTTTTGAATTATATTTATACATATTTTGTTCTAATCAGAGTGAAAAAGTTGAGCAACTGATGCTTGAGTCAAGCACAAGCCACGCGATTGTATGTGATAAGCTAAGGAAGGTGTATCCTGGTAGGGATGGGAACCCGCCTAAAAAGGCAGTTCGAGGGTTATCTCTCACTGTGCCTTCAGGAGAATGCTTTGGCATGTTAGGGCCCAATGGTGCTGGCAAGACTTCTTTCATCAATATTGTCAGTACACAAAAAAATTGTGCTTTTAGTTGAGCTTAGGTTATGATTGAAAAAACACACCTTGAATAATACAAGTTGTGTCGTATTTTTTTCTGGTCAGATGACTGGGCTTGTGAAACCAACATCTGGAGCAGCTTTTGTTCAAGGTTTGGATATATGCAAGGATATGGACAGAGTATACACTAGCATGGGTGTATGCCCGCAACACGAGTAATCAAGTTCTTAGAAACATTTTGTTTTGTTCAATTATACATAAGCTCATTTAGTTGTTTATCATTCTCATTCTCTGTTTTTCTTATACCACTAGCTTGCTATGGGAAACACTGACAGGAAGGGAACATCTGCTGTTTTACGGGAGACTTAAGAACCTCAAAGGCTCTGATCTGAACCAAGTATGTTATCAATCTCAATTCCCTTCTATATATTACTTCAAAAGTTATCAAAATGTCAATTTCATGGTTGCTCAATCTATCTCCCATGGTTATTTACCTTGCATTAGGCTGTGGAAGAGTCTCTTAAGAGTGTCAACCTTTTCCACGGAGGAATTGCGGACAAACCTGCTGGTAAATACAGCGGAGGTATGAAAAGGCGGCTCAGCGTAGCCATTTCACTTATCGGGAATCCTAAGGTAGTATACCATTGTCTGAGAATATTGTTGCTTTAACCCATGGCCTTTAGAAAAAGTACACCTAGAGAGTTAGGCTCTTTCAAGCCTAAAAAACTCGTCCTCATTTATATATTTGAAGGTGGTTTATATGGATGAGCCAAGCACAGGACTTGATCCATCCTCGAGAAAGAACTTGTGGACTGTCATCAAGCACGCAAAAAAAAACACTGCGATAATCCTCACTACTCATTCAATGGAAGAAGCAGAGTTTCTCTGCGACCGACTGGGAATTTTTGTTGATGGAAGGTTACAATGCATAGGGAACCCAAAAGAGCTTAAGGGAAGGTATGGTGGATTTTATGTGTTTACGATGACAACATCATTAGAACATGAGAAAGATGTGGAGGTGTTGGTTCGAGATGTTTCTCCAAATGCCAAGAAGATATATCACATAGCAGGGACACAGAAATTTGAGATCCCAAAAGACGAAGTTCGGATCTCGGAAGTGTTTCAGGCGGTAGAGAAGGCGAAGAGCAATTTCAAGGTGTTTGCTTGGGGTCTTGCAGACACAACTCTGGAAGATGTTTTCATTAAGGTTGCTAAAACTGCTCAAGCCTTTAATGTTTTCTCTTGAATCTTTTTAAAATTATCTTCTTCTTCTTTTTTTTTTTTTCTTTTTTTTTCTGTTTAATGTCAATATTTGTTTGCTAAGGTTTGATAAATTGGTCATGCAGATATTGATTAATGTACATTATTAGAAGAAATCAGCTGAAAGAGTGTGAATTTCTCTGAGGTTTTTATACGTTGCTTATTTGTGGATGATTCATGTAATCATGTTAAACAACAAATTTATATATAAACTATGGCTATTAGACTGATGAGACAGTATCTTCAAGCAAAGATAAGATTGAGTTTCAGGGTGTTGGCTAGGGGACTTGCTAACACAACTCTTGAAGATTTTTTCATTAAGGTTGCTAGAACTTCTCAAACCTAATGTCTTCTCTTAAGTCTTCTTAACATTATCATTTTTGTCTGTTCAACATCAATATTTGCTTCTTCATGTTTAATAAATAATAATATTGGGCAAATACATTACTGGAACTGGCTGCAAGTATATATGTGAATTGTAATTTCTGAGGTTTTTACCACTTGTTTGTTTGTGGATGATTTATGTAAAACAAAACATTTAACGTAAGTGTGGGCTATAAATTTGTGAACGATGATGTTTGTACATTAGAAAAGAGATGATGCTCATGCGGCCATGCATAAGAGTAAAGAAAATGGACTTGACTGGTATATGTCAGATTATCAGCTGAATAGCGGAATAACTGAATTTAAAAATAGAGGAATCAATAGGACGACGACAATTTTAAACAGTGAATAAATGATTTTTTTAGAAACACCAAAAACTACTATGTAGTAGATGAATGAACTTTATCAAATTTAGTTATAATTTTTAAACGTGCGGAATAATTTTTAATGTTTTTCTTCTTTTTGCATTATTAATGACTTAGTGCCAACAAAATTTTAGAGTTTTGGTATCAATACGGAATTGTGCAATTTCGATGCTGAAAAAATATATTGCATATTGATGGTAAAACGTGATCCAGCAGTTACGGCTTAAACTCGTGAGTTGTCTATATTTGACGTAAAATGATGAATTTACATAAAATATGACATGTGATTCAAGCAACGAAAAGATATAAGTATTTCTTAGTCACAACAATGTTTTACTTTGAACACTTAACGTTAGAGATCCACATGCCTAACGATAAGTCAATGAGATATTTATTTTCTACCCTACTTGACCACGTTCCTCATAAGTCATAATATTATCCACGATTTCCCCATAAATCTTACTACATGTTATAAATTCTTCTTTGTAATAATAATAATAAACAAAAAAACTCATTCTGGACCCATAATTAATGGCCTCAACCAGAAATTTATTGCTCGTTTTCTTGACAACTTCCTGAAAATAATTAAAGTTCTTTGTTTGTTGACATCTATACTATTAATTGGGAAGCATTTTGTGAACTACAACATTGTGAGGGTAGTTTAAGACTAACTAAATGAATTTTTACATGGGTAATTTAGTAAATAAACAATTACTACAACTAAATAAATATATTTGATTCGGATCCTTCATTAATTTTTTGCAAAAACAAATAACGGGATTAAATGATCCAATATATTCCGAGATTTGCTTCGTCAATATTTTTGGTATGATTTGTCTACAAAAATAAAAAAGGAAACAACATTAAATATTAAATAATAACTGAATATTCAGCATCAATATATATTTATTTCGAATATAAATCGAATTTGTATTTTTCAATTTGTTAGAGATAAAACCAAAAAATTCAACATAAATCGAATGTCATTAATTGAAAAATACAAAATATTTTAACAATAAAATCTAAGTAATAATATTTATGTTATAAATATATTCCGATATTTTCTCATTTACCAAATATCTATACTATTAATTGGGAATCACTGAAACATAAGTAACCTTATTTTGGTAGATTAATTACAAAAAATGCCATTGCAAAATATGGATACAAATAAACAATTAGATCTCACGTGATCTTCTCATGTTACAAACGGTAAAACACGCCTCTCTCAATATTATTGGGTTTTCTAACATTTGAGCTGGGCTTCGTATTTCTCTAATGGGCTTCACCGACTATTACGTAGCCTGACTATTACTCCCAATATTTTGTGAGATATTCGGAGACTAATGACATAAACAAATTAGTTAGTTACCATTTAAAAAGATTTCTATAACAAACATATTCATTCAATATCGATAACTACACAAATTTAAACTGATTTCCATAACAAACAAATCCTCGACAATCTTTTTAGCTCAAGAAATCATAATCACATATTCCCAATTTTATCTTAACCAATTATTTATCTTAACAAACTATTATATTACCAAACATATCTCACAAACTAGATATTGAGATATGTTTAAATTGAGAATATACCTATAAAATTCTGCATATACCTTAAAAATTATTTCTGGCTAATATACGGTTTGTTGATTTAATTCTCTAAACCCTAAAATCTTCTTACCCCCTCAACTCATATAAATAGACGCCTAATGTAATAACTTCAGAAACACACTAACCTTTCATAAAAGCATTCTTCTCGTTTTACTATTTTGATTACTATTTCACGTAATGGGTAAAATATGAATTAGGCCCATCGTCAATATGTATAGAAATCTCTTTCGGCCCAATGTTATATTGGGTGCCCCATAACAAAATATTTCTGTTTCAGGTAATGGCCCATGGAATTAAGCTTTGACTTTAGTATTAAACACCTTATGCTAAGTATATAATTAAACTATTTATTGTATTGTATAACACTTTTCTATTATGATACATGTTGCATCTTTTAGTAAATACACTTTTTTGCAGAATGTATAATTAATCAAACTGAAAATAAATTTGTGTAACAAAGTTTATTCTAAAGATTGATATTTTTACTATTATTTACATAAAACAAAATAATACATTTAAATTATAACTTTATGTAAATCCTATCGATTCAAAATAACAACCCGCACGTACGTGCGGGTCCGGATCTAGTTATAAGTAACAGAACATATATAGTTAATGCCTTAATGGTATCAACCAACCACATATAAAATTCGCAAGTGGAAATTAAAGTGTGTCACATGCATGGATCCTACTTTGAATTCATCAGTAATCAATGTGACCAAATCTAACAACAAACAGAAGAAAAAGACAAAATCAAGATTGCAGAAGCTTTATCAATGGCGAACCATGTTCCCGCAAGTTTCTTGACCCGGGCCAATGCCTTGTTCAGAAAAAACTTAACCTATCAGGTTTGGTCAAACTTTTACATGTGTTAGTTATCTACTTAATACAAAATCCATTGATGTTACTAGTGAGAATGTAACTATATATCGATTAATGTAGAAACGGAACATGTGGAGCAATGTTCGGCTCATTGTGATACCTTTCTACCTATGCGTACTTCTAGTGGGGATTCAAGTCCTGTTCGATACACAAGTTAATAACTCTGCTGATAATCGATGTGGTTGTCGATGCATCCACAAAAATGGAGATGGCAAATGCGAAAGACAGAGTTGTGGTTTACAATATTCATCTCAAACTCAAGCCTCATTTTGTGCCTTTCCCAACCCTCCACCATTGCTCCCGTTGTTACAAATTCCGAGTCCTGAAACTCGTTCAGTTGATCATGCCCGTGGCTCGTGTAGACGAACAGGATCTTGTCCTGTAACTATACTTGTTACTGGGAATAACCATACACTTGGAGCAAGTATGTCTCTTAATTACTTCATTCTTCCTCTCTTAACTCTAAACCAATTGATAATGAATGGACTAGTCTACGTAACTTCCTATGTGGGATCCTAACAGTCAGTGGCGGATACAGAAATTTTATTTACCGGGGCCAAAATATTTCCTCTCGAACTAATTATCTTTATTTTTTAGCTTTATCTCAAAATATGCTCAGAACTTCTTTCACGGCGAACTCCTCTTCTGACGATTTCTTGCGTAATCTCGCCTACAATGTCTTGGCAAGTTCTTCCCTGCTTGATTTTTTTTTTCTTTTTTCATGATCATTAATGAAGTCTCTATCTCTCAGGATTTTTCATGACTATTGTATTCAGGGTACAACATCAAAATCAGACTACACCAATTTCCATGATCCAGGGATTCACTCAGATCTTCCCATCTTAAACATCCAACCTCAGTGCACTCCAGCCACTACGTTCTCATTCTCATTCCGACAATCACCTCTCAAGTTTCATAAAGGTACAATTATGTTTACGTGTTGTCATCACAACGATTTTAGGAAATTTTGAAAAGGTTACAATGTGTTTTGTATATTGTTTACAGCATATATCATTAAAAAGTTTAGTAGATCTAATATTGTTCTGTGTAAGTTTAAATGTAATCTGACTGCATTCCAAGTCCCAAGTTAATTTGTTAAAGAGAACATTTCTTGTGCCTCACTCAAAGCTAACTTCTCAAAAACATTCTTGCAACTGATTAACATTTTCTTGCAAATTATTAACGTGTCAACTCAGAGGTGAGATGCGTTCAAGGATTGAATCTCTGGAGAAATAACTCGGTAGAGGTCAACGAAGAGATCTTCAAGGGTTATCGTCAAGGAAATCATGAAAAGATCATCAATGAGGTTGCTGCAGGTTATTCCACTTCTCTTATCATTATTTGTCTATGTGTTTTATTCATAGGCAACTTCTGACTCTTTCTCTGTTTTTTAGCATATGATTTCTTGGACACCGATACGAATAACTTCAATGTGACCATCTGGTTTAACTCTACATACAAGGATGATTACCGAGTACAACAGAGGCGTGTAAAGTATGTCCGAGTTCCTCGCTCAGTAAATTTGGTAAGAACTAAGACTATTTTTTTATACCTAGGAGGCTAGGACATATCATTTGATCAAACCCATTCTTACTCTACAAAAACAAAATGCAGGTTTCGAATGCTTATCTTCAATTTTTGCGAGGCCCAGGGACTAAAATGTTATTCGATTTTGTGAAAGAAATGCCTAAACAAGAAACTAAGCTTCATTTTGACGTAGCTTCTGTCATTGGCCCCATATTCTTAACATGGGTTATTGTTCTTTTGTTCCCCGTAAGTATGTTTTCAATAGACAGATTCAGTCTTGGAAGCAATCCTATCATTGGATTTCAATAGTTTGAGGCATTTTCTATGCAGGTGATCTTAAACTCATTGGTGTATGAGAAGCAGCAACATCTAAGAATTATAATGAAAATGCATGGCCTAGGAGATGGTCCTTATTGGATGATTTCCTACGCCTATTTTCTAGCCATATCCACGTTATATATTATATGCTTGATGATATTTGGGTCAGCAATAGGTATTGTCTCGTTTCCATATTTTCTTCTATATATAAAACATGTTTTAGAGCTATAATGCCTTGCAGGACTGAAGTTTTTCCGGTATAATGACTACGGTATCCAGTTCGTTTTCTATTTTCTCTGCATAAATCTGCAAATCTCCATAGCTTTTCTAGTTTCCTCAGCATTTTCAAAGGTTGAGACAGCTACAGGTACTAACTTAAGTCACACGTTAACTAAATGTGCTCAAGAACATGATGATGTTAATTAAAAGAAACACTCTTTGTTTTATGGCTCAATTGTAGTTGTTGCTTACCTATACGTGTTTGGATCGGGGCTCTTGGGCGGATTCCTCTTCCAGTTTATGTTGGAAGGTTTATCGTTTCCCAGTAAGCTATATATCAAAAACAAGTTGGAGAAGACCTATTCTCAAATACTGACCAGTGACCACAATACTAATATAATGTTTACTTTTTCCCTAGGAAGCTGGATTTTTTTCATGGAGTTGTTTCCGGGCTTCTCTTTATACCGTGGTTTGTATGAGTTCTCTCAGTATGCTTTAATCAGAAACGTGAATGGGAGCGATGGGATGAAGTGGAAAGATTTCAATGATAGTGCAATGGATGAAGTTTTCTACATCATTATCGTCGAGTGGTTTCTCGCTCTCATTGCAGCATACTATATGGACCGAGTTTCTTCATCCGCGAAAGACCCTTTTTTATGCTTGAAATACACTTTGAGGAAATCTCCGTCGAAACATAGCTTGCAGAGACAGGGATCTGCTATTTCCATTGAAATGGACAAACTAGATGTCGCTCAGGAGGTATAACAAACAATGATTAACAATACATTACATGTTTTTTTTGTGTTTTTTACTAGTTGTTTTGATGAAATTTGTTTTCGTCCTAATCAGAGAGAAAGGGTCAAGCAGTTGATGCTTGAGCCGAGCACAAGCCATGCGATTGTATGTGACAACCTGAATAAGGTGTATCCAAGTAGGGATGGGAACCCGCCTAAAATGGCCGTTCAAGGGTTATCTCTCGCTGTGCCTTCAGGAGAATGCTTTGGCATGTTAGGACCAAACGGTGCAGGGAAGACATCCTTCATCAATATGGTTGGTACACAAATGGATAGAAAATCTTATGTGCTTAGCTTTTAATTGAAAACTCTCCACTAATGCAAGTTTTGTTGTATATTTCATGTGGGGACCTACTTCGAATCAATTGACAATGAGTGGAAATGCTTATATCCTTAAATACTTATATTGTTGAATCATCTTTATTTCCCATGCATGTGAGATATATTAATATCTTTTTGGGCAGATGACTGGGCTTGTGAAACCAACATCTGGAATAGCTCTTGTTCAAAGTTTGGACATATGCAAGGATATAGACAGAGTATATACCAGCATGGGTGTTTGCCCTCAACATGAGTAAGTAATTATATTATTAAAAACATTATATTGTTTTAATTGTCATCATCTTCTTGTTCTCTATTGTGTAGCTTGCTCTGGGAAACACTGACAGGAAGGGAACATCTGCTCTTTTATGGAAGACTTAAGAATCTCAAAGGCTCTGATCTCCACCAAGTATGTTATCAATCTTACTTGTCTACTACTATATTACTCCAAAAAGTATCAAAACTAATTTATAGTTTTAGGCTGTAGAGGAGTCTCTTAAGAGTGTGAACCTATTTCGTGATGGAGTTGCTGATAAACCTGCTGGGAAATATAGTGGAGGCATGAAAAGGCGATTAAGCGTAGCCATTTCACTTATTGGAAGTCCTAAGGTACACCAATGTCTCTTATTCATCTACTGAAAACCTTATGCATAACCTTTATTCATGTGAGTTAGAGAACTTTAACAAATCCATTTTTACATTTCGTTTAATTTTTTAAAAGGTGGTTTATATGGATGAGCCAAGCACAGGACTTGATCCAGCGTCGAGACGGAGCCTATGGACAGCCATCAAATCCGCAAAAAAACACACTGCGATAATCCTCACTACTCATTCAATGGAAGAAGCAGAGTTTCTTTGTGACCGATTGGGGATTTTTGTAGACGGAATGTTACAATGCATAGGGAATCCAAAAGAATTAAAGGGAAGGTATGGTGGATCTTATGTGTTAACAATGACAACATCATTAGAACATGAAAAAGATGTAGAGATGTTGGTTCAAGAAGTTTCTCCAAACGCCAAGAAGATATATCACATCGCAGGGACACAAAAATTTGAGATCCCAAAAGAGGAAGTACGGATCTCGGAAGTGTTTCGGGCGGTGGAGAAGGCAAAGGGTAATTTTAGGGTGTTTGCTTGGGGACTTGCAGACACAACTCTTGAAGATGTTTTCATTAAGGTTGCTAGAACTTCTCAGGCCTCTAGTGTCTTTTCTTGAATCTTCTTTAGATTATCCTTTTTGTCTGTTCAACGTCAATATTTGTTATTTCATGTTTAATAGTATTGGTCATGCGTAGATTTGATTCGTATAGTGTACATTATTGGAATCGGCTACAAGTTTGTGACTTGCGTCGGAGGGTTTTACCACTTGTTTGTTTGTGAATGATTTATGTAAAACAAGGCTAGATAAATTTGTGAATGATGATGTTGATACATTAGAAAGAAATAATTCCCACGAATAAGAGTAAAGAAATTGTTTTTCTTCGTTGTGCATTGTTTTTTTTATAACCAGGATGATCTGCGCTTTTACCACCGCCGAGTAATCCCCTTAGACCATGTACATGGGTGATATTTTTAGAGTATCATAAGCCCATAAATTATTTTTATATGGACAAAACAATTAAAATGGGTCTGATCAGTATCAGTCCAGTGATACTTTTGATACCAGTATCATCTGACGTGGCATCTCCTTATTGGTCGTCTTTGCCAAAAGCAGGAAGAAACAAAAAAAAAACATTAAACAAACATTATAAATAATATTAAAAATTTCTTAATGATACTTTATGAGTATCACCTATGACCATGCTCTTAGGGTGAGTGTAGCAGTTGAATAGCCCACTCACCGGATTTCCTAATGGGCCTAAAGCATGACACCATTTTGATTGGAAAAATGGAGTGATTTAGTAAATTGCGTTTGAAAGGAATTGATCTCTGACCTAGATATCTACAAGGCAGCTCCTCCTCCTTTCCACTTGACCACTGCCACTTGTTTTTTTTTTACATTGTTAGTGCATGCCAACAAAATTTCACAGTTTTGGTACCAAAACGGAATTCTGCAGCAATTTCGATGTTGAAAAAAAGTAATGCAGATTGATGGTAAAACGTGAGCCCGCAGTTACGGCGAAAACGCGTGATTTGTATATTTTGACGTAAAATGATGAATTTACATAAAATATGACGTGACTTAAGCAAAGACAAGATAGGTATAACTATTTCTCAGTCACAACAATGTTTTACTTTTAACACTTAACGATAGAGATCGACGTGGTTCTAAGTTCTAACAATAAGTCAATGAAATTACCCGACAATATTTTATAGATTTGTGAGATATTTATAGTTTTACCCTACTTGACCATGTTTCCCCATAAATCTTGCTAAACTTTATAATTTCTTCTTTGTAAAAACCTCATTATGCACACATAATTAATGGCCTCAACCACCACATTATAGAATTTTATTGCAAAGATCAGTCCTTTTCTTGGCAACTTCCTGCAAATTATATATTGAAGTTCTTCGTTTGTTGACATTATAAGTAACACAAAATAGTTAATGCCGTAATGGCCTCAACCACATATAAATTAGCCAGTGGAAATTAAAGTCTGTCACATGCATGAATCTTACTGTGAATTCATCAGGACTTTGTGTCACTAAATCTACAACAAAAGGAAAGATAAAACAGAAGAAAAAGACAAAATCAAGATTGCAGAAGCTTATCATCAATGGCAAACCATATATATTACCGCAAGTTTCTTTACCCGGGCCAATGCCTTGTTCAGAAGAAACTTAACCTACTAGTTTCTTAATTTAGACTCGTAAGATATATACATATCATCACGTTACGTGATACGTACCATACAACGGTTCCGCAAAATCTTATAGTAATTAACATTATAACTTATTTTATGTAAAAAACAATAACTCACTCTCCACACATGCTGGTTGAAAGATTTTCTTGGTCGTCGTGGGATTACTCCTTTCTTTGGCAACTTCTTGCATATTATAATTGAAGTTCTTCTTTCGTTGAAATGACTAATTATTAAGATAAATACCAATTTATAATTCGCAAGTGGAGATAAAAAGGTGTCATTTAGATCGAATTGTGAACTCATAGAGTCAAATCAAGACTCATCTATGGCGAAACCTGCTGCCGCCAGTTTCTTGACGCAGGCCAACGCCTTGTTCAAGAAAAACTTAACTTATCAGGTACTTGGCCATACAATAAATGCGTTATCTATATATACATATGGAAAATGTAATTATATCTTTGTTACCATTGTTGTAGAAACGGAACATATGGAGCAACGTTAGGCTGATCGTGATCCCTTTGTACCTTTGTGTGGTTCTAGTGTGCATTCAAGCTGTGTTCGATTCACTGGTTAATAACTCTGTTGATAATCAATGTGGTTGTCGATGCATCGAAGACGACAAAAATGGAGATGGCAAATGCGAAATAAAAAGTTGTGGTTTACAATATTCATCTCAAAACCAAGCCGTCTTTTGTGCCTTCCCTAACCCTCCACCATTGCTTCCTTTGTTACATATTCCTCGTTCTGTTAATCATACCCGTCGTGACTCGTGCAAACGAACCGGATCTTGTCCTGTAACCATACTTGTTACTGGGAAGAACAAATCCCTTGGAACAAGTATACTCTCCTCTTTTAATGATTTTTGTCTATTACAATAAATGTTTTTTCCTTTCCAACTAATTTCACTATTTTTTTAGCTTTATCTGAGAATCTGCTAAGTACTTCTTCCACGGTCAACTCCTCTTCTTACCATTTGCGTAATCTCGCCTATAATGTCTTGGTAAGTCCTTCTCTGTTTGAATTCTGACTGTTACCATTATTATCAAGTCTCTCTACCTCTCGGTGCTTATTTCATGAATTAGTATATTTATATTTTCAGGGCACAACATCAGAGACAGACTACACCAACTATCGTGATCCAGGGATTTACTCAGATCTTCCCATTTTCAATATCCAACCTCAGTGCACCCCAGCCACTACATTGTCATTCTCATTCCGACAACCACCTCTCGAGTTTCATAAAGGTATTAACGTCACAAAATTATGTGTGAAACCCTAATCTGTAAACTGAACACTAAAACCCAAAATGGTATATATATAAACCCTTACCCACCTAAAAGATAAAAAAAAAAAAAACCCCTATAAATTCTAAATTTAAACCGTAATTAATAGAAGTTTTAATCTGCATTCCATGGTCCAAGTTATTTTGTAAGAGACAACATTCTTTGTTGCCTATAGTATTAACTTAATGGTTAATGTGTCAAAGCAGAGGTGAGATGCGTTCAAGGATTGAGTCTCTGGAGAAATAACTCCGTAGAGGTCAATGATGAGATCTTTAAGGGCTATCATAAAGAAAATCATGAAGAGATCATCAATGAGGTCGCTGCAGGTTATACCACTTCTCTTATCATTTGTCTCTGTATTTTACAATTAACTTCTGACTATTTCTCTGGTTTTATTAGCATACGATCTCTTGGACACGGATAGGAACAACTTCAATGTGAACATCTGGTATTACACGACATACAAGGGAGATTTTCAAGATTGGCGTGTAAAGTATGTCCGAGTTCCTCGCTCAGTCAATTTGGTAAGAAACTACGTACGTGTTGTATGTTAGGATTCTACATAGAAATTGTGAAGGAATCAACATAAATGGCATTGGTCACTCTATATGTAGGACTGGTCTTTTGATCAAACTCAATCTTAGACTCGGCAAAACATTGCAGGTTTCGAATGCTTATCTTCAGTTTTTGCAAGGCCCAGGGACAAAGATGTTATTCAATTTTGTTAAAGAAATGCCTAAACAAGAAACTAGGCTTCGCATGGACATGGCGTCTCTCATAGGCCCCATTTTCTTCACATGGGTTATTCTTCTTTTGTTCCCTGTAAGCTCTTTTTATGTGGACTACTTCATACTCTTACAAGTATATGATGATCCTATCATGGGAAATAATTTAACCTGCTCTGGTTTGCGAATCAAAGAGATTTTGGACCTCGGCCCATAATTGTTTGGTTAATAGGCTTTTTCAATAGCTATAGGCATTTTCTATGCAGGTGATCTTGACCTCATTGGTGTATGAGAAGCAGCAACGTCTAAGAATTATAATGAAAATGCATGGCCTAGGAGATGGTCCATATTGGATGATAACCTACGCCTATTTTCTCGCCATATCCACGTTATACATTATATGTTTGATGATATTTGGGTCAGCAATAGGTATTGTAGAGTTGACTTATCTTATGTTAATATTTTCTTATGTATATATAAATCAAGTCTCAAAGCTATAGTTTGTTACAGGACTGAAGTTCTTCCGGTCCAATGACTACAGCATCCAGTTCATTTTCTATTTTCTTTATATAAATCTGCAAATCTCCATAGCCTTTTTAGTTTCCTCAGCATTTTCAAAGGCTGTGACAGCATCAGGTACTAACTATTAACTAAAGTCACTTTTTTGTTTCAAATTTGGTCGGAAACATGTCGGTGTTATGGACAAACACTTTCTGTTAATTTTATGCCCAAATTGTAGTTGTTGCTTACATGTACGTGTTTGGATCTGGGCTCTTGGGCGCATTCCTCTTCCAGTTTCTGATGGAAAGTTTATCGTTTTCTAGTAAGCTATCAATAACAACTTGAAGAAGACATATTCTCAAAACTAACCACAATGCTATTATATATAATCTTTTACTTTTTACCAGGACGCTGGATTTTTGTCATGGAACTGTATCCCGGCTTCTCATTATACCGCGGGTTGTATGAATTCTCCCAATATGCTTTCCAGAGAAACTTGAATGGGAGGGATGGGATGAAGTGGAAAGATATCAGAGGTAGTGCAATGGATGAAGTTTTCTCCATCATTATCGTTGAATGGTGTCTCACACTCATTGCGACATACTGTATGGACCGAGTTTCTTCATCTGCGAAAGATCCTTTTGCATTCTTGAAAAACCCTCTCAAGAAATCTTCTTCTCCAAAAAGGGTTAGCGTGCAAAAAGAGGAATCTTCTGTTTCGGTAGAAATGGAGAAACTGGATGTCATTCAGGAGGTATTGTAAAAGAATTCACAACCCCTTCCATGTTCTTTGCGTTTTTTGAACCGTTTTGATAAAATAAATTTGCTCAAATTAGAAAGAAAAGGTCCAGCAGTTGATGCTTGAGCCGAGCACAAGCCATGCAATTGTATGTGACGACCTGAAGAAGGTGTATCAAGGCAGGGATGGGAACCCGCCTAAACTGGCAATTTGTGGCTTATCTCTCGCTGTGCAGTCAGGAGAATGCTTCGGCATGTTAGGGCCCAATGGTGCCGGAAAGACCTCGTTCATCAATATGGTTAGTACCCAAAGGGACATATACAAATCTTTTGTGCCTAGCTCGCTTTTCTATTAAAAACTTTGTCTAGCATAGTCCTAAGTTTATATACATTTTTGGCTAGATGATTGGACTCGTGAAACCAACATCAGGGTCAGCTTTTGTTCGAGGTTTGGACATATGCAAGGATATGGACAAAGTATACACCAGTATGGGTGTTTGCCCACAACAAGAGTAATAAATTAAATTCTTGATAATTTTTGTTGTTGTTGAAGATCATTATTAAGTTTATGGGCTTCCCAACTAAAAAATGAGTTAGTAACGAGTGGATTGATTCATGTCATTGTATATTATTCCTAAGAATCATATAGTTGTTTTATCGTTCTCTTACACTACAATAATTATTGTTTGTCATTTACCAGCTTGCTCTGGGAAACACTGACAGGAAAAGAACATCTTCTCTTTTATGGAAGACTTAAGAATCTCAAAGGCCCTGATCTCAACCAAGTATGTTAATCAATCTTACTTCTATCCTATATTAGCGCAAGTGTATTAAAACGTCAATTCATTGTTAATTATTAGGCTGTAGAAGAATCACTTAAGAGTGTGAACCTATTTCGCGGAGGAGTTGCTGATATACCTGCTGGGAAATACAGCGGAGGAATGAAAAGGCGGCTAAGCGTAGCCATTTCACTTATCGGGAGTCCTAAGGTACACCAATGTCTCTTACTCCTCTCCTAACTAAAAACTGGTTGATAAGCCCTTATAGCTTTTCAAACTTTAACAAATCATTTTTCCATTTGGTTTATCTTATTAAATAAAAGGTTGTTTATATGGATGAGCCAAGCACAGGACTTGATCCAGCTTCAAGGATAAACCTATGGACAGTCATCAAACGCGCAAAAGAACACACAGCGATAATCCTGACAACTCATTCAATGGAAGAAGCAGAGTTTCTGTGTGACCGATTGGGGATTTTTGTTGATGGAAAGTTACAATGCATAGGGAATCCAAAAGAGCTGAAGAAAAGGTATGGTGGATCATATGTATTAACAATGACAACATCACCAGAACATGAAAAAGATGTTGAGACGTTGGTTCAAGATGTTTCCCCAAATGCAAAGAAGATATATCACATCTCAGGGACTCAGAAGTTTGAGTTCCCAAAGGACGAGGTTCGCATCTCTGAAGTGTTTCAGGCGGTGGAGAAGGCCAAGAGCACTTTCAGGGTGTTTGCTTGGGGACTAGCGGACACAACCCTTGAAGATGTTTTCATCAAGGTTGCTAAAACCGGTCAGGCCTTTAATGTCTTCTCTTGAATATTCGTAAGATTATTATTTATGTCTGTTCATGGTTGATAAAATTGCTTATGCAGAGGTTTGATTAATGTACATTGTTGGCTCTCGGCTACAAGTTTGTGAATTTCTCTGAGGTCTTTTATAACTTGTTTGTTTGTGGATGATTTATGTAACGCAAAATAATTATGTAAACCGTGGCTATATATAAATTTCATATACCATTTAGATCCTAAATGTATATATTTCTAAGGTTTACGAATAAAAATTTACAACTTCTAAAGTAATTAGGATTTAGCGTTTAAATTTTACCTTAGTCTTTAAAGTGTGTTTGATTATTAATTATTTGTTGTGAGGAAAATTGAGGATTGTAAAAATTATAATTTGAGGGAACCCATAGGCCATGATTAAGGATGGATGCCTGAGCAACATTATTGGTAGTCTCTTAATATTGGTTCTTAGCATTAGATGATGGACACTTAGCTAAGAGACACTTTTTAACCCACCAAATGTCTCTTAGCTAAGAGACATTCTTAACAATTTTAAGATATTTGCTTTATTTTTATCTATTTTAAGCTAAGATTTTTTTCTAAGATCTTCCTAAGAGACTACCATTAATGATGGTTAATACTTCCTCTGAATGAACTTAAACACAAGATAGATTTAGCATCTTGGTGGCTCATGAGCTTCTCAAATTTTGCAAGGTAAAAAAGGGTTCCTAAATCCTAATTAACTTTTAACCTGAAATTTTTTTTAAAGAAAAAACATTACCATGAACAAATTCAAACCGAAACCAAATCAAAGTAAATTTATTTTCCCTGTATTGGAAAAAAATGCTACTAATTAAGACTTTTTATGGTTTTAAAAAAGAACTTTTGTGCAAAGACTTTTTATGTTTAAAAACTGAAATAAGACTGCTGGTAAAAAAATAAACTGAAATAAGACTTTTCTTGTGACATCATAACATATTTTCTCCTTAATATGGGATCATGCATTGCTTCTTGTCCAAGTAACTGCCTCATTGGAAAATGTTTGAATTTTGAACAAATCTTTTTTAATTTTTTAAAATGGTCAAAATTCTCATAGTCAACCAAATTACCCGATACTTTTACGTAAGATATTTTTAATAGACTAGTTTAATGAATTACGTTCACACGTGATTACGTCTGAAATGACGTATTAATCATCAACTATGCCAATTAAAAACTTTATATCAATTATAAACAAATAATTGAAACTCACCTCTTCCACTAGTTGACGAATCTATGGGTCGTGGGATCACTCTCCTCCACAGCTTCCTACCAAATTTACATTTGAATCTTTCTTTAATTGTCACTTTCTTGATTTCGTTGAATTCACCTTTTTGTTTTTTGACCAAAAGAATAATCCCAAAATTTAATAATATAGAAAAAAACAACTGATTAAGACGTACTTAACGAAAATAATAAACCGTGTGCATAAGGGTAGTATCGTAATTTCATAGACCGTATCTGATCTCTGTTCTCCTCCTCTTCTCCGCCTGCTATATGATGACCCAAAAGGCGGTGATTTGATTCGTTCGTTCTAAGTTCAAAATTGGGTTTAAATTTCGATTCACAATTTTTATCAACCCAAAAAAATCAAAAACCTAAAATAATTTAAGAGTCAGAGAGAAGACACAGAGAAAAGAGCGAAGATTACCAAAATCTTCAACAATGGCGGATCCTGGTCCTGCCAGTTTCTCAACGAGAGCCAATGCCTTGCTTAGGAAAAACTTAACCTATCAGGTACTTTTTGCGTTTTCTTTTCCTCCACGCAATCCAATTATATACATCCAAGTTTTCGGATTTTCGATTTTGCTATTCGCGAAAACTTGATGGATCAGTTTCTACAATACCATTAGTGGCTAATCTATTGATTATCCGACGTAATCACAGTTATTTGATATAATTTGGTACTTAGATAAACTTATCTCAAAGTTCAATTGATTATCGAACCTAATTACATATATTTGCTAGGATTATGTTGTTGTTACTATCCGTTGTTCTAATTCGTCTTTTGTGTAAATTATGTGTTGGTGTAGAAACGGAATCTATGGAGCAATATTCGGCTTATCATGATCCCTTTCTACCTCTGTATACTTCTAGTGATTATACAAGTCCTGTTCGATACAAATATTAATAACTCTGCTGATAATCGCTGTGGTTGTCGATGCATCGTCAGAAATAGAAATGGAAAATGCCAAAGAGAGATTTGCGGTTTAGAACATTCTAAACCGGATCAAGCTTTCTTTTGTTCCATCCCTAGTCCTCCACTATGGCCTCCATTGTTACAAATTCCGCGCCCTGAAAGTCGCGCTGTTAGTGATCGTCCTGATGATGGTAGTGGTCTTCCTAATGACTCTTGTAGACGAACAGGATCTTGTCCTGTAACTATACTGTTTACTGGACGTAACCGTTCCCTTGGAACAAGTATGTCTCTTTTCCTCCATTTTTACTTCTGTTCTTTCAGTATATTCAATATTTGTATTCATTGGAACTTATCTTCATGTTTTCTCTAGCTGTATCTGGGAATCTGCTCACTAGTTCCTTATCTGGGAACTCCTCTGAGATCTTGCTTACTTTAGCTAATAATGTTTTGGTGAGTTCTTTGGTTGGATTCTGTCTGTTGCCAACTTATGAAGTGTGTGTATTGTTTCTTAGCTTTCTTGACCTCATGTTTCAGGGTACATCAGTTGAGGCAGATTTCACCAATTATCTTGATCCAGGGATTGCCTCAAACCTTTCCATCTACAATATCCAACCTCGGTGCATTTCTAATGCCACGTTCCCATTCTCATTCGAACAAAAACCTCTCAAGTTTGAAAAAGGTATTGAATTTTCAATCCCATAGATGTTTAAGATGTCAATTAAAAAAGTTTAAGAAGGATAATGAATGTGAGATAGGTAATTTGGTTGCGTTCTTCTGTATGCATATCCCAAGTTTGTTAAACATGATATCTCTTTCTTCCATATATTGTCCTCACTCAAAGTTATCTTTTCTTGCTGTCGATTAACTTAATGTTTGTGTCAAAACCAGAGTTGAGTTGTGTTGAAGGATTCAATCTCTGGAAAAATACCTCCATAGAGGTCAATGATATGATTTTCAAGGGTTATCGGAAAGGAAATCCCGAGGGGAAGATAAATGAGATCGCTGCAGGTTTGTCAACTTCTCAGTCGGTTTATCTATACAATTCCTTCATATGAACATAAGATTTCTGACTCTTCCTGTCTGATTTTATTTGTTGGTTTAGCATATGATCTCTTGAACACTGATAGGAACAATTTCAATGTCCACATCTGGTATAATTCAACATACAAAGACGATTCAGGAAATAGACTTACAAAGTTGGTCCGTGTTCCCCGCTCAGTCAATTTGGTAAGAAAACAACAATGTACTCAACATATCCTCATCATTGTATTAACGATTTGCTCTTTACCATCTAGCACCACTTTCTTGATTGAACTGATGCTTACTCTTTGCCAAACTGCAGGTGTCAAATGCTTACCTTCAATTTTTACAAGGCCCAGGGACAAGGATGTTGTTCGAATATGCCAAAGAAATGCCTAAACCAGAAACAAGTCTTCGTCTGGACATCGCGTCTCTAATTGGCCCCCTTTTCTTTACATGGGTTATTCTTCTTCTGTTCCCTGTAAGTTTGCCTTCAAAAATACTCACCCTAATGTATAGTGATCTATAAATCTTGGAAACGACAAGCATTCTGCTTTCTGCCGGTGTTAGATTTGAAATTCATATTCAAAGCCATCTGTTTGCAGGTGATCTTGTCGTCATTAGTGTATGAGAAACAGCAACATCTAAGAATTATAATGAAAATGCATGGCCTAGGAGATGGTCCATATTGGATGATTTCCTATGCCTATTTTCTTACCATATCGGTGTTATACGTTATATGCCTGATGATATTCGGGTCAGCAATAGGTAACTAAAGCCTTTCTGTCAGTATACTTCTTACAATACATAATGTTTTGCCAATCTGGGTTTTTATAGTTGCTGGTTCCCTGCAGGACTGAAGTTCTTTCGGCTTAATGACTACAGCATCCAATTCGTACTCTATTTTCTCTATGTGAATCTGCAAATCGCCCTTGCCTTTCTAGTTTCTTCAGTATTTTCAAATGTCAAGACATCAACAGGTACTAACAACATCGTGCTTCTTGAATTCGATGAAGAACATGTTGGGGTTTAAAGGAACTAATGAGCTTTTCTCATATATCTTAATCATAGTTGCTGCTTACATATACGTGTTTGGATCTGGACTTTTGGGCTTGTTTCTACTCAACTTTCTGATTGAAGATTCATCATTTCCTAGTAAGTTATTATGATCTTGAAGAATGATATTCAATGCAGTCGTTTATATGTTTATTCTCATAACTGACCACGATTGCAAATGAATTATACTTTTCCAGGAGGCTGGATTATTGTCATGGAGTTATATCCTGGCTTTTCCTTATACCGTGGGCTATATGAGTTGGCACAATTTGCTTTCCGGGGAAACTTGAGAGGGGAAGATGGGATGAAGTGGAAAGATTTCAGTGATAGTGCAATGGATGATGTTTTTTACATCATTATCGTCGAATGGTTTCTTGCCCTCATTGCAGCATACTATATCGATAAGATTTCTTCATCCGGAAAAGACCCGTTGTTCTTCTTGCAAAACCCTTTCAAGAAATCTCCTTCTTTGCGAAGGCCTAGTTTGCAGAGGCAAGGTTCCAAAGTCTCCGTTGAGATGGAAAAACCAGATGTTACTCAGGAGGTATGACAAAAGGCTTTATAATATATTCCATGTTCTTGATAGTTATGGTTCTGATTAAAAATTTGTTCAAATCAGAGTGAAAAAGTTGAGCAACTGATGCTCGAGTCGAGCACAAGCCATGCGATTGTATGTGACAACCTGAAGAAGGTGTATCCAGGTAGAGATGGGAACCCGCCAAAATTGGCAGTCCGGGGGTTATCTCTCGCTGTGCCTTCAGGAGAATGCTTTGGCATGTTAGGGCCCAATGGTGCTGGCAAGACGTCCTTCATCAATATGGTCAGTACCCAAATGGACAAAATCTTTTGTGCACATTAGACCTTAGCTTCTAATATCATTGCTGATCGAGAAACTCTAGCTAGTATATGCCCAAACGAATTGTGCGTCAGATTATATAATCTTGTAGCGTTCGTAATATGTCGTTTGTTTTCTTGGCCAGATGACTGGGCTCCTGAAACCAACATCTGGGACAGGACTTGTTCAAGGTTTGGATATATGCAATGATATGGACAGAGTATACACCAGCATGGGCGTATGCCCGCAGCATGAGTAATTAAATTCTTGAAATTCATTTCATTTTGTTCATAGTGTTCACTATATATAATATAGTTGTTTAATCATTCTCTTATTGTCTGTCGTATACCAGTTTGCTCTGGGAAACACTGACAGGAAGGGAACATCTGCTGTTTTATGGGAGACTTAAGAATCTCAAAGGCTCTGATCTCAACCAAGTATGTTATCAATCTCACTTCCCTTCTATATTACTTCCATTTCTCAATCTATTTCTTATCGAGACTTACCTTGCATTAGGCTGTGGAAGAGTCTCTTAAGAGTGTCAACCTTTTCCACGGAGGAGTTGCCGACAAACCTGCTGGGAAATACAGCGGGGGTATGAAAAGGCGGCTGAGTGTAGCCATTTCACTTATCGGGAATCCTAAGGTACACCATCATCTGAGAGTCCCTTTGCTTATTTTTTGGTAACCCATGATCTTTATAAATAGTACACTTAGAGAGTTGAGCTTTTTCAACCTTAACAAACTCGTCCTCATTTTCTTTTTTTCCTTTGAAGGTGGTTTATATGGATGAGCCAAGTACAGGACTTGATCCAGCCTCGAGAAAGAACCTATGGACTGTCATCAAGCGTGCAAAACAAAACACTGCGATAATCCTCACAACCCACTCAATGGAAGAAGCAGAATTTCTATGTGATCGATTGGGTATTTTTGTGGACGGAGGCTTGCAATGCATTGGCAACCCTAGAGAGCTGAAGGGAAGGTACGGTGGATCTTATGTGTTTACAATGACAACATCATCAGAACACGAGCAAAACGTGGAGAAGCTGATTCAAGATGTCTCGCCAAACGCCAAGAAGATATATCACATCGCAGGAACCCAGAAGTTTGAGCTTCCAAAAAAGGAGGTTCGGATTTCAGAGGTGTTTCAGGCGGTGGAGAAGGCGAAGAGCAACTTCACGGTTTTCGCTTGGGGACTCGCAGACACAACTCTTGAAGATGTCTTCATAAAGGTTGCTAGGAATGGTCAGGCCTTTAATGTCTTTTCTTGATCTTCTTAGATTAATACGCCCATGTTTTGTCCAATGTCAATAATTTTTTATGTCAAATTGCTACCACAGATACAGAATTACTGAATTAGTGTTTATAAGATTTCATGTATATTACTGGATATATGTTACAAGTTCTTGATTTTTCAATGAAATAGAGAGTATACATAAAACTATTACTAGAGCTCCTGAAGCAAAGTGGCGACACAACAACACTTGGAGATGTTTTTCCCTGATGGTTCGCAATGTCATAACCATTGGTTTTACTCTGTTTTGAAATTCATATATCGGCTATGAAAGTTGGAGATACCTAAATAGTACAGCAATAAACTCAAATTTCTACGTTTTCGTAATAATTAAGAAAAAAAAAACCATATGTATCTTATTATATTCATATTTGTATAGGTTTTGGTAAAGAGTACATTTCTGAGGTGAGTGATGCAAGGAATACTATTACTTGACCTACACGAAACAACTTACAAGAAAATACAGTGCTATTGTCCAATACATGTATGCCACTTCAGTAACGTGTATAGTTAAAGTGTTATCTCTTAATTCTTGATACTTTAAGTATATGCCCTTCTCTATATATGTATATCTAAGAAAAAATTCAGAGATTCCTTAAAAATTATTCTACTCCACCATCAAATCTTCTCACATTCTCTGTGATGGCTGATTCAAGTCCTGCAAGTTTCATGACTCAAGCCGACGCTTTACTTAGGAAGAATTTAGTTTTCCAGGTTTCAATACACTTTAAATAACTAAAACGGCTAAAACATAGTAAAAGTTTCCACTGAGGTATTGTTTCCTTTTCTTTTTTGATGCAGAAACGGAACATAATACATATGGAGCAATATACGTCTCATCACGATCCCTTTCTTCCTCTGTTTACTTCTCCTTGTTGTTCAAATGCTCTTCAACACTCAATTAAACGACGTCCATGGTCAATGTGGTTGCAAAGAGAAAACTTGCGACTTAAGGTATTCTACTTCAGAGCAAGCAGCGTTTTGTGCCATTCCTAATCCACCACAATGGACTCCAATGCTTCAAATTCCGGCTCCTCAATACCGAGTCGCGACCACATATCCTAGCCATTCTTCCCCTGCAACTTTTCTCTTCACCGGGAATAATCAGTCACTCGGACAAAGTATAAACCCTATAAATTTACTCCTTTGAGATATGAAACGTTTATAACTCTTTTTTGAAATTACGATAAACATCACAAACCTTATTGAATTTTTTTGGAAGATTTCTAATTAACTTTAAACAAAAAAAATTTGGAAAAGAAAAATTAAAGAAATACATTATCATGAACAAATTCAAAGAGAAACTAAATCAAAGTAAATTTATTTTCCGAACATAGAGTATTAATTAATCAAAGACTTTTATGTTTTTTTTTTTTGTGTGTAAAGATTTTTTTGTTCTTAAACTGAAATAAGACTACTGGTAAAAAAATAAACTGAAATAAGACTTTTCTTGTGACATCATAACATTTTTTCCCTTTCTACGGGATCATGGATTGCTTCTTGTCCAAGTAATTGCCACAGTGGAAAATGTTTGAATTTTGAACAAATCTTTTTTAAATGGTCAAAAATATCATAGTCAACTAAATTACCCGATCCGAGACATTAAATACACTAGTTTAATGAATTGCGTTCACACGTGATTACGTCTGAAATGACGTATTAATCATCAACTATGCCAATTAAAAAACTTTATTCAAATAGAAAACAAATAATTGAAACTCTCTCCTCTTCCACAACTTGAAGAATATATTGGGTCGTGGGGATCACTCTCCTCAGCTTCCTACCAAATTTACATTTGAATCTTTCTTTTAGAGCTGGGCATAAAACCCGAAATCCGAAAACCGATCCGAAAAATTCGGAACCGAATCCGAACCAAATAGTCACAAAATCCGAATGGATAATGAATTTCCCTATCCGAATTACCCGAACCGAACCCGATCCGAACCGAAAACCAAATGAATATCCGAAAACCGGAAATAATATTATATATCCAAAAATATTAGTTATATTTAGTTGTAATTTTATAGCAAATCACAAAAATATCCTAAATAAACTAGATTTCGGAAACTTTTTAGTTATATTAGTTAAAATTATACATATTTTTGCAAAATTTAACCAATTTTAGTAAGATTAAATCAATTTTTATTTAAATTGAACAATTTTCAGTTTTTTTTCCCCGAAAACCGATCCGAATCCGACACCTATCCAAACTGAAACCGAACCGTTGAATCATAAAATCCGAACGGATAATAAACTCTCCTACCCAAATTATCCGAATCCGAATATATCCGAATCGAAACCGAACCAAAAAATCATAAAATCCGAACGAATAATAAACTCTCATATCCGAATCCGAATATATCCGATCCGAATCCGCCCAGGCCTACTTTCTTTAATTGTCACTTTCTTGATTTCCTTTTTATTGTTAGACCAAGAGAATAAGTCCAACAAACTAATAAAAGATACTCCCTCCGTTTCAATTTAGTTGTGTCGTTTTAGGATTAAAATTTTGTTTCATAATAGTTGTCGTTTTAGGCTTTCAATGCAAATGTTTGGGGAAAATTCATGTTTTGTCATTAATGTTTTAATGTTTTGACCAATAAAAAAATTATAAAATATATTAATAAAGGGTAAAACAAAAAAATTAATGATTTTCTTAATTTGTGTGCGAAAACCTTAAACGACAACTAAAACGAAACGGAGGGAGTAACTAATTAAGACGTACTTAAAGAAAATAATAAAGTGTATGCATAAGGGTACTATCGTAATTTCACAGACCGTATCTGATCTCTGTTCTTCTTTCCTCCGCCCTGCTACTATATGAACCCAAAAGGCGGTGATTTGATTCGTTCGTTCTAAGTTCAAAATTGGGTTTACTAAAGGAATTAGGATTCACAATTTTTATTAACCCAAAAAAAATCATAAACCTAAAAATAATTTAAGAGTAAAAGAGAGAAAAGAGCGAAGATTACGAAAATCGTCATCAATGGCGGATCCTGGTCCAGCCAGTTTCTCAACGAGAGCCAATGCCTTGCTTAGGAAAAACTTAACCTATCAGGTATATTTTGCGTTTTCTTTTCCTTCACGGAATCCAATTACACATACAAGTTTTCGTTTGATTTTCGATTTAGTCGCTGATTTATTGAATATCGTAAGTAATTACAGATATCTGAGCTAGGATTATGTTGATGTTACTATCCGTAGTTCTAATTTTGTAAATAAATTGTGTGTTGGTGTAGAAACGGAATCTATGGAGCAATATTCGGTTTATCATGATCCCTTTCGGCCTCTGTATACTTCTAGTGATTATACAAGTCCTGTTCGATACAAATATTAATAACTCTGCTGATAATCGCTGTGGTTGTCGATGCATCGTCAGAAATAGAGCTGGAAAATGCGAAAGAGAGATTTGCGGTTTAGAACATTCTAAACCGGATCAAGCTTTCTTTTGTTCCATCCCTAGTCCTCCACTATGGCCTCCATTGTTACAAATCCCGCGTCCTGAGAGTCGCGATGTTAGAGGTCTTCCTAATGATACTTGTAGACGAACAGGATCTTGTCCTGTTACTATACTCTTTACTGGAAATAACCGTTCCGTTGGAACAAGTATGTCTCTTTTCTCCTCCTCTTTTTTTTTTTTTCTTCTGTTCTTTCGGCATATTTTACATTGTTCACTGGAACTTATCTTCATGTTTTCTCTAGCTGTTTTTGGGAATCTACTCACTAGTTCTATACCGACGAACTCTTCTGACATCTTGCTGACTTTAGCTAATAATGTTTTGGTAAGTTCTTTGGTTGGATTCTCTTTGTTTCCATTATTAAGTGTGGGATACTGTTCTTAGCTTCCTTGAGATCATGTTTTAGGGTACAACAGCTGAGGCAGATTTCAGCAATTATCTTGATCCAGGGATTGCCTCAAATCTTCCTATCTACAATATCCAACCTAGTTGCATTCTAAATGCTACGTTCCCATTCTCATTCGGACAACCACCTCTCAAGTTTGAGAAAGGTATTCAGTTTTCAATCCTATAGATGTTTAAGATGTCAATTTGAAAAGTTTTAAGAGGGATATTGAATGTTAGGTATGTTTATATCATTGTTAGCTTAATGTAATGCGTTCCTCTGTATGCGTTTGTTAAACATGATATTTCTTTCTTCCATATATTGTCCTCATGACTCTAAGTTATCTTCTGATGAAACATTCTTGCGGTCGATTAACTTAATGTTTGTGTCAAAACCAGAGTTGAGATGTGTTGAAGGATTCAATGTCTGGCAAAATACCTCCATAAAGGTCAATGATCTGATTTTCAAGGGTTTTCGGAAAGGAAATCCCGAGGGGAAGATAAATGAGATCGCTGCAGGTTCGTCAACTTCTCAGTCGGTTTATCTATAACAATGCTTAATAAGCACATGAGATTTCTGACTCTTACTATCTGATTTTTTGTTGCCTTAGCATATGATCTCTTGAACACTGATACGAACAATTTCAATGTGTACATCTGGTATAATGCAACAAACAAGGACGATGCAGAAAATAGACTTACAAAGTTGGTCCGAGTTCCCCGCTTAGTCAATTTGGTAAGGAAACAACAATGTACTCAACATGTCCTCATCATTGTATTCACGCTTTGCTCTTTACCAATGTGGCACCACTTTCTTGATTGACCTGATGCTTACTCTTTGCCAAACTGCAGGTGTCAAATGCTTACCTTCAATTTCTACAAGGCTCGGGGACAAGGATGTTGTTTGAATATGCCAAAGAAATGCCAAAACAAGAAACAAGTCTTCGTCTGGACATCGCGTCTCTAATTGGCCCCCTTTTCTTCACATGGGTTATTCTTCTTCTGTTCCCTGTAAGTATTCTTTCAATAGAGGCTTTATTTCACAAATTTTCACCCTGATGAATCTTATAAACAACAAGAATTCTGCTTTCTCTGAAGTCTATCCAGCCTAAGATATGAAATTCGTATTCAAATCCATTTTTGTATGCAGGTGATCGTGTCGTCATTAGTGTATGAGAAACAGCAACATCTGAGAATTATAATGAAAATGCATGGCCTAGGAGATGGTCCTTATTGGATAATTTCATATGCCTATTTCCTTACCTTATCCGTGTTATACGTTATATGCCTGATGATATTCGGGTCAGCAATAGGTAACTGAAGCCTTTCTCTCTTTATATATTTCTTACATTAGATTTTATATACAGATTTCTTTTCCAATCTGGGTCTTTATAGTTGCTGGTTCCCTGCAGGACTGAAGTTCTTTCGGCTTAATGACTACAGCATCCAATTCGCACTCTATTTTCTCTATGTGAATCTGCAAATCGCCTTTGCCTTTCTAGTTTCTTCAGTATTTTCAAATGTCAAGACATCAACAGGTACTAACAACATCGTGCTTCTTGAATTTGATCAAGAACATGTTGGGGTTTAAAGGAACTAATGTGCTTTTCTCTTATGTCTTAATCATAGTTGTTGCTTACATATACGTGTTTGGATCTGGACTTTTGGGTTTGTTTCTATTCGACTTTCTAATTGAAGATTCATCAATTCCTAGTAAGTTATTATGATTAACTTGAAGAACGATATTCAATACACTCAGTTATGTGTTTTCACAACTGACCGCAATTGCAAATGAATTATACTTTTCCAGGAGGCTGGATTATTGTCATGGAGTTATATCCTGGCTTTTCCTTATACCGTGGGCTGTATGAGTTGGGGCAATTTGCTTTCGGGGGACACTTGAGAGGGGAAGATGGGATGAAGTGGAAAGATTTCAGTGCTAGTGCAATGGATGATGTTTTTTACATCATTATTGCTGAGTGGTTTCTCGCACTCATTGCAGCATACTATATTGATAAGATTTCTTCATCCGGAAAAGACCCGTTGTTCTTCTTGCAAAACCCTTTCAAGAAATCTCCTTCTTTGCGAAGGCCTAGTTTGCACAGGCAAGGCTCCAAAGTCTCAGTTGAGATGGAGAAACCAGATGTCACTCATGAGGTATGTCAAAGGCTTTACAATATATTCCATGTTCTTGATAATACTGGTTCTGATAACAAAAATTGTTCCAATCAGAGTGAAAAAGTCGAGCAGTTGATACTTGAGTCGAGCACAAGCCATGCGATTGTATGTGACAACCTGAAGAAGGTGTATCCTGGTAGAGATGGGAACCCGCCTAAATTGGCAGTGCGGGGGTTATCTCTCGCTGTGCCTTCAGGAGAATGCTTTGGCATGTTAGGGCCCAATGGTGCTGGCAAGACCTCCTTCATCAATATGGTCAGTAACACAAATGGACAGAATCTTTTTTCCACAATATATTTGCTGATCGACAATCTCTATCTAGTATATGCTCAAACGAATTGTGCGTCAGATTATAATCTTGTAACCTTAGTAATATGTCCTCTATTTTCTTGGCCAGATGATTGGGCTCTTGAAACCAACATCTGGGACAGGGCTTGTTCAAGGTCTGGATATATGCAGTGATATGGACCGAGTATACACCAGCATGGGCGTATGCCCGCAGCACGAGTAATTAAATTCTTGAAAATCATTTCATTTTGTTCTTCGCCAATAAAGTACCACATAAAGAGTTGTTTGTGGTTTCAGTATAGAGGATATAATTGTTTAATCAGTCTCTTGTTGTCTGCGTATACCAGCTTGCTCTGGGAAACACTGACAGGAAGGGAACATCTGCTGTTTTACGGGAGACTTAAGAATCTCAAAGGTTCTGATCTCAACCAAGTATGTTATCAATCTCTTCTATATTACTTCAAAAAGTTATCAAAACGTCAATTTCATGATTGCTCAATCAATCTTACTCTCATCATTATTACCTTGCATAAGGCTGTGGAAGAGTCTCTTAAGAGTGTCAACCTATTCTACGGAGGAGTTGCCGACAAACCTGCTGGGAAATACAGTGGTGGTATGAAAAGGCGGCTGAGCGTAGCCATTTCACTTATCGGGAATCCTAAGGTACATTTAAGGCTTTAGAAATAGACAAAACCTAGAGAATTGAGCTTTTTTCAAGCTTAACAAAATCTGCCTCAATAATTTTTTATCTTTGAAGGTGGTTTATATGGATGAGCCAAGCACAGGACTTGATCCAGCCTCGAGAAAGAACCTATGGACTGTCATCAAGCGTGCTAAACAAAACACTGCGATAATCCTCACAACCCACTCAATGGAAGAAGCAGAATTTCTTTGTGACCGATTGGGTATTTTTGTGGACGGAGGCTTGCAATGCATTGGCAACCCTAAAGAGCTGAAGGGAAGATACGGTGGATCTTATGTGTTTACGATGACAACATCTTCAGAACACGAGCAAAACGTGGAGAAGCTCATTAAAGATGTCTCCCCAAACGCCAAGAAGATATATCATATCGCAGGAACCCAGAAGTTTGAGCTTCCAAAAGAGGAGGTTCGGATCTCAGAGGTGTTCCAGGCGGTGGAGAAGGCAAAGAGCAACTTCACAGTGTTCGCTTGGGGACTCGCAGACACAACTCTTGAAGATGTCTTCATCAAGGTTGCTAGGAGTGGTCAGGCCTTTAATGTCTTTTCTTAATCTTCTTAGATTCATACATACATGTGTCGTCCGTTGTCAATATTTGTTTATGTCATATTGCTACTACAGATTTCATGTATATTACTGAAAATATTATACAAGCTCGTGAATTTTCAATGAGATTATACATTTATACTTGAAACGATTACTAAAGCTCCTGTAGCAGAGAGTTGACACAACAACACTTGCAGATGTTTTCATACAAAGGCCAATGGTTCGCAATGTCATAACCATTGATTGTTACTCTGTTTTGGAATTCATATATCGGCTATGAAAGTTGGGATTACTAATCTAGAGTTCATAAGAAAAACCTAAATCGTAGCAATAAACCCATATTTCTACATTGTCGTAATAATTAATTAAAAAAAAAACCCCAATATGTATCTTATTATATTCATATTTGTATAGGTTTTGGTAAAGAGTACATTTCTGAGGTGAGTGATGCAAGGAATACTATTACTTGACCTACACGAAACAACTTGCAAGAAAATACAGTGCTATTGTCCAATACATGTATGCCACTTCAGTAACGTGTATAGTCAAAGTGTTATCTACTTAATTCTTGATATTTTAAGTATGCCCTTCTTTATGTACATCTAAGAAAACATTCAGAGATTCCTTAAAAATTATTCTACATCAAAGAAAACATTCAGAGATTCCATCAAATCTTCTCATATTCTCTGTGATGGCCGATTCAAGTCCTGCGAGTTTCTTGACTCAAGCCGATGCATTACTTAGAAAGAATTTAGTTTTCCAGGTTTCAATACACTTTTAATAACGAAAACGGCTAAAACATAGTAAGAATTTACAATGAGGTTTTGTTTATTTTTGTTCTTCGATGCAGAAACGGAACATATGGAGCAATATACGTCTCATCACGATCCCTTTCTTCCTCTGTCTACTTCTCCTTGTTGTTCAAATGCTTTTCGACACTCAATTCAACGACGTCCATGGTCAATGTGGCTGCAAAGAGAAAACTTGCGACTTAAGGTATTCTACTTCAGAGCAAGCAGCTTTTTGCGCTATTCCTAATCCACCACAATGGACTCCATTACATCAAATTCCGGCTCCTCAATACCGAGCTGCGACCCCATACCTGAGCCATTCTTCCCCTGCAACTTTTCTCTTCACCGGGAATAATCAGTCACTCGGAAAAAGTATAAACCCTATCAATCTACTCCTTTGAGATATGAAATGATTATAACTCTTTCTTTCTATGTTCAATATTTTTTTTTTGTTTTGCTAGTTCTAATGGGAAATATGTATAGCAATTCAGCTGAATTTGATGGAGATTTAGCCAATCATGTCTTGGTAAGTTTCATGAAACAATGTTACATCTTGATTATGGTTTTGTGTTTTCTTATTCTCTTAAACTTTATAATATATATGCAGGGCTCATCATCTTTCCCTGCATACACCAATTATATGGACTCTGCTTTCATCTCAGATATTCCCATCTACAACATCCAACATGAATGCTCACCAAACTCTTCTTTCTCAATCTTAATTCACCAATCACCTCTTGCTTTGCCTAAAGGTATAACAAACAAAAAAATCCAATTTAAAATATCAAAGTCTTAAATGTCTACAAGGATGCTTTTAGAAACAGAGGATTTCTTTCTTATGTCTAGAGGTAAACTGTGTCCAAGGCTTAAATCTGTGGCGGAATAGTTTTTCCGATGTGAACAATGAGCTTTTCAAGGGTTACCGAAAAGGAAATCCGGACGAGAAGATCAACGAGTTTGCTGCAGGTCTCTCATCTTACTTCTTTAAGATAGTGTTGTGTGTGTGTCTTAACTTTCCATTTTTTAGCTTTTGATTTTCAGAACACAAATGGGAACAATCTCAATGTTTTTGTTTGGTACAACTCCACCTACAAGAACGATACAGTGGTTCGACCTATGGCTCTGATTCGAGTTCCTCGCTTAGTTAATTTGGTGCATTTTGTGCTTCATCCTTTACTCGAACATCGATGTTGTCATTTAGTACACAATCTTGAGTTCATATTTGTTTTTTTTCATCTGTATTTTTTCAGGCATCTAACGCATATCTTGAGTTCCTAAGAGGTTCTGAGACAAAGATACTCTTTGAGTATGTCAAGGAAATGCCTAAACCAGAGACTAAATTGAGCTTAGACATCGCCTCTCTAATCGGCCCGCTCTTCTTCACATGGGTCATTCTGTTGTTATTCCCTGTAAGTCTTTAGATTATCTAACTGAAACATTTTCAAAACATTCCTCATGTCGGCTTTAAACACATTTTTCCTCTGTATCATATTATAGGTGATCTTAACAACACTGGTCTATGAAAAACAACAGAGGTTGAGAATCATGATGAAGATGCATGGCCTTGGCGATGCTCCTTACTGGATAGTTTCATACACTTATTTTCTTTTGATATCGATCCTATACATGTTGTGCTTTGCGATATTCGGGTCAGCCATTGGTAATAATAACACAAACTCTATCCAATCTGCTAATACTATATGTTACTTCTAAATCTTTTTATGTTCTTTCTCAGTTCTTAATGCTTTTACTTTTCTGCAGGGTTAAACTTCTTTAGGCTTAATGACTATAGTATCCAACTTGTGTTCTTCCTCATATGTACAAATCTTCAAATATCACTTGCCTTTTTAGCCTCTGCAATGTTTTCAGATGTTAAAACTGCTACAGGTACTGTATCATCGCGGCTTTAGTTCAAGATTATCAAAATGATGATCACAGTTGTTAAATTTTCATTTGAAAATTTCAGTTATAGCATACATATATGTCTTTGGAACCGGGCTTCTAGGAATCTTTCTTTTCCAATTCTTCTTGGAAGATCCTCTCTTCCCAAGTAAGTTCTCAAAACTGAATCAAACTTTTGGCTAGATTTGTTATGATTCATGTGATTTTTCTCTAGGAGGATGGATAATTGCAATGGAGTTATACCCTGGATTTTCTTTATACCGCGGGCTATATGAGTTATCACAATCTGCATTCTCGGGAGATTACCGCGGCATTGATGGAATGAGATGGAGAGATTTTGAGAATGGAATGAAAGAAGTGACTTGTATCATGCTCATTGAGTGGCTGTTACTGCTTGTTTTAGCATATTACATTGATCAAATCTCTTACTCAGGGAAACATCCATTGTTCTTCCTCCTGAAAAGCTCTTCAAAGAAGAAACAAGATCACTTCTCTCAGAGCCAAACTTCCAAAGTTGTTGTCGAAATGGAGAAATCAGATGTGTGTCAAGAGGTAAAGAAAGAGACAAGATCAACTTCAGGTTCAGTATTAACAAGGCTGAATAAGATTTTTATGCATTTTTGTTTGGTGTCAGAGGGAGAAAGTAGAGCATCATCTACTCGAATCAACTGGAGACTGCGCGGTTTTATGCAATAACCTCAAGAAGGTGTACTCGGGTAAGGACGGTAATCCTCAGAAACTCGCGGTTAGAGGATTATCTCTTGCTTTACCTCAAGGAGAATGTTTTGGCATGCTTGGTCCTAATGGAGCAGGCAAAACTTCTTTCATCAATATGGTCCGTTTTAATATCATATCTATTGATCTTTTGTCTAATAAAACTCCTCTGTTTATGAGTCAAGTGCGCATCTTCTGGTCAACCTCTTTGCCATTCTAATATTCTGTGTAGATGACAGGAATCATTAAACCATCATCTGGCAAAGCATTTGTCCAAGGTCTTGACATACTAACCGATATGGACCGGATATATACAACAATAGGAGTCTGTCCACAACATGAGTAATCTATAAATATGATCTCTGTTTCATTCTTTACTCTAAGGCTGCCTTGTTTCTTACTCCCTTTCATTGAACTGTCTGAAGTCTTCTGTGGGAGAAATTGAGTGGAAGTGAACATCTACTGTTTTATGGAAGGCTCAAGAATCTCAAAGGTTTTGTCTTAACACAAGTAAGTTTTTGTTTTAACTTTGAATGTGGTTGGTTTGTGAATGACTTATGTATAAAAGCAAAAACTGATGACTGTTCTTGGGTTTTAGGCTGTCGAAGAGTCACTTCGCAGTGTCAACCTTTTCCATGGAGGGATTGGCGACAAACAAGTAAGTAAATACAGCGGAGGGATGAAGAGACGGCTCAGCGTCGCTATTTCTCTTATAGGAAGCCCAAAAGTAACTCAAAACCTCTCTTGGTATCTAAGTTCTATGATATGACTTTTTTTAACTAGTTATCTGTAATAAATCTTTTGAGAAAATTTGTCAAGGTTGTTTACATGGATGAGCCAAGTACCGGGCTTGATCCAGCCTCGAGGAAGAGCTTATGGGATGTAGTGAAACGGGCTAAGCGAAAAGGGGCGATAATACTCACTAGTATAGTCTTCTAAGCTTCTTATCTCCATTTTGTTCTGCCTCATAATATCTTCAAACAAAAGAAAACTTCAGCTTTGGTCTTATAATGTTTCAGCACATTCAATGGAAGAAGCTGAAATTTTATGTGACCGTATTGGAATTTTCGTCGATGGTAGTTTGCAATGCATAGGCAATCCGAAGGAGGTAAAACTGAAAAACATCTTATATACTTGAATCATTGAAAACAGAGAATAACTGTATTAACAACCAATGTTCAAAACATAAACGTGATCCAATATCAACTTAAAACTTTAATGACAGTTGAAGAGTCGATATGGAGGATCCTATGTATTGACTGTGACAACTTCAGAGGAACATGAGAAAGAAGTGGAGCAATTAGTGCATAACATCTCTATGAATGCAAAGAAGATATATCGAACCGCGGGGACTCAGAAGTTTGAACTGCCTAAGCAAGAGGTGAAGATTGGTGAGGTGTTTCGGGCGGTGGAGAAGGCGAAGACAATGTTTCCAGTAGTTGCTTGGGGACTTGCAGACACAACTCTTGAAGATGTCTTTATAAAGGTTGCACAAACTTCTTAACTAACAACTCTTTTGAATGTTTCCTCTTGATCAATCTCAATCTTTTCTTCATCTTATGTCAAGCTCAAAGTCACAAACTATATTTCATATAACACAAATTAAGATTTATTCTATTTTAAAAAAATAAAAATAAAAATCATTTATTTCCGTAAATAGTTAATATGATTTTCTATTCTAAAAATGGAAACAATGGATAGACTTCAATTAGACGTAATTTTATTCCACAAATAATAATGAGTCTCTTCATCTTATCCCTTTATTCTCGCTTTCTTAAGTTTGCTTTTGCCCCTATCCTAATCCTAGGCTTTGTCTATTCTTACTTTTTCGACCAAACTAATTACTGTGACAAATCTTCGTTTTAAAAGATAATGAGACAAATTACTTTTGGGAAACTGTTGGAAGAGTGGACTAAAATAGGATTGCAGGAGCTAAGTTCAAAATTTAATAGAAATCAAATGTGTACAAAACAAAACCAACACCAATGAACTGACATAACTCTCCAATGTCTTGAAGGTAACAAAATGGTTAAAATTTTCAAATACTGGTCTAAACCTACAATTTAGTTTATTTCTTCTTTTTGGTCAAACCTACAATTTAATTTACTAGTATAAACTTTTCAAACAAGAGAATTAGCACGAATCAAATTCAAGAAATTTACCCACTAGAAGAGAGAAAAATCAAAATAGTCTACTTTTTGCTAGTGGTCCGTGGGTGCATTTAAGAGCGAGGGACATTGTTCGTGACCAAAACTCAATGAAAAGACAAAAGAAAAATAAAAAGAGAGAAAAAATGTATATACACAAATAGAATAACAACTATTCGTGAAAGAAAGAAAAAAAAAACAGAACAGAAGAATTCGAAATATACAGTCAAATGCTTCAAATTTTTGGATAATTATTAAAAAAAAAAGTTTCTGTTTCTACAAAAAAAAAATGTAGAACATTAAAAAAACTTTAAAAAAAGCTTCGAATTTTTGTAATTTTATTCAAAACAACAACTGTATAACGAAAAGTCCTAAAATAAAAGGTGAAGACTAAAAATATCTTATACAAATCTAAATTACAAACAAGGAAAATTTGTTTATCAAAGTTTGGGATAATAGTCTCTTATCTCTCTCATCCACACTAATATAAATAGGATACAAATGCATACACAACACAATACCAAGAAGATAAATCCAAACTTTTATTTCTCTCTCTCTCTTTCTTTGTCCATTTCTCTGACATAACTCATAGATCCTGATTGATCTGGAAAAAAAAATGGTGAAGAAGCAATCGTCATTACACGTTCTTGGTGTGTCTGTTTTGCTGGTGTTGTTATGTTGTGTTAATTACAGTCTCTGTGAAAAGATCAAAACCTATAAGCTCACAAGAGGAAGCTTAAGTGTTACCTTCACTAACTATGGTGCTGTCATGACCTCTCTTCTCCTCCCTGACAGACATGGTCTCTCTCCCTCTGTCTCTCTTCCATTTTTTACTGGTGAATTTTCTCTGTTTTAAATCTGATTTTTTTTCTTCTAATGATTCAGGAAAACAAGACGATGTTGTTCTTGGATTTGATACTGTTGATGGTTACAAGGTAATTTTCTTCTAATTTGAAATTAACTTTTTTCTCATTTATCCTGATTTGTTCTTCTTATCACATTTTTTTGGTAAAAATCTTGGGGTTTGGATAAAACTCGATGTCCGGCTCAAAAAAAGCCTTTCCTTTTAAGATTGTCACGTTATTCGATATCCATCTACTTATTAAAAACGAATTTAACTTTTGTATAACCCACGTGATGATAGGCGTTATTGTTAAAAACAATAAATTTAATAATAATTTTGGATTATTATTATTGTAGAATGATACAACATATTTTGGAGCAATTGTGGGAAGAGTGGCTAATAGAATAGGAGGTGCTAAATTCAAATTAAATGGTCAATTATACAAAACCGATCCCAACGAAGGCCATAACACTCTCCATGGTAACTTATATTCACTTGTAGTATCATTTTTCATAATAATTCTTCAATTGATTTCATCCATCATTTTAGAAATTTCATATATATAGTACTAATGATATTTGCTTTTAAAAAATAAAATCAGGTGGTGCAAAGGGATTCAGTGATGTGATTTGGTCAGTACAAAACTATGTTCCCGGTAGCCACATTACTTTCACATACGATAGCTTCGACGGTGAAGAAGGTACTTATTATATTAAACAGATCTTATTAGTTACTATTAAACATTTTAATTTTATGCTAACCCATAATATTACTCTTTTTAATCTTCTCTTTTTTTTTATAAATACTCTCGTTATTCGTTAATCTAAAAAAATAAAAATTAAAATTAATTTTTTTACATATACTTTAGATTAGATGATTGTTTTGTTTTCACATTAATCCAAAATTTCCTAAACTTTCGAGTTTTTTATGAACTTTTTATTTTCCGTCGTTCGAAAATTGAAATGTAATTTAATAATTTTTGACAGGTTTCCCGGGAAATGTGACGGTGAAAGTGACGTACATGTTGATCGGAGAAAACAAACTCGGCGTTAAAATGGAAGCAAAACCACTCAACAAACCAACACCAATCAACTTAGCTCTCCACACTTACTGGAACCTCCACAGCCACAACTCCGGCGACATCCTCTCCCACAAAATCCAACTCCTCGCCGGAAAAATCACTCCCGTCGACGACAAACTCATCCCCACCGGCGAAATCACATCCGTAACCGGAACTCCTTACGATTTCCTCGAGCCACGCGAGATCGGTAGCCGGATCCAGGAATTACCCGGCGGTTACGACATCAATTACGTTATCGACGGACCGATCGGGAAACATCTGAGGAAAACTGCGGTTGTGACGGAGGAAGTCACCGGAAGGAAGATGGAGCTGTGGACGAATCAGCCTGGTGTTCAGTTTTACACGAGTAATATGATGACACGTGTCGTCGGAAAAGGTAAAGCCGTTTATAAGAAATACGGTGGCTTGTGTTTGGAGACGCAAGGCTTCCCAGATTCCGTCAATCACAAGAATTTTCCGTCGCAGATTGTTAATCCCGGCGAGAGTTACTTGCATGTTATGCTCTTCAGATTCACTGCTCACTAATCGGGTCGGGTCGGGTCGGGTTTAATCTTTCCAATTTAAGAAATAATTTGGGGCTTGTGGTAATGCCAATAAAAATATTCGACTTTTGCAGAAAATTAATTTGTTAAAAGTTGTTTATTCTTCAATTTGCAAATTGTTAAAAGATTATTTTCCACAAGAAAGTTCTAAATGTTTAGGTGATTTCAGACGAAAACATAAAACGGTTTCAGGTTTTATTAATGAACTAAGGAGCAGAGTTGGTAGTAGGGGGCTTCTTGAACTCGATTTTGTCGACTTTAACTTCTCCATCGATTAGCTCATAGACATAGACTACAGCTCGGAAACCATCGATGTCCATAAGAACGAAGCTTGGGTTAACATCTTGGTTTATGCTGCTATAAGCTCCGGTTGCGGATCCCGGGTTTATCACCACTCCTCCTTCATGTTTGTAGGCTGTGAACTGGTGGGTATGGCCTGTTACAAGTATGTCCACACCGAGTTGTCTCTGAAGCATGGCGAGTGAGTCTAGATCACCCCATGGGATCACCTGTAAATACAACAAAGAGAGAAGCTCTTTTTCATACCACTGCAAGTAGGTTCTTAAAGTTTAACTTGACCATTGCTTCCTAAGGAACATGGAAGAACCATAAAACCAATTTTCATGATGACAATACGTGGAGAAATAGAAAAACAAACCTAAAGGAGGCATCTCTTTCATAGTTTAGTCTAAAACATTGACATGGAAAATCAATGATGCTGAAACTGACTTTCCCGTTTACTATTCTCCAAACACACAGTTCTTTATCATAAACAGAAATAAAGACTAGAGAGAAAAACTATTTGATGTGATGAATTTTGTCAGTCAGAGCCTGATTACATTATCATGCAAATAGCAATAGCGAGCAAATTCTGAAACTCACTGGGTAAGGACACACCAACAAAGCAGTGAGTTAAAAGGCAAACAAAATTCAGTTTTCTAGTCTGGAAATTCCGAGAAACAGATGATGTATAATACGAGGGATTATTTAGCTGAAGCAAAATGCTTGTGTCTAACTCGTAAAGCTCACAATGAAATGCGCAAGAGAAGAAAAACTGAACCTGGTGGCCGTGGCACAATCCCAGCTTGAATTGCCCGATAGTCAAGGTTTTGTTCTCAGGGTATCGTGCATCTTCATCAAACTCCCCTCGGACTATATGCAAATCAGGGCAGATAGTCTTCAAGTAGTCATGGATTTCCTAAAGCAGTCAAAAGATGCATTGCTTACAACAAACATGAACCAGAAAAGACTTCACAGCGTAAGAACAGATCAGGTAAGTTAACAATAGGAAAGCAAAGCATAAAAATGGCATACAACTCCTATAGAATGGTTAAAAACTCATTAACAGGTCTCCCCACTAAAAGAACACTGACCAAACCGAAATGGTAATGGACTTCCTCTTCCCATTTTCCACGAATCTCACACTACCAGGTAGGAAATAAACTCTGCACAATCCAGTAGATACAAAACAAGCTCCTAGTATATCAAATGAGATGAACATTCACCATTGAGTCCCCTTTCCCATTTTCCGGTATATCTCACACAACGAACTAAGAAAGTAAATCTAAAACCCGAGATACAGGATAAACTTAGGTTGCATCAGATAAAAATAATCATATAAAGCTTGAAACTAGAGTCTATTCTCACTATGAATCTTCTTTTTTACCTAATATGTAAATATCTCAGAAACAATTACATCAGACCAAATGATCCGACAAGGACATTAACGAGACAAAATAAAGCATAATAGAGATGTAAAGATCAAAAATTTAAGAGAACCCTACTTTGATACAGAGATTTCCAGTGCAAATGATGTGTTGAATCTTCCCAGGAACAAGCATTGATTTGAACTTAGGAGGTAGATCAGCCGCTCTATGGGGTACATGAAGATCCCCCAATGCCAATACCAGCACCATTTCAAACTTTCACGAGAAATAAAACACCAATCAAATAAAGAACAAGGTTGTCACTTTTGACACTAATCATATAGAATCTGGGTTGAGAAACAGATCAAAAACCAAAAGTCAATGAGATCGAACGATACAATGTGGAATAAAATCACAGCACCAACGTAATCAGATACCGTAAAGTTTCAGTTCACTACAAATGTTAAGTCTTTCTTTCCCTAAAATCGAACCTAAATAAGATTTAAGTGCAAATCAAACATAAAAGCATGGTTTTTGACACAAATTAGACAAAACCCAGATGTAACTCACCACTAGCTGCGTCGAAGAGATTAAAGGGCTTGTTAATTGATTCTTACTATAGAGAATAAATTGCCAGAAACTTGATACAAAGGTAGATTTCCCCAAAAGTTAAAAAAAAAAAAAAACGAAACTTAAGAAGATCAGAGCTTACCAGATCAAGGGCTCAAACAACTATCGAAGAAGATTCGTGATTGAAAGGAATTTTATGTGTTTGTTCGTGGGGATCTTCTCAGCGATCGATCGCCCATGGAAGATCCTTTGTTTTTCCTTTTCTCTTCTCTCCTCTGACTCTGATGATCTGAAAGAAAGGAAAAACAATATTTAAAAAGACTGAGATTTTAGAATTAAACAATTACTCCCTCCGTATTTTAATAATTGTCGTTTTAGAATTTTTATTTTTTTGAATTAGATGTCGTTTTCAAATTTCAATGCAAAATTTCTTACTTTTTAATGTTTTATGATGTCATAAAACATTAAAAAGTAATAAATTTTGCATAGAAATTTGAAAACGACATCCAATTCAAAAAAATAAAATTTCTAAAACGACAATTATTAAAATACGGAGGGAGTATAATTTTATATATATCTTTTCAACATTTTGATATTTTTATAAAATTTAGGTATATTTATTACTTTATTTCTTTATTTAGGTATGTTTTTATCCATAACATTTCTAGTGTTTTTTTTCTTTCATAACCTAGATTATAGATATATTTTTAATATAATCTGATATGTTTTAAAAATATTAATATTATATTTATAAAAGAAAAAATAAACACTAGAAATGTTATGGATGACAATAATAAAAATACTAAGACCATCTCCAACCATAGAATATTAAGTTCGGGTTTTTATGACACGACACTAAATATGAGAAAGAAGAAAAGAAAGAGAAAAAAGTCTCAAGAAAGAAGAGATTTTTCTCCGTTTCAATAAATCTACTTTCCACCAATTAAAACGTGACACGACACCAGCTCTTATGGGGCTTTTTAACCTCTTAATAAAGACTCATTCTTCAATAAATAGTCCAATTTGATTTATTTTTAATCCATAAAATTTAAAGAACTTTATATGAGAAGCCCCATTGTAGCCCCATTGTAGATGCTCTAATAGCTCTATTTCATGAATACTACTCTTCTACTTCTAAAAACACATACTCACATATATACGAATCGTTCTAGTTTTTGAACGCAATCTAGGATTTTCATTAATATTTTACAAAAGTTTATATATATATATATATATATATATATATATATATAATCCAATGATTAGAGTTTTTTATTAGTTTAACACAATTGCCATTCATGATTTTTGGTTCAAACCTAGCAAAAAGAAGGAACACAGATTTTCAATCATTTTCCTTGTCGCCTTCTCGCCATCCAACACCCACTTCTGAAACCAAACCTAGTTTCGATCCGGTTTAGATCAATACTATTTTTTTGTATTCACATCTAGAAGCATACTCGCCGTAGATTTAAAGGAGATGTCGTGTATCACCGTTGACACGCAATGAACCCACTAATCCCCCATTTGACTTCTACCGCAAGCCACATTTAGAGATCACCTTGACCCGGTTCGATTTCCTCCTTCATGGTTCATTTGCGTTCTCTAATAACTACTGACTCGACGAGTATGTTTATAATAGATCTCGTTGCTGGTAACTAGCCACTGCATACCTCGAACAACAAATCCATCATGTTTTATCACTGTCCGAGAAAAAAAAAAACTATTTACTATTAAACGACCATTACCGACAATAAAAATTTTAGAGAAAAAAAAAATCTTGAATTTGATCTAAAAAAAAGACGAAAAGCAAAGATTAGGCTTTTCTTTCTCTCATGACTAAAAGCTTTTCATTCATTTTTCAAACTTTCTCATATTCTACCGAAAATTGTTTAGTAAACAACTGAATACATGATAACTTTCCTCAAACTGTCATAACGAAAACAAAAGATTTTGTGTATGTTTTTTTAAAAATAATAATTGTAAGTTTGTAACTGTAACTGTAACCCACAGTCTGTTTTTACTCACTTGATCAACATTGGAAAATTCTAAAAAATATCAGTGGAATGTTTTCCAAGCTTCTTCGTCTTTGTTCATCTTACATGAGATTTTTCTATAGAAACTGGATCTATTCGAGGAAATTGTCTCTAAGCATAAAGTATTTGAACATTTTTGGTATAATCTACGACACCATGCATGTATTCTTGAACGTCTAAAGAATCTCAGACACACAAACTAATCTTATGGATGCGAATCCGAGAAGTATTTGTATATTTAGGACATATATGGACGAATACAATATGTGTATATTCAACTTGCGACTAGCGAGAATCTGTTGACAAAAAAATGACTACAAACTTGTTTTTAAAACTAGATGTTAACCCGCGGTACACCGCGGGCCTAAATATTATTTGAATTGTTTTTTAATTATTAATTTAAATATTTTATTTTACATATATGAATTTTTTTTAATTTAAATGTATATATTGATATAGAGAGTTGTATATATCTATAAATGGTAGAATTAGTCAATTTCAATTTCATTTTAGTAAACATAGATTTATAAAAATTTCAATACATCACTCACTTGTACTCAAATAATGCCATTTCCAGTTTTATAAAATTACACACATAAGATATTGTATTTGATTTCATTTGAATATAGTGAGTTTGGTAAAAATAAAATTTGTAGTATTTATGAACATATATTTAGTGCAAAGGAAATACTCCCTCTGTTCCAAATTATAGGATGTTTAAGCCTTTTTTTCTTGTTTCACAATATAAGATTTTCTCAGATTTTTATACATAATTTATGTTTATTTAGTTTATTTATGACCTTATGAATTCTGCTGTCTTTTTTTCTATTGGTTAAATTTTTATAAATAAATAAACATTTATTACTTCTTAATTTTTGTGCTTTTAACAAAAACATCTTATAATTTGGAACAGATGGAGTATAAGTTTTAAATGTGTGTAAATTTAGAAGATAAAGTGTTTTGGATTTATTATATGACATTAGTAATAGTTAGTAAGATTTATAGTTTAATGAAGTTGGTATAAAGTTATTAAAAGTAATAAATTCTATTTGATCGGAAAAAAAGAAAAAAAAATGACAACAATTTATTTGTTTGAAAAATGATTTATTTGTTTGAAAAATGATTTATTTGTTTCTGCAATCATGTTGAAGTGTTTTACCGAAACAATTTATGTATTAAATGACAACAATTTAATTGATTCAGTATGGAAACAAACTGTTTCAATTACGTACATAGCAAGTTTTCCACATTAATAAAACAAATGTAAAAGTGAAACTAATAAATCATTAAAGAAACCGAACCGTAGTACTCTAATCCCTCGCTCAATGTCGTCGTCTCTCTTCGAGATGAGCCGATTTTTCACCGATTTTTTTTCCCACATATGATAGCATGCCTGTGAGAAAACACAACCATAGTTCCACAATAATTGCCAATTCATCATTTTTACTAATTTAGATGCCTAAACGATTTGGATGTTTTAATAGTTTCCATTTGTTAGATATTCTTAATATATGTTTAAGAGCATTATCAAGCAATAATAATTAAAATTTGATTACGATTAGGTTTTGGTTAGTTGTTTATATTTAGTAGATATGACCGAGATTATGGTAATTAATAGTTTTAATTTTGAATATTTAACTTCCATATGTTAGGATCTCAAATCTCGTTATCATAAAAATAGGAATTGTTTGGGAAGTTTATTTATTGATTTGTAAATTTGCTTAAAACAAATATTTTAGAGTAAATGGTGGATTTAAATTGTTGAGCTGTAAATGGTGGATTTAAATTGTCGAAATTATACATTAAATGCCGATTATACTGTCATTAATTTGTTGCTTAAAAATCATCTTGTTAGAGATTTTGGAGAGAAAGAATATCGTAAATAGTATTTTTGGAGTAATTAAATTAGATATGAAATCTGGGATGTGAGATTTTAGAAAGTCTTGGTCGAGTAATAATGGAGAGATTTATGGCAATATTGTTGAAGTGTAAATCTTGGATTTTAATTCTGAAATTAAATGTTAGATGCCAATGTTATGTGCATATTCCCTTAAAAACAGTTAATAATTACTCATTAGTTATTGTTTTAAATTTTTGGGAGGTGTGGTGAGAAGTTAATTACGGAAATTATAAATATGGTTAATAAAAGAATTAAATTCGTTTTTTATTACAACATTCCTAAAAATCCTTATCCAAGATCCGAATAGAGTTAAACCCGGGTAAAACCCGGATCCAAATGAATTAATGCAAAAAAACCCTGTAAAAATGTATATGTAGATCATTGTGTACAGCACTTGCCTTGATTTTCTTGTATCGAGGACTTGCCATATTTGGCCTAAAAAATAGCCATAAGGCTTTTGTTTCTCTTTTTATAATGGGATTATTGTTGATTTTGCCATTTTTCATAGAAATCTTTTGAAATTGCCATTTTTACTAAAATCTTACGGATATGCCATTTTCTAACACTTAAAAATGTACGTATTTCGGAATTTTTTTTTGTAAAAATACGTAGTTTATACAAAATACAAAACCCTAAGAACAACCACAACCGACTAAACCCAAACATAACGAATAAAACGCATGTTAAATCATATTTCCGTAGCCTGAAAAAGGGCAAAATCCATAAACTATTCAAAAAAGGGCAAAATCCACAAATGCCATCCAAAAAAATGGCAAATCCATAATTGATTCTTTTATAATAAAAACCAAAGAGAAAACTTCGATTTGTTGTCGCCATGTTCTTTCTAATTGTTTGATATGTTGTGTGTCTCATAATTCATAAATACCAGCTCACACTAAAAACAGTTTTATTATGTTTTTACATACCAAAACAAAACTATATCAAGAAAGCTTCAACTTTTAAATATATTTCCCAACTGTTGGCAAAAAGAAAAAATATTGGCCACTAGGTCGTCATTGTCAACAGTAGTTTGGGGTTTAGAGTTTTAGGAGTTTTGCTGTCAAAAGTTTTTAATTAAACAAGATAATGAATCAAACATTAAAAAAAACATAGAAATTTGTATCATATTTGCTATGTCACGTCAATTTAGAACAACATGCTATATCTTATTTAGTTGTAAATATAAAATATTATTTATGTAATTTAAAATTTTGTGTCAAAATTTTATTACATGTATTTCCCATTATAATATGGCTATATCCATGATGGTTAAATTGCTATATGTATCTTCATTTTTCTATAAATTAATTACTAAATTTTTTTTTAAGGTTTGAAGTTCCCTAACACCATTTCGGTGTTTAAGGTTTATGTTCACAATCCGCATAGAGCCTTTTAATGCTTGAAAAACATGCGTCAAGATCGAATCTCTTTTGTTGCACACTGTCTGGACCTAATCCAATTCTTTGAAGAATGTGTGTTGTTGCCGTGTTGGCAACTAGTTTCTCGGTGTAGTCTCTTAATTTTGAACAGGTTTCAACAAGTCGATGTGTCTCGCTTATTGCTCAAAGAGGTCCAAGATGGTTTGATGTCCAAATCGAGCTTGATGCTCAGTTTAATTTATTTGCTTTGTGGTTACTTTTTGGTATTGGTTTCTCTATTCCCCTTTATGATTGAATTATTTCTCCGACGACAACAAAAACATATGAAAATTAAAACTTTAGTCAAACAATCGAAACCATGAAAAAATCTTAAATTAAATACCTTTTCTCATGTCTAACGGGTTTGTAACACGCCTTGAATTGTGTCATCAGCTGATGATGCTGTACATGAATCAATTTAATTTGTTTTGTCAATGAGGATTACTTAATTATATCATGCTTATAAAATTATGACTTAACTAAAGACAAATTGCACATAATCTATAGAAATTTATATTCCCTCGCCCTTTAGTAACCCTTTCTTGCTTCTTGGTCCACTATAAGATTTATTCAATGGTCGATTTTTAATGTGGAAACTAAAACTGTCATAGAGAAATGTAGCCACACAATGATAATTATTCAATTTTCAAATTTCTTTGGAATTTGTCTAGTTGAATAATACTGTAAATTAAATATGAATAAGTTCGAAGGAATAAGATTATGAAATTTCACCACACACATACAAAAAAAAAAGAGATAATTAGCTCAGAAGTAAAGATCTGGGATGAAATTAGTTTTTGATAAAATCTTGTCGGGGTCTAAAACAATTTTAATATTAGCCCATCCTCTTTCCATATTTAGCCTCACGCGCTCAGTAAACCGACGAAGTTTTTTTTTGTTTTTTCCTAGACGAATATGGGTGGCTTTGTAGCGTGCATGCATGTACACAAATGTTAACAATGTTCTATCTACGTGTTTATATGTATACAAATGTTAATAACGTTCTATATACGTGCTTACATGTATTTTAATGTTAATAACGCTTTATGTACGTATTTACTTGTATATAAATGTATTTTACTTGTTAATAACGTTCTATATACGTGTTTACATTAATGTTAATAACGCTCTATATACGTGTTTACTTGTATATAAATGTTAATAACTATCTATTATATATATGTGTATATATGTATATATTTACATGTATACATAGATCCAATAGCTTAACACTATAATAATTTTTAACGCTCTATTTATGTGTTTACATGTGTATAAGTATTAAAATCGTGTAATATATGTTTGTAGCGTGTTAAAATTGCTCTAACTCGAGAAACAAACAATTATTTTTAGTTTGGTAAGAGTCAGTTCACGTGTTGAGCATTTAATGTCTGTTAGTTCGTTTTTATTCTCTCCCAAAAGTCAAAGCGTCTGTCACGCGCATATCAAAAAATCAACATGGTTTTTTCGTTATTATTGGGAAATTGAGGGCCATTAGTTACGTGTTTTTTCTATTGTTTGAGACAAAAAAAAAAAGACATTTACTGATTCGCAAATTACTTGCTCTGTTTTTACCTCTGCGCAAAGTCTCCCAAAAAAAAAAACCCATTAATATCTTTTTTTTTTCGTAGATAAACTACTATACTAGTATAAAAAAATCCGAATATCCTATAATCATTTTCATTTGACAACATATATCCAATGATTATCTTAATCATTATTTTATTTACTAACTATGTTAAAGAGTAAGTAGTTAAAGAGTCTGGTTGGTAGTTAGTATCAAACCAGAGAGAATCTTTTGGACTCGATCAAAGAAACACCTTCCCATTAAAAACCTCAAAAGTTGAAGTCAAAACATCTCTTACAACAACAAAACCTCTCAGATTCTTCGCTTTGTTGTTTCTCTTCTTCTTCAAGTTCTGTCTCAAAATGGGCGATACCGGTAGACATAAATGGTTCTCCTTTCACCACCACCGTTCAGCCTCCGCCACGTCTATGCCACAACACAACAGCCCCGGCGAAACTCCGACGGAGTTCCTTTGCCCCATCACCGGATTCTTGATGTCAGACCCAGTCGTTGTCGCTTCAGGTCAAACATTTGAACGTATCTCCGTCCAAGTTTGCCGGAATCTAGGATTTGCACCGAAGCTTCACGACGGAACTCAACCGGATTTATCCACTGTAATCCCAAATCTCGCCATGAAATCAACAATTCTCAGCTGGTGCGATAGAAACAAAATGGAGCATCCTCGTCCTCCTGATTACGCTTACGTTGAAGGTGTGGTTCGTACCCGAATGGATTCAATTCCTCCGGGTACGGGTCATCGGATCGCTAAATCGGAAATCTTACCTCCGGTGGCTGAGAATTCGAATTCGAATTCGGATTATGAATCTGTAATGGGAGCGATTCGTTCTCGTTCAAGAACTTCAATTTCGTCAAGCACTTCTCTTCCACTTCACCAAACCCGACCCGTTAATCACTCGACCCGGATCCAAAACTCATTCTCTACATCGGATTATTCATCTTTTCCTCCGATGTCACCGGAAGAAGAAGAGATCTACAACAAATTAACAAGCGTAGACACAATCGATCACGAGCAAGGTCTGATTCAGCTAAGGAAGACGACGAGGTCAAACGAGAGCATGAGAATCTCTCTATGCACTGATCGGATTCTCTCATTACTCCGATCTCTGATCGTTTCACGGTACAACATCGTGCAAACAAACGCCGCCGCGTCGATCGTTAATCTCTCGTTAGAGAAACCTAACAAATTGAAAATCGTACGGTCAGGATTCGTTCCTTTATTGATCGATGTTTTGAAATCGGGATCAACGGAGGCGCAGGAACATGTAATCGGAGCTTTGTTTAGTTTAGCGGTTGAGGAAGAGAACAAAATGGTGATCGGAGTTCTTGGTGCGGTGGAGCCGCTTCTTCACGCGCTTCGATCATCGGAGAGTGAGAGAGCGCGTCAAGATGCAGCGCTTGCGCTTTATCATCTGTCGTTGATTCCGAATAACCGAATTAGGCTGGTTAAAGCCGGTGCGGTGCCGATGTTGCTGTCTATGATCAGATCCGGTGAATCGGCAAGCCGGATTGTTTTGTTACTATGTAACTTGGCGGCTTGTTCGGAAGGGAAAGGAGCGATGCTTGACGGGAACGCGGTGTCGATACTGGTCGGGAAATTGCGAGAAAGTGGAGGAGGTGAGTCAGACGCGGCGGCGCGTGAGAATTGTGTGGGGGCTTTGTTGACATTGAGTATAGGGAATATGAGGTTTAGAGGACTGGCGAGTGAGGCAGGTGCGGAGGAGATTTTGATGGAAATTGTGGAGAGCGAGAGCGGAAGCGGGCGGTTGAAGGAGAAAGCGGCAAAGATTCTGCAGGCATTGAGAGGCGGAGGGAATGATTTTGGAGAAGGTGCGGAGGCGCGTGAGTGGAACCGTATGTTGGAAGCGAGTGGGCTAAGTCGTTCTCAGTTTCAACAAGGAGGGCAAAAAGGGGGTTTCGCTTATTCCTCTCAATTTTAGCTCTATTCATTTATATTTTTATTTTCATTTTCTTATTTCTTTTCTTGTTGGTAAAAAACGTTTTCTGAAAGATTTTTTTTTCACTCTTTTTTGTGACTAATATTTTGGGAGTGAATTTGTAATATCTGATTTTAGTCTTCTTTGATTTGTCTTTTCTAATGGGACGACAAAAAGTAAAATGTTCGTTATTTCGTTTGTAAAGAGATGCTCGTGTTTTTTTTGTGAGATCGTTGACAAACAAAAGTCGTCTCAAGGAGTTACTCTTTACGTTTGTAATGTTTGGTGTACCGTCTCAAATATTTTTTTATTAAGTTATGTATTATAAGATTTGGAACGAAGATTTAGTCGTTGGTCAAATAATTCCATGGTCAACGTTTAATTGTACAAGTTGGAATAATCTACAATCATTCTTCTGCCGAGAAGAAGTCATGTGATCCAATCACCAATTTGCCATTCGTCATGCAAACACGTCATGGGTACATAGCCACACATTCCCTATGGACCCTATTTATATGTTACGAGAATAGCAGAACTTGTTGAATCTTCTTTATGCTAGAGAATTAACCACGAGCGAATTACACTAGTTACAAGTGATAACATGGTATGGTATGAAACAAGATCTACTATTCTTGTTGCATGGTATGAAACAATTTGCATTAGCTTAATTTTTGAAGAGTTATGGACCGAGCCCATATATCTCTCCATCTATCGAAACAAATTTAGATCTTTTAATGCCTTAACATATAATAAATAAAGATTTTTTGGTTATAGAATGTAAATAGTCATTAAAATAAAATGTTTAGGTTTTATAAGAGTTATTAAAACAAGAAATAAAAATGCGAGATAACATTATCACTAAGGCATAACCGTTGTATAAGTTTAGTATTGCCGCTCTTTCTTCTCCCGAATACGATATGGCGAGGGAGTTCAGTAAGTTCAAAAAGAGGAGTTGGAGTTTGGGGAAAAGATAGTGGGTAGTAGAGGTGAAAGAGAAACCAGACGTAGCAATTTAGCTAGTTTAGAAGAAGAAATCGAGAATGAAAAGAAAAACAAAAATAGTAAAGATATAAAGTATATAATCATTTAGATTACCGAAAAGAAAATTGGTACTTAAAATCTAATATCATATAAGTAAATCTTTGTGAACATTGTTAATTTGCTAATATTTATAGTTGTCAATTGATCGGTCTGTCCGCGAACTAACCCATTTCATATCATTACGGACGGATCATGGTCAAGCTTAAAAACAAAATAGTATTATTGATATGGAGATATGATATATACAATGAGTAAATTAGAGGTTGCAACTAATATAGATTACAATAAAAATGATTTTGATTTATTTATATATAATCTAACATATTGGTTATTTATGGTATTCCTTTTAATTATGCTTTTTTTTTTTTTAAACAACTAACTTTATGATTTCATAACTAAAACCAATTGCAACAATTTTTGTTTCTTATCATTTATACAACAAACAGCATTTTAGGAAACCGGATCTAATTTTCTTATACACAGAATTTAGTAAACCGATCCAGATTCCACTAAATTTTGTCATTTTGTGGGTAAGAAGAATATATCACTTCATAACAAGAGAGTAAACCGATCCGAATATTGCACCGGTCAGTGGTTTTCTTACGAGATGAGTAAAGCCCAGAAAAGGAAACGCTTAAACCAAGACGACGGCGAATCAAAAACTCCGGCCATTAAATCCACCGTCGACGGCGGCAATCCTTATCCTACACTTCTTAGACCTACCGCTGAAGAATGCCGAGACGTAAGGGATGCTTTGTTGTCTCTCCATGGATTCCCTCCAGAGTTCGCCAATTACCGCCGTCAGAGACTCCGATCACTCTCAGCCGTCGATGGTCACGATACACAATGTACGATGAATTCTGAGACATTGGATGAAGCGGAAGAGGAGAGTGTTCTTGATGGGCTGGTTAAAATTCTTCTTTCTCAGAACACAACTGAGAGCAATTCCCAGAAGGCTTTCGCTTCTCTTAAAGCTGTATTTCCTAATTGGGAATATGTAAGTTTTTGGGAATTATAAGTTTTAGGTATTGTGAAGTACTAAGATTAGTGATGTTGATATTGTTATGAGTTTAGGTTAAGATTTAGTTATGGATCAAGGCATAAAGATAGTTCAATTAAAGCATGTTCTTGGACAAATTGGGGAATCTGTGAGCTTAGTTCTACTTAAGATTTTGGTTAAATGTTTTGAAGAAATGAATCCTGACATTGTTAAATGGAAAAGATTTGTGATGATTTTGGTGGTTCTTTTGATTCCACTGTAGGTTTTGGCTGCTGAGCCAAAATCAATTGAGAGTGCTATAAGATGTGGAGGATTGGCCCCGAAAAAGGCGGTGTGTATCAAGAATATATTGAACCGTTTGCAGAACGAAAGAGGCAGATTGTGCTTGGAGTATCTTCGCGGTTTATCGGTAGAAGAAGTAAAAACCGAGCTCTCTCATTTTAAAGGAATAGGACCTAAAACGGTAATAGCCTCGCTCACTCGAAAGAAACAATTTAAAGCTTCTTATTCATAGTCCTTTTTTGACACCTAACTCTTGGTATCAATGTAACAATAAGAGTCAAGATAAACTTTGGCTGACATAGGAGGTGTATCGATGAATTGACAGGTTTCTTGTGTTCTGATGTTCAATCTCCAGCACAATGATTTCCCAGTAGACACCCATGTGAGTGTTTCTTGTTATTCTTGCCGTTTGGTGTTTGTTTTTCATTGAGTCAAGCAGATCAAAAATGAGATCCAATTCCGTCTAAAACAGGTGTTTGAGATCGCAAAGGCGTTAGGTTGGGTCCCGAAAACCGCAGACAGGAACAAAACGTATGTTCATCTCAACCATAGGATCCCTGATGAGCTCAAGTTTGATCTGAACTGTCTGTTATATACACATGGTAAGCTCTGTAGAAATTGCAAGAAGAATGTTGCTAAACCAAAAGCAAAAGCTAAAGCTAAAGTGGCATCTCCTGATGACTGTCCTCTTGTGGGTTTTTCTGATTTAGTTTAGAGAACCAGAATTAGAACTCGTTTGTTTTGTGTCTTTCTTGACTTGTTGCTCTTAATCTCTGATAAATATAAAACAAAATGATTAAGATGACAATAGTTTTGCATCAACGATAATGTAATGTTGTTGCTGGTATGGCAAATTCATAACATTACAACGGAAGAGGTCTACAAGTATCTATTATATAACTTCGGGGTCAAAATGAAATTATTCTTTAGGTATGGGTCAAAAACAGAAAACACAAAATTACAATTTAAGTCGTATATTATTGAGAAATTTACAGAAAAAGACTCCTGCGATTTCGTCTCCATTGTTGCTTATATGCTATAATCTCACTGCTTCAATTTTGGCTCCTCATCGGAAATGGCGTTTTTACTCAACACCTCGATTTCGTCTCACCTCCGATCTTCTTCACAGGTTTTGTTCTTGGATCGAATCTCTTTTAACGGATATGGTTCAATTCTTTTGATTTATGACAAAATCGTTTGATCTTTTGCAGAAGACTGATGGTGCTTTAGCTCAATCCCGTCGTGGGTTCCATGTGGAGCTAGGTGCTCGTGAGAAAGCTGTAAGTATCTCTTACATTTATCTCTGTTCTAGGGTAGGAATCAGTGGATCGATTCGGTCAGATTAGATTGTTTAGAAAAGGAGAAAATTTGTTTTGGAAGGATCTTTGTATGTCAAATAGTAATTGTCTGTAGTGTAATTGTTCTGAAAGTCTCGGTGAGCAAGCCCGAATCGAGATTAGCGAGGCAAAGAGGGATAGGGCTCCTGTAAGATTTGATTTTTTGATAGTTTCTCTGAGATTCATGTTTTTCATTGTTGTGTTGTTGCAGCTCTTGGCTGAAGATTCATCTTTGAGGAGATTCAAGTCGCATAAGAAAGGCGTCCACCGATTGAAGAGGATTGGAGATGTGCTCACAGTTGTTGTTGTTGCTGGTATGGGAAAGTTGTTTTTGTTAATTGATCAGTTTCTTTTTTTTTTGTGAATCATCTTGTACTATATAGGATGAATCTGAACTTGGTAGTCACTGATAAAGTGTTTAGAGATTCACTGCTTTTTCTGTTATCGATATTCTTTCGATCAAGAAAAGCTGCAGATGGAAATATATCCTTATTTTTCTGAAGGTGTTCTTGTGCTTTACCATTATATAAACAGTGGAAGTAAATTGGATAGTAGATAATGTAGTAGCTGGGATTTGCATGGTTTAGATGGTGGTACTGTCGCCAAATTAATGTTATTGCATCCTCAGTTTAAACAGAATCAGCACTTGGTAGAGTAGTGTGTGTGGTTTACATAGTTAGGGGTTGATGACTTAGTCTTGTGTGTTGAGTTGAATAGGCTTCTGATGTGTGCTTGTTTCAGGATGCTGCTATGAGATCTATGCAAGAGTAATGATGAGAAAGGACGCTCAGGCTGCAGGAGGAAGCTCATGAGTTTCTTTATCTCCCTTTTTAACAATCTTATAAATTCATCTTGTTACTCATGTTTGGCTTCTGAATAAGTGACGAAACGAAATGATTCTGTAATTTTCGTATGGTGAAACCTTTTCTTTGTTTTCCAGAAACCCAAAATCGCTTTACATGGAATCATGAAAGTCGGGCTTGAATGTATTACGAGCTCATAGATTATTGAAATCCAAATTGAACTCTCTCGATGCTGTAACACAAAAGCATTTCTGTGGTCTTCTCTTGTATTGTAGTAGATTTAAGCATGATCGATGCTTCTGAGACTTCATACTGTTGTATTGTAGGGTTAGGCCTGATCGTTGCTTCAGAGACTTCATAGTATTATATTGTAGAATTTAATATTGATCATGATTCATGATAGTTTTCTTTTGCTGTATCTATCTTGCTTTTGTTCAATTATTCTTCCTTCGGATTCATGTTCTGTTGTCATCAAGCCAGTTTCCGGATTGACAGACTATATGTTACCTTAACAACTTAGAAGCATCATGATCAAGAGACATTGTAGGAAAAGTGGTTCTTTTGCTATTATGGAACTATTGAGAATCACATTACAAATTTAGTGAAGGTATCGACCAAAAAATTTCATTTATTTAATTGCTCCTAGAATCGAAACAAAGATATAGTAGTTGTATGAAAAGAAACAACACACGCAAAGATTCAAGGAAGCATCAGCTACTTGAGGGATAGATAACAACTGAATTCGGATCATTCGGGTTGTTCTTCAGATTCCTCTATCTCCAGCTTCTGCAAGGAAAAGAAACAGAAATTGTCAGTAAGATACATAAAATGGATTTAGCTTTGGACAAGACAGTAACAGGGGTGAAAATTATAGTCTAGAAGGACATAACTCAATGTCATGAAGTAAGTTAAACTATACACAAAGAATAAAAGAAAGACCAAGGGAACAAAAAATTGAAAGCAAAAACATGGAACATTACACGACATCACATCTACCAGTCGAGATCTCTTAAAATTTGACAGGAATATCTCCTAAACAGTTCTAAAATCTTGAGAAAACAATAAAAAACCATTGCATTTTCATTTTGATACTAATGTAGGCAATTCACATTGCCCATGAAACTGAATAAGGTGAATGAATATTAGCCATGTCAACAACATTAGCAACCTAATGCACATAGTTGCTCTGAATCCAAGAGACAGGGGACAAGGGGATGTGAAGATTTTGTTGATTGACACAGTTGAGAGTCTCTCATTAATCAAGTTCTCTTTGGGGTTGTTCTAACTTCAGTTCTTATCATACTCCTACCTCAATCATCATAATATCTCTTACATCCCCTCACAAACTTTTCAAATAAAAGTCCCTTTATATCAGCTTGAGATAGCTATAGACTTAAAACACATATCGAACTCGGACAAGATTTTGCTACTAGAAAGATAAAGACATTTTTTTTTTTTTTTTTTTTTTTTGCCAATCAAAGATAAAGACATTATTTAACACAGTTGATGATCCATTGCATAAATTGAGTATCTGAACCAGTAATTTCTAACAACAATTTTAGAGATATCACCATTTCCAGAGAACCAGAGCATGTAACTCACAAGTAGTATATGATTAAAAATTTCCAATTCGTAACTGTTACTGCAAAAAACTTTGTTTATCAGAAGAAAACAATGACTAGTTAGGTCTAATATCCAGCAAAATCAGAATGGGCAACAATATAGAAACTGCCGTAAAACCCTAAATTGGACCTCAGCTCATCATCAATTCAATCAAATCAAAGATACTTTCTACAAATGTGTTAATCATCTAACAAGAAACGAAACTGATAATCTACAGGAAAACGCCGATACCAAATTGACAAGTATTGGAGAGGAAGAGAGAGAAGAAACATACAGATTGAGCGTTGTGCCAAGAGAGACCACGATAGACATTAAAGGAGAAAGTGGCGGTGAGGTAGATGGTGGCGAGCCCTAGCCCCGCCGTGAAAGCCTTGAACGACCAATCTCCAGCTCTTGTCACTATCCCCATTTCTCTGCTTTTCTTTTTCAACAAACAACACCACACCGGAGATTTATGGTTCGATGCAAATAAATGTGTACCGGCTCAAAATTATGATTCCTTTAAGATTGTTTGGTTTGGTTTAGATCCGGTTTATTTTGTTCCAAGTTAATTCGGTCACGGTTGGTAAATATTACTTGTGATGATTACAGTCTTGCTGATTAAAGTAACTGATACATAGAACAATAATTTAACGGTCACGTTTCTTCTCTATTGCCTAAAGCTGCTAATTTGTACACATCATCTTGAAGAAGTTTAATCACGCAGATCGATAGAAGTTTCCATCAATTCCCATATGGAGCCAGTCGGGTTGAGACCCTCGGGCTTCGTCAGCTTCTTGTTGATCGAACATTCTTCGTTGAACCTCAATCGGCAGAGCATTAAGCTGTAAAACACAAACACCAATAACTCATGAATTTTGAAAATCAATGGCTCTTTTTTTAAAAGGTTGACTATGTTATGTCCAATCAACAGCCCTCGAAGAACAAAAAAAAGTACATTCATACGTGTCTAAGATTGATGTTTTGCAGCAAATGTAGTATTGATAATGAAATTGAAACCTTATGATATCAACAATAGCTAAATAAGTTATACAATTTGGGGGCTTACTTCTCCAGAAGGAAACATTCCTACTTTCGGACCAGTGCTCACATCTGAATTAACGACTTCTAGCTTCATCGATAGAAACTGCAGCCAAATTCATTATTATAGCCTAATGATATTAATGGCTTAGAAGAAAAATATATAGTACACAGTAACGGCTACCAAATATACCTCAACTTGCCGTTGCAACGACTGAATATAATTGATAATCTCATCAAGCACAAGAGCTTTTCCTATAATCTGAATCATAGGAGCATTTTTATAAATATTTTCGAAGGTGTTAACGCATTTTGTAAGAGCAGCTTGAATGGTAAAACAGTACTTGCAATGAATATGAATTAGTAGGTACCTTATTACATCCCGGAATCAAATCCTGAAGAAACTTTATCCTCTCGCTGATCTTTTCTCTTCTAGCCTGAGGAAGAAGAACCGAGCTGTAGATAAACAGTTTACGGATAAAACATCGAACATAACAATGCTAAGTGTAACAAAAAAGAACAAGCCACCCCCTGTAACTGTAACAAATCCCTTTCAAAAATGACATTTTGTTACCAAACAATGAAGGTATTGTTGTATCATGAAAGCCGTAGTCTTTGTTGTCATATAAAAGCAGAATTTAGGAAAACAGAATCAAGAAAAGGAACATACTCGCTCCGCTAGACTGTGCCGGTCAGTAGCTTGTCCTCGTCTTGCTCTCACGTGAATATAATCCTTCGGCGGACTCTTTTCTTCAGTTTCTTTGCTTCCACCACCTGAGCTTGTCTCACCTTCAGGTCTCAAACCATCCTCGGTTTCTCCTTCAGATACACAAACTTTCATTTTCTTCTTACTCAATTCTTTCTGCTCAAAAGGTACATATACGAATCAACTAGTCATATTTCCAGAATCGATGGCTATAGAGTAATTCCAGAGAACTAAGTCTAATTAAAGTCATAAACTTTAGTACTATAAACTAATCCTAGATAGCTAGATTCCACTATGATTACCTAAAGCTAAAGCACCCCACGCTAACACTGTAAAATCTCGCAGTTTCCAGCTTAAGCCCAAGAGAGGAAAGAAATGTAAATAAAGCTCACCAATAGATTAACGCTGGTGCAAGAAGAGAGCATCTTAGAAGATTCGTCTTGAGGATTCAAAGGTCGTCTCTTTCTTCCTCCTCCGGTTTGCTCCGTCACCGTAGACTCCTCAGCCACCGATATGTAACTGTTACCGGAATACCTGAAGTCTTGACCCGAATTGAGCGGTAATCGGACATCATAGTTCACTGAGAATGGCCAAAACTCAGAGAAAGATGACTCATTCACTACCGGAGGCACCATTACCAGATTGAGGAGCTCCGGATCCGACATCAGAAATCAAAAATCGAGAAGCTAGCGTTACCGTTTGGGTTTGGAATTTGGATAAAGGAGATCACTTTATCCAAAATCTCAAAGAATAACGATTTAATTGGACAACGTGCCGTTTTCGTAAAATTGCTTCGTTTTTGACTCTCTCAGAAGGACGACCTGCCGTTTTTTTTGTTAAATTTGATTGGTAACAGTGTAGTGAATGTGTTTCTTCAGGTAAAGAGAAACAAAAACATGATTTTGAGTGTGAGAAATGGCGGCAAAATCCAACGGTTTTGTACAACTTCGATTTCATTGCTCGAGAAACCAGTGGAGAAGACTATTCAGGTGGTCACATTTGATACCAACTCTCACCTACGAAGTCTCATCAATGCCGGGAATTTGCGTGTTGCTCGCCAAGTGTTTGATAAAATGCCACACAGAGATATTGTTTCATGGACAGCTATCATTAAAGGATACGTAACTGCTAATAACTCTGACGAAGCAATGATTTTGTTTTCCGCAATGCGTGTTGTTGATCCTGCCGTCTCACCTGATACCTCTGTGCTAAGTGTTGTACTCAAGGCTTGTGGTCAAAGTTCCAACATTGCATATGGAGAATCTTTACATGCTTATGCAGTGAAAACTTCGCTGCTCAGCTCTGTATTTGTGGGAAGTTCTTTACTGGATATGTATAAGAGAGTTGGAAAGATCGACAAGAGTTGCAGAGTTTTTAGTGAAATGCCTTTTAGAAATGCTGTAACATGGACAGCGATCATTACGGGGTTGGTTCACGCTGGTCGTTACAAGGAAGGTCTTACGTACTTTTCTGAAATGTCGAGATCGGAAGAACTATCTGATACTTTTACATTTGCTATTGCCTTGAAGGCTTGTGCTGGTTTACGTCAAGTTACATACGGTAAGGAGATTCATACTCATGTGATAGTGAGAGGCTTTGATGCCACTGTTTGGGTGGCTAACTCGCTCGCAACTATGTACACTGAATGTGGGGAAATGCAGGACGGACTTTGTTTGTTTGAAAATATGAGTGAGAGGGATGTGGTTTCGTGGACAAGCCTTATCGTGGCTTACAATCGAATAGGTCAAGAAGAAAAAGCTGTGGAGACATTTATAAAGATGAGAAATTCTCAAGTACCTCCTAATGAACAAACTTTTGCATCGATGTTTTCTGCGTGTGCGAGTCTTTCTAGACTTGTGTGGGGCGAGCAGCTCCACTGTAATGTTTTCTCTCTAGGTCTAAATGGTTCCTTGTCAGTGAGTAACTCGATGATGAAGATGTATTCAACTTGTGGCAAGTTAGACTCTGCTTCTGTTTTGTTTCAAGGGATGGGATGCATGGACATTATTTCGTGGAGCACGATTATTGGAGGATACTCTCAAGCCGGTTTTGGAGAAGAAGCTTTTAAGTATTTCTCATGGATGAGACAAGCAGGGACAAAGCCAACGGATTTTGCTCTTGCTAGTTTGCTGAGTGTTTCAGGAAACATGGCAGTGCTTGAGGGAGGCAGGCAAGTTCATGCGCTTGCTCTTTGTCTTGGTTTAGAACAAAACTCCACGGTTCATAGTAGTCTGATTAATATGTACTCGAAATGTGGAAATATCAAAGAAGCTTCAAAGATATTCGAAGAAACAGATAGAGATGATATTGTTTCTCTGACAGCTATGATCAATGGATATGCAGAACATGGAAAGAGCAAAGAAGCTATTGATCTGTTTGAGAAGAGTCTAAAAGTTGGTTTCAGACCCGACTCTGTAACTTTCATCAGCGTTCTCACCGCATGCACTCATTCGGGACAGCTTGACCTTGGTTATCACTATTTCAACTTGATGCAAGAGAAGTATAATATGAGACCAGCCAAGGAACATTATGGTTGTATGGTTGATCTGTTATGTAGAGCAGGACGGCTAAGTGATGCAGAGAAGATGATCAATGAGATGTCATGGAAGAAAGACGATGTAGTCTGGACCACACTTCTCATTGCGTGTAAGGCCAAAGGAGATATTGAACGTGGGAGAAGGGCGGCCGAGAGGATTCTTGAGCTGGATCCTACTTGTGCAACTGCACTTGTAACACTAGCCAATATATATTCAAGCACAGGGAACTTGGAAGAAGCTGCAAATGTAAGGAAGAATATGAAAGCAAAAGGCGTGATCAAAGAGCCTGGATGGTCATCAATTAAAATCAAGGATCGCGTTTCAGCGTTTGTATCTGGCGATCGGTTCCATCCTCTAAGTGAAGATATATTCAATATCTTGGAATTAGTAGTGTCTGGTGCAGAAGCTCATAGATTTGATTGTACAATAAAGAGAGCATTTGGGAGTTATTCATATTCCTGAAAAAACAATAGATTTTTTGATAATTCAGATTGTTGTTTAATCTGCTCATCAGCTGATTCAGTCAATAATCAATGTAGATATGACCCTTTGAGAAAAACAAGAACAAACGGTGATTCTTCATGATTATATTAGTTTGCATTTTGCAATAATACTAATAAGATATGAATTGAGTCTGATTTATACATCAATCGATATGAACACGTTACAGCTACGAAAAAACAAAAAGATAGAGGAGAAGCTGCTAATTCCATGGACTCTGAAGACGTGATTCTCTGAAAACAGAAGTGCCACCAGAACCAGCTGGTGAAGGAGATGAAGCAATGTAGTTTGTTCCAGATGCAGAGACAGTGACTGCAGGACCGGGTTGAGAAGGACCCACACGCGGGCTCCATCGAGAAGTATGGGGAACCTGATAAACAGCAACAACAATCAATCATCATGTACGTATATGAATGCGAAATCACAGATTGAGCAAAGAGAGGCCAGCTTTATTTCTATCCAACGATTCTAAGTAATTTGTTTCGATTGTTGTTTAAGATGAAGATTTTGAATATTTACCATATTGTGTTGTGACAAGGCTGCTGCTCTTCTGAGAGGAGATTCAGATGACGAAGAAGCACCACAAAGCCGAAGCACAGTACGAGTTTGAGCATTATTATGATTTGCTGCATCATCGGTTTCTCCGCCTTCCATGTGAGTACCAGTATTACCTCCCGAGTCATTAGTGACATCAACATGGAGTGGAAGGGCAGGACGAGTCGCTGCTGTCGTTCCTTGCTGTTGCATGCAGCTGCGTCTTTTCAATTCTTCCTCAGCATTTAAAATCTGCGTATCCGTTAATTTGAAAAGTATGATTACCTCAATAAACGGGTATTGGTATACAGCTGAAACACCTTTTTAGAGAGAAGAGTAGACACACTGAACTGACCTGCTTAAGCACTTGGACTAGATTGTGTTTCTTTGCATTCAAAACTTGTAATCTCTCCTCCACTTCTTTCTGTTTTTTCTCTATCTCGCTTGGTACTTTTTCAGCTGTTTCATTCGCCTATAACGAGAAAAGAGGATACAGTCACGAAATGAAAAACAACAAAGCTATAAGAAAACAAAACAACTTCACAGAAAATAACTACGATTTTACGCCTTCACAGTTCCCTAATTGATAACTCTCTGCGGCCTGATTGTTTCATCTATAGACTCGTTGCATCACAACATCTACCAATGTGACTTAAACTACTTGAGGACACACATCAAAGAATCAAACTGCTTGTGACCATGGCGGCTTCGCTTCTAGTCTTATACAAAGTTTATTCTACAATTCAACAAATCAGCCACTTAATTTCGTAAATTCACCTAAAATGACCTAATCTTTCCCAATCTTCCTATGTACTTCACAAAACTCATCCAAATTTTCTCAATGAGCATGGCGATTCGAGACTTAAATCAGCTAATTAGTACTCAAATTCCATCGGAACGTCACACAGAAATTCATACATACCTCTGCTTCCTCCTTCGCCACATCCTCTTTTGGCACATTATCGGTTTCCTTTGAATCCATCACTCTCCCGGGACGATCTCCACCGTCTGATCGAGCTCCTTCAAAACCTCTGTCGTTATTATCATCTTCCTTAACCCGATTCCCACCAATCACCTCTTTCTTTACCTCAACTAGCTTCTGCTTCCCAGAAGAAGCGTTCCCTTCAGATGGAAGAATCGGATTCTCCTGATCGGTAACCAACTCAGTCTTGACGCTAAGATTCAAATTAGGGTTGGAATTAAGGGGGAGACGAGAAAGAGCTCGTTTACGGCGATGAAGGAGAGATTTGAAATCTTTGAAAGAGAGATTATGGTCAGGCATTCTCCACCGGCGAGGTACATCGGGAACTTTGTGAAGGTTGCCTCTGTACATTGATATCGCCACCATCGTCTTCTGCTTTTGGGTTTCTTCCGTGCGTCGAATTCGCCGTTGCCTTCTGCTTCCGTGAGCATATGACGATGAGATTTCGACTTGCATGACGTTTTGCTCTGAGAGATGAGAAACGTGTGTCGTTTTATTTTAAAGTATTCTAAAAGCGACGAACTTGGTCCTTTCCAAACCCAATAATATCTGTTTAAAAAGCCCAGTTAATATTCAAGAATTTAAAAATAAAATAAGCTAAGCAAATAGCTAAGTGGAGATTACACATGAAATATATGAAACATTTTACAATAATACACTCCCAGTTAATACGTCGGAGTAAGAGAGTAATTATTGAATGGCCATTTCCATTCACTAAGGGCAATCTCTTCGTGCTTACACTAAGTGCTGGATTAGAGGGTTATCATGTTAGTGTTGATAAATCGTTCCCTTTTCTAACTCTAAGTGATGTTTCAGAAGACTCTTTGAATATGCTTTTGGAGTAGTAATAAAGATCAGAAAGAGATGTTTGTTTATTTGTGTGGTTTTGGTCATATGAAGGGTTTTACGCTTGAGGATGCTACTGGTCTAACTGTTAATGGGGATATAGATATTGACTATGTTTTTGCTGGCTCTCTCTCAAGCAACTGGCAGGCTCCATCAATACCTGATGAAGAAGTTGAGTTATTCATTGGTGAGTTTTGAAAACTGTTGCAATCTGCGAGTACGGGGTGAGTTTTTGATACTAAGAATCAACGAATCAACAACTTCGATGTTTTCAGTGATTCTTGGTAAAAGAGTTCTATTCTCTTATTTTGGTTTTGCATGCTTATCAGTTGGTTGCCAAACACATCATGAAGTGTGACGATGACACATTTGTCCGCGTAGATGCCTCTACGCCAGGGGAAAAAGAAGAACCAGAACAGTGAGAAAATTCAGTACATTACTTCTTTGATCCAGAGATGTCAAAAATCTCAAAGTCGGCTAACTCAACTTATTCTACGGGTTCTCCAGGAATGGCCAAAGGAAGAGTATCCACCTTTTGCCAATGTTCCTCGTTCTTTATGGTCCAGTTGTTCAAAATGGAAGACGTGAGCATGGGGATGTGGGAACAGTTCAACAACAGCGCCAAGTCTGTGGATTATGTGCACAGGATCAACTTCTGCCAGTTTGGTTGCATAGAGAGGATTACTTAAGGGCGCATTACCAATCACCTAGACAGATGATCTGCTTGTGGGACAAATTGGTCTTGACAGGAAAACCTCATTGATGCAACTTGAGATGACACAACAAGGCATTGTTCTGTTTGGTTTATGTTGTTGGTTGTGAGAGGAAGAAAACACAATTCGGATGAGAAGAGTTTTTGTTGTATATATGTAGTCTTTTTTTACAATTTGAACACCACTCAAGATTGTCTCAAGATGTTTTACAAGCCAACCAAATATTCTCAAAATATTTTAGCTTTCACTTAAATTATCTTTGGAGATGCAAACTCTTGAGAGTTGGTGAATGAATACAATGCTATCTAAACAACAGCTGGAGGTAAAACAATCTCCACTTCTCTCACATAGTTTCGATATTAGCCATCATGTGCTCCTAGAGCTTTCAAGTCCTCCAAGAAGGCGGAATAAGAGTCGTCGATGCTCTGTAGCTTTGAGTCTTTGACGGTGCAGATGTGTTGGGTGCAGACACTGACTTCACCGGGGCAGCATGAGTTGTAGTAGTCCGTGGTGTAAATCCCAAGCTGTTCGCTGTCGAAATTTTTGGCTTTGGTTCAGTTGTAGTTGCTGACATATCTAACTGTGGGTGACTCTCTAATAATTTTAGCATTTACACAGTGCAACTTAACCACACTTCTAACATATCTAACTGTGGGTGACTCTCTAATTACGAGATCATTAGTAGCAATAACTATAATGGTTCTCACACTCTACCCTTATGCAAACCATTGTCTCATTATAATACTTTACAACATTCTTTCTTTCTTTAATATCGTTTCAGGAGTTGATGGATGTGAATGGAAAGCCTGGAATTCATTTTACTTTATTTTCGTTTTTTTAAGCAAGATTCTTGAGCAACATCAACATGTTTTGTATTTTTTAAATGTACAATTCTTATATCTATATATTTTTAGTGTACAATTACTATGTTTAATTTTTACTGTTTAAAAATATAGAAACAATAACATACAGTTCATTAAGTTAAAATCTAGATTATAACTATATAATTTAAATTTAAATTATCTTTATTTTGTTAAAATTGTTTGTTTTGTTTAGTGTTTAAGATAGTATAATTGTATTTTGATTGTTATATCTAGGATTTCACCCGTAATATACAGTCTCGTATTACTATCGACCCAAACCTGTCCTACCATCTAATACCGTTCAGTGAAATTAAACATATCTAATGGATTTCACTCGTGGTATACCGTCTCGTATTACTATCGACCCAAACCCGTCCTACCATCTAACCCCGTTCAGTGAAATTAAACATTATTTTATTATTTTTGTTTTAATAATACTTTAATTTAAAAGATATATAATTCATATCAATTTAAAAGTTTTCTTTCAAATGGTTATTTAATTGTTGTAAATTTCATATATTATAATATTATAAATCCGTCATACCATCTAATCCTGTTCGGTGAAATTAAACAATATTTTTTGTTTGAATAATACTTTTATTAAAACATTTATAATTCAAATCAATTTAAAGTTTTCTTTCAAATGATTATTTAATTTTTATAGATTTCACATATTATATATATTCTAAACATTTTTTCCGTTAAATATTCTAAAAGTTTAATAAACTTTAAATAAATATAATATTTATCTTTCAATAAAGTATAATATTAATAATGTCCTAAGATTTCTCCTTTTCTTAAGTAATTAGAATTGATGGAAATATATTAGATAAAGAATGATAATAATTAATGCTAATGTCATTCTTTGTAAATAAGTTCTAACTTGAAGATTTATTTCATAAAGTGTTGCAAAAATGTATATATAGATTTGTTATTGTTGGAAGTTGATTCTTTGCTTAATCGTGTACAAGTAAAATCAGAAGAGAAAGGTGAGAAGAAGATTAAGTGCAAAGAGATGTGTGTCTAAGGAAGAAGAAGAAGCTCGTGTAGAAGAACGAAGAAAAAGAATCGTGAAGGAAAATAGAGAAAAAGGCCATTGGGCCAGAAGTGAACAAGGCCCAACTAAGTGTGGGTTTTGGTTATTAACAAAACTTTAATTAGTTTAAGTACAAGTACTAAGGGTTGTTTGTCGTAAGAAAATAATTAAGGAAAGTAAGAAGTAAAGAACGTTAAGCGGCTAGAAACGAGTCTTTCAACAGTTATGTCCAATACTTGGATTTTGTAAAGCAAAAGATAGAATGTTTTTTGTCAGCAGGAGGAAGCAGAACTTGATCCACACTTGCTCGGGTTCAGCGACCAACACTTTTTCTATCTCAGCAGGAGGAAGCAAAACTTGACCCACCACCTCAACGGGAACCACCACTTCCGCAGGATGTTGTTCAGCATCATCCTACACAAAACAGAGTTACATTAACATATTCAATAATACACTCCGAGTTAAACTTCATATTCTAACATATCTAACTGTGGGTGACTCTCTAATAACTAGATCATTAATAGCAATAACTATAATGGTTCTCACACTCTACCCTTATGCAAACCATAATCTCATTATAATACTTTACAACATTCTTTTTTTCTTTAATATTGTTTCAGGAGTTGATGGATGTGAATGGAAAGCCTGGAATTCATTTTACTTTATTTTCGTTTTTTTTAGCAAGACAACGAAGAACGGTGAACGAAATTGGAACGATGACCATAATCAGAATCAGAGAGCTTTTATGACTGAGCGAGTCATAAGAGTGAGTGAGAGTAAGATATTTTTGGTTTTATCTTATAATGAGTGAACGAAAAAGAGACTGCGATATATAAAATTAAAAAAAAAAAAATGAACTAATTAAAGATTCAACTTGGGTTTATAGTGACCTGATTGGATTTTTTTTTCCTTCTATAATTAACTGTGTATACAATACAAATATTAATTTTGCTTATTATTATTTACAATTTAGGGGAACAATATTATTTATTTTTGGGTAAAAATTGGTAGATCGTCTAAAATTTTATAATGAGAAACAAATATGTCACGTCACATATGAATCTTATGTCATTATTTCTTTATTGTGCATCTATACTAATATTTTTGAAGTATATTTTGTACTTGGATCGGGTCAATACATATCTATAGTATTTTTGAAGTATATTCCTTGCATATATGGATATAAAATAAAAACAAATCCATAAAATAATCTATATTTAATAATATAGATATTTAGAAGATTTGGTTAATGTTTAGAATTATGATTCTCCTCTCATCTTTATTTGATATTTTCTTACTGTTTTGATTACTTTTGAATCATCATATAATACATAAAGTTAAAAAAATATCTCAATTTTATTTTTTTACATATATTGTGATTTGAAATTTTAAAATAAGACATATATTACACAATTAATGAGAAATATGTGTGTCTAGCGTTCCACATCGGCTAAAATGTTTATACAATGATTCAAAGTCATATTGTAAATAAATCAAAATAAATTCAAATTTGAATTAGCAGGAGGCTTAACTTAACAAGCATCCAAATTTAAAAGTTTGTATATTGTTTAATTTGGTTTTTCCTCAAACTATTTAACTTTAACTGAAATATTAAATTTTAAACTTTAAAAAAGTTTTAAATATTATTTTTTTTGTGAGAAAAGTTTTTAAACATTTTAATTGATATCTTTAAAATCAATAAAAATTTTATAATATTATGAACAATTGAACATAAAAAAAAAATTAAAATAACACGGGACGGGTTATATTGCGGCACGGGGTTAACCCGTCGTTTCAATACGGGTTAAATCCTCATTTTATTATTTTTTTAACACTGTCAATATTAGATATATCGAATCAGTCTGATTTATATATGACTGTATAAAACAAAAATTATCCCGTAGTATACCATTACTTAATAAAAAATTATACACTATAAAATATAAATATATTATAAATTGATACAATTTACAAATTTTTATATATAATACATAATCACTAAATTTTAAAAGTTATCATTTTCAGAAAAAGTCGTTCTTTTAGAATAAGACCATGGATTGGATCCATCCATTGACGTTATCACTACTAATTTATATCCTATTAGTTATTTATTAGGTTCATTCACATTTCCTTTTGATATATAAAATTATAAATAAATAAATAACATGGCCACATGTCTGTTCACAATCCAAACAAATCGAAGAAGCTTTAACAATTTACTAAAAAAAACAAAAGAATCCAAGACCTAAACTAGAGATTACCTCTATAGTGTCCTAGATTTGAAACTTAAGGAGTTCCTTCTCTTGGCACAGGCTTCGAGCCTCTGATCGGAAGAGATTGTCTAGGCACAACTTCTGTTCAACGGAGGAGTCAGTGTGAACATGAACGAGTCTCCGGCTCTGCCATAGGAGTCGCTTGGCACATGATTTTTATGTTCACAAAGAGTTTAAATTTCTCAAGTGACATATTTAAAAAGAAATTTTTTGACCAAAATAATGTTGTTTTGGAATATGTGATGCCACGTCGTTGCCATGTCATGATCCGAATTAGTACTGTAAACGGTTGATTAATTTTTGTGAAGGTCAACTTCGATTTAGATGCTTTTATGGAAGTTTATACAGATTATTTGAATTTTTAAATTTTTCGGGTTATAATAACTATAATGATTTTGTTCTATATGAAACGGCACGATGAAATAAGTTCAAATGACTGTTTTTCCGGTAAAATATTTTTTTCATACACGTACAATCAGCAAAGTGTATTTTCCGACCTGAACAAACATGTAGAACTAATTCATACCCAAACTCCAAAAATTGAATTTATTTCATCTTCAACATTAATGCTACGTATTATACGAAAATACCCTTTTTTCCCTCAATCATCCGCATATGTTGCCTTAAGTTAACAGATACAAATGGGCTATAAAGAAATAATTTATATAAAAGCCCACATTTGGCCCATCACGTCAATGGACAAAGGTGTAATTAAATTAAAAAGTGATTTATTCTCATCGGACAGCCGGCGGCGGATGAGAGATGACGGAGGAGCTACGCCGCCGCCGATATATATACACTCAGTCACGTGTATAAGCATATTTGGACAGTGTTTATATAATCTATATAAGAATTTTTAATAGCTTTGATCAGCAAAGAAGCTTGCTCTACTTGAAATAGAGCGGGACAAGTTTCTTCAAGGTTTCAAACACACTTGTGAAGGGATCAAACTGGACTGACTTTCTTAATCCAAGATCTGGAAACTGGTTTGTCAGTGTTTGCTCCATACCTGGCATGGTCATCATGGCAGCTAGCTCACCATCAGACATCACTTCACAGTCCTGTGGTGTATCCTTTATTTTTTCCGGGTCATAGCCAAATTGTGCCAAGTAGTTCTTGTACTTGGCGATGAACTCAGGTCCTGGGTTAGGTGTTCTTGAGTATACCTAACATATCAAACACATGAAGTTTATACAAGAGAGTGCAAGAGATATGACAGATAAATGAGTTCTTGAATCACCTGAACAAAGCCCTTGTCTTTGGCTCCAGAAACAAGTGCGTAGTTGTCGTAGTCAGTGGCTATGACATCATAAGGCAACTTGGGAATAAAAGGAATTGTGGGAAATCGTAGGAAACACTTCTCTTTAATCATCTCTCGCTTTTCTAAGTCAGTCTCGCTTTTCTCCAGGTCTTCCGCTCCCACGCATTGAACTTTTCCTCTGATTCCTGTTATATATCCATCAGGACTGCCGTGAACACAAAATGTATCTACTCGAATGGCGGATTCCTTCATATCAAACGAGTATACCCCCTGCAACAGTTGAAAAATTCTGAATATATTGAACTCTCTAGATATTTTATTAGTTGTTTTCTCACACTATGTTTGCATAGGATGTAGCCTTTTTGCAAATTGTGGAGTTGAAGAAAGTCTTACCTGGGTGCAATGGCAGTCTTCTTGGCCTTGACCCGCAAATCCACGCTTAAGAGAAGCTACTTCAAACCATCTTCCAGAGTACCTAACTGGGTCAAAGTTCTTAGTAGTCATGCCTCTCATCATCATCATCATCGCTTCCGACTCACCATCAGATGCATTGTCAAGTGGAAGAGTCAGCTTTGTTTCTTCCACAGAAGCACTCCCTAGTTGGCAAATGTTCTGATAACCAGATGAGAGATCCAACGCAATACCCTGCCAGAAGAAACTCAGAAATTCAGACCGCTTTTGGAAGCAATCGAACACGCTTATCGCAATGTCGGCTCCAACATACCTGGCCTGCCTGAGAGAGAAGCAAAATAGCTGCCAACCCTGAAACAAGATGCTTTCTCAAAGAAAGGTTTCCAATTGGCTTCTCCAAGAAACATTTTAACTCAGCATTCTTCAGCAACCCTTTGGAAGAACAGACTGTGACAGAGATATGAGATCTCCTGTCTATCCTGATCAGGGAGCATCTTCTATTTCATAAACCAAAACAGCAGGAAGAACAGAGTTTCTGAGATTAAACATTGAATCTCTATAATCCGAGACAGTTTCATTCCAGGATCTGATTCTGTAACTTTATCATAAACCTAACTAAATTTATGATATGCATTAATGATCTTGAGGTTGATCGAAGCTAATGAAGTAGTGGTTCAATATAGAAAACCATACCTCGTTGTAGTAGCAGGAGGTGGAGAGAAGCTTTGAGAAGAAACTGGTGTTGAGAGGCTTATACTACTTAATATCATTGTCTCTCTCTTTGCTTCTTTTGGTCGCCACAAACTTTTATGTCTTTTTTTTAAGTGTTGACAGGTTGGGAGATATTTCATTCTCTTTACCTTGTCATAGAAAAACACTGTCGTTTTGGTTCTGCAATAGAAGGGGCCCTCAGGAAATCTAGTGTATATTTTGAAAATATCATTTAATTAAAATTTTGAAAATTTTAAAACTGTTTATATTTATCGTTGTTACGTCAATATCAAAGATATTTGATTTTTTTTTTTATCAGAGCACTAAATCTATTGAAAAGAGAACAAATCTAAGTGTCGGCAATACTTTTTTTTTTGGTAGGTAAGTGTCCGCAATACTTGTGAATATTTTTCTTTACGTTTTTCTTATTAGGATATTAATGAAGTGATTAGTGCATGGCTTCACCTTTCAAGTTAACGACAAACTACATCACTTAATTAATTAGACGTGTTATTCAAATAACTAAAATTTAACGCATGTTAAAGAAGTCAAATATCTTGAATAGTGTCAGTGTTTTTAAAATTTTATATGAATTTCATAATTTGTTTTGATTTTCTATTCTAATTTCAAGAAATATCATATAAAAGATATAAGTTTTAGACTTTTATTTTTTTAACAAAAATTAATTTTAAATACAAAATTGAAGGAAACAAAAATGTGTAAATAACAGATAATTTGAAGATATTTCCAAAAATCATTAGTTAAAATATACTGAGATATTACAAATATTGAAATTTTATAAAACAACAATTTTAAAATTTTGAAAAGGTAGAAAACCAAAAATACACTATTAAAAAATTAAACAAATGTTTAAATAATAATTGTTATTGCAATATAAAAAATATAACTATTTATTCAAATTTTGAGAATTTTAAAATTGTTTACTTTTTATCGTTGTTACATCATTATCAAAGATATTTGATTTTTTTATTATATCACTAAATCTACTGTAAAGAAAAAAAATCTAAGTGTCCGCAATACTTGTAAATTTTTTTTTACGTTTTTCTTTTAAGTAGTGAGTTTTTATCAACAAAAAAAACATATCTAGTGAGTATATCTAGTGAATAATATTGTTTTTTTTTTAACACACGCCATTACCAACTACATGCACGCTAGAATATTGTGTTGCCTGATTACAAGTTCTTGGACAAACAACTGGCCACATTTGTGTTACACAAGTTAAAGCTATTCGTAGGGCTCCTCTAACCATCTCTTTGGAATCAGATTCAAGGATTAAATGCTTGTATAGCCGAGATTTCTCACACTTAGTGCAGTCCTATGAATGGCTTCAGCTTCTAGGGACGATGATACTTTAGGTATATATAATCCGGGCTCAATGATAGGTTTGAAGCTATGAACTCTTCTCTCTTATCACTTCTCAATCCAAGATACAAACTCAAGCATCCTAACAATGGAGATTTGTTCAAGTGATCTCCTATCTCTCCTCTAAAAAAACATACGTTTGTTACACACACATCAATACATGCATAACTTCTTCAATACTCTTCTATCTCTATTTATATACAACTCACTAGACTCTCAAGCGGTTACACAATCTGTTTCTTCTTGCTCTGTTTTAACTCTGTTTCACATGCCTTCTATGCTTGTCTTTGCTTATTCACGTGCCTCCTAGCTTATCACTCCAACCCAACCAACTTCTCCTAATCTGTCTCTCAAGATCCACACACAGTTTCTTGATTTCTTCCAGGTTCAACACAAGATCAACATTACATTTTAGAGTTTCATAAAGAAGTGGAAGTCTAATTACCTGAGTAATGTGAGTGTTCTCGGGAGGTAATGCAACATTAACATTAGTCTCGTGACTCTCTTCTTCACTCAGCCATGCCAGTTTTTAGCTTCATCGATTGTCTCTTGTGCAGAGAAGTGACGTCCCTTGATTAACCGTTAAAAGACCAAGAAAACACTGAGCAAGTAGAGTTATGTTGCACTAATATTCAAGTTCACTACCCTAGAAGGAAATTCGAGAGAGATATTTATTATTAAAAAAAAAAAAACAGAGAAACGCTGAAATTAAAAAGTCTCAACAAAAGATGAATAAACAAAACTTCGAAGAGCATGAATTGCTCAAGTCTTTTTATAAATAGGATCATGAATTGAGAAATCAATTCAATTCATACTGGTTAGACTAAAGCAAGTAGCTGCACTTCTCAATTCATTCTCTCCAATTTCATCAATCTGTTCTTTCAACGATCCACCAGAGCTGCAACCACCAATATACTCCAATTCAATGACCATTTTCAAAAAAACTTATTTCATAGTTATACAAAGAAAAGATGCAGAACAAAAACACGCATACCTTGACGCGTACGCTTCTTTAGAATCCGCAAATGATTGCCTGTCGTCAATTATTTCAAGAAACTGATGGATTTCATCGTATTCATGACCATCTTCATCTTCTTCCACTTGCTGATGATTTGATGCCATTTGCAGATTTACGAGCTGTGATTGTATTGCCATTACACCGTTATTACTCTTCATCTCGTGACAGCTCTCGTTTTGGTTGCTAAATCCTCCATTGTTGACGTTATACAGAAATCGTTTCTGACCACCCCAAACATTATTGTTATTGGTCAGAATCTCCTTGCCCGAATCTGTATTGTAAGCAGGAGGACTATAGCCATTGTTGTTAACCTCACTGCAGCTATAAGTGTAAGACATTTGAGGCTGCTGTGTTTCAGATACTGGTAATAATGGACTAAAGAATGGTGTAACAATATTGCTCTGATTATTGTTAACGTTAAGTCCCATTCCCAAATCAAGCTGCTGCGATGTAACATCTTCTTGCTGCTTATTATCACCGCCGAGCTCATGAATCATCTGACTATGATTATGGTTTTGGTTTTGATTTTGATTTTGATATTGATTTTGACCGTTTTGTGGTTGAGAGCGATAGAGTTGTAGTTGAGAATTGACAGCTTTGAGTTCTTCTTCAGCAAGCCAGATCATGTATTGAAGCTGTTGAGTCACGCCGAGGCAACCGTATACAGGAGAACGGTCACGGACATAAGACTGGAAGATGATTGATTTCATGGCTTCTGGTTTCTGAGTTTCGTCGAGTTTTTCGAGGATCTTGACGATGCTTCTTACGCCGAATAGCCTGTGAACGTTTTGGAAGAGTTTCGGTTGTTCGGCTGGGAAGTAAGGCGCGAGGGGGCAATCCGCGGCGCATCGTCTACGTTGGTACTTGCACGCGGCACAAGCTCCACTCGTGCCGCCTTTTAGAGTCATGAAAATTATAAGAGCGATCAAGAGAAGATCTAAAAACCTCTCTAGTAACCCTTTGTGGATGTTTTTTGTATTGCTCATTCGATGGGAACAGAAGAACAAGAGACTCTCGAGAATTGAGAAAAGAAAATGAGGATTTTGAAAGAGAGATGTGTGTGTTAGTGTTTGTGTGTCTGTGTTAATGGTTTTTGGTAAATGAGGAAGGGAAGAAGGAGAAGTAGTCTGGTATATATTGCGGATTTCGCTCAGTGGAAAGAAGACTCAGTAAAATATAGATATTAAGATTATAAAAAAAAACCGTTGTTAGAGAATCTTCAGGGGAGATTCTTTATATGATATTGAGTTTGTTTTTGTTTTACTAATAATAGTTGTTTTGTTTTTACGTAATATAAAAGTTAATATCTTAATCGTTTTATTTTTTTGAGTTTTGGATTGGATAAAATTTTTTTAATGTGGGACCAAGTAACAAAATAATTTTTATGTTCAGTCTTTATCTTAATTGAACTACTAAAAGTCTAAAGTTATATTGAATTGATTTTATTAAGATTAATCTTCTTTTTTATTGTATAGATTTTATTTTATTTTGTTCGATTACTATTTTTTAAAATTATTTGTGTTTCTTATGATGAAAATCTATTTATTTTTATTTGCTTTGTCAAAGGTAATGAAAATCTATTCTTAATTTAACAAGAACAAAACCATACGTGTAGCTAATTAATTGTAGTGAAACACATGGCTGAATATATTTATCAAAAATGATATGATCTTTATACAAAACGACCGAAGAAAAAAAGGCTATAATGATTTTTTCATTTTATTTTCTCGAAGTTTGTATAGATAATTATATGAACATATAATGCTTAATGTGACAATGATTTGGCCAAGATTACTTAAACTATATGACATCTTCTAAAACCTCTTCCAATGAAAACACTATTGCTTAAGCTTAAAGACAAAATCTTCTTCCCCATCCTCTTTGAACTACTGAGATGAGTAAAAATCACATTCCTTCCTCTCTGAGTTTTCGATTATCAAAAAATAGTACTTACTTTCTTTGCAGTTTGTACTTGGGAGATCTCCAAAACTGTTGCAACGTAACTCTACTTGCTCTGTTTTTTCTTTTGTTTTCTGATTTAAAGTTTCTTTTCGTAGAGAAGAACCTGTGGTTGCAAATGTCCTCTCTCACACATAGAAAGTACATCACTCCAGCTACCGATAACCTGAAGATATTAGGTCAAATGGGTGATAGTGTCGACAAGTGTATCTGCCTGCAAAGTGCGGTGTAAGGATAGTCTTACCTTGACTGTTTGGTCATCGTACATGATCCACCGATCGTGCTCATGACTATGTGCAAAACAATGATAATGCTGTCCATAATAACAAACCTGGAGTTGCAGAAATAGCAAAAAAAAACATACAGAATTTGTGAAAGGCCGCGAGATTTTAGGGTGAAAGCAAACAATGAAAACACAAAGTACAGAGGCAGTTTCAAGTTAGACAACATTCTTCTGGTAATGTCATAGGGAAGAAGAAGAAATGTGTACCACGGAAACTAAGCTATATGTGCTCTTAGGGTCCAGACCATGGTACATGATGCTGATATCTATCTCGGTATTCAAGGCTGCAAGGGTAGCTGCTATGTCTTCTACAGTCTCACATGTGTTTTGCCACCCTAATACTGCCAGCCCCAAAATATCAGTTATCAGAAAAGGTTTGCAGTCATCAGAATCCTAAAAAAGGTTTTACCTATAGTAAAAACATGTGGTGGAGTGGTGAGAATGTGGTGGATATGGTTGGGTTTCCCACAACCACCAGCTTCGGGATCACAAGCTAGTTGATGGTTCATCTCGACAAGATTTAGAAGTTCATCAAATGAATTTTCAGCGCATGTAACCTATTAGGCGTAAAATGGGACAAAACCACAGTGAATAATCTAATAATATATGTGAAAAAGCAAGTCTATTGAACACTCATATGATACCTTCATGGTGCGTAGGGCACTAGCATTGATGTTATGGAAAAAGGAAGTGTACTTCAAATGCCTGGACTCCAGCCCACAGCTGTAGCAATTCAATTGCTCAAAAATATCCATTCCAAACAGAGAATGGGCAATACATGAGCGATTGGCACAGTCCCATGAACCCGTACTGTTGCTCTCAGCAGATTCTGTGTCAGACACGCTTGAACTTTGAGCAAATGAGCGATGAAGGCAGTCGAAGATTACGGCCAATACTTCTGAAGCATCATTCATCTGAGCCTGTCCACCATATGACGCGCCCAAGTTTAGGCTCCTTTATGAAAACAAAAAGCTTAATCTGAAAAACCAGAGATCAATTCTTTACCTCTTGGAAGAAACTGCTATCTGGATACAAGTTACTCAAAGCAATCCTGAGAGATGAAGGAGCCACAGGTTCTTTTCGTGTTTCACTCGTAGCAGCAATTAAAGCAGTAAAAATCTCATACAATGAGCAGACAACACAAGGATCTCCAACGTGATGGTGCTCTAGTGTTGAACTCCGCAAGAACTCAGCTCGAAACAGCCCCAGATTCCATAGAGACTAAGATAATAACAAAACCAAAAAAAAAAACCCGAAAACTTTTAAGGTGGAAATTATAGACATTGATACCCAAGAAATCAAACAGTTTATGAGAAGTGGAGGTTACCTGTATGATAACATTTAAAAAGCAATTGTATTCGCCAACTTCATTCTGAAGACCTGTGCCAAATATGGCAACTCTGGGCGAACTCTGAGATTCCTTTGGGACATCAGATAAAACCCAATCATTGTTGTCTTCCAGAGATGTCCTCAAACATGATGTCATATTTCTACCTCCTCGGTACACATCTGGGTTCAAACAAAATGCGCTGGTGTCAGATGCTTCATATCAAGGGCCTTTGTCACCCCAATATTATCACAGAAAATTTTAAAAGAAAAGGTAGCAGCTGTTGGCATAAGCAAAGCATGAGAAAAAAATAGATAAAAGAATGTGTCCTGAGATGGAGAGAAGTGGTATATGTATACAGTAAACCAGTCTTCATATAAATGACTGTCAGACATGATATATAAACAAGGATGGCTGAAAACCTACCAAGGCTTTGAAGCACTGCCCTTTTAAGGTCAGCTTGAAATCTTTCTTCTTCATCGTCTTCAGCTTGTAATTGTCTTAATGTCTTTATTCCCGCATCTACATCACCAGGATACAATATTGAATGCATAATAAATGATAGTAGAAACGAAATTGTTGAAATTAATGAAAATACTGACATTCCTCGTTGACAGAAATGCAAAAATCAAGATACACTTATTGTAGAGATCTAAACTATTTCATTAGTTCCAACAGATAAAAGCAGTTTCATTAGTGCCTTAATGGTCTCCCCAAGCACATCTCATATAAGTTTGAAAAATCAGTAACCTGAGGAAAACAAATCTAGATCCATATCAGATCATCTACAATTCAAACTATCAATGCTTTAAAAAAAATGAGACAAAGAGAAGAATCTAGGACAATAATTGGAAAAATAAAGTCTTACCACCATTGCTACGTAGAATTTCAGATTGTCTCTCACTGTCGGTGCCTGACCTCTGAGATTTACTATCCTCGCTCTCAGAAGGTATGACCTGATATTTTCCATCAACCAACTTGTTTGAAGCTTTTTGGCGTCTACCCCTCCTCCCAGGGCGTTGATCAGATTGGAAAACACCAGATTGAATAGCTATACCGTTAGGCACTACTGCAAAACAAAACAATCAAATATAAGTGCCTCACAAAGGTCAGTAGACACATATATTCATACTAGAAGACCAGTGCTAACCTTCTTGGGATTTTACATCCTGCACCTTTGCAGTATCAGATATCACACAATAATTTGTTGACGGGAAAACACAATTTATATTCACTTTGGCTCCTTCCAAGTCATCAAGTTGTCCATTCCTTTTCTCCTGGTAAAGCAAAGAAACCCAGAAATTAATTTCAAGAGATAATTAAAAAAAATACCTCACCTCCACAACCTTGTCACTCTATTGTTACCTGATTTATGGATTTTTCTTGTTCTTGTAAATCTACATCATCAAAGAATTTTTCTATGCAATCATCATACACTGCCTCTGTCACATTCATCGGATGTAAACAGCTGTATTTCTTTTTTTGTTCGGCGATGTGCTTCTCCTTAGCTTCATTCTCAATTCTTCTTTGATACTCTAGAGTTTTTTCAAGCTTCCTCTCCTCTTCCTCTAACTCGATACGGCGTCTGTATTTCTCTTCCTCATCTTTTAACGCTTCAACGGCTTCAGAAACAACGTCAGCCTCTGAATGATCACCAAAAGATGCAACCGAAGGGAGGCTGGAAAAAGAAATCATTAAGTACATCAACCGCACATCATTCACCACCAACATATACAGAAACAAAGATTTTCCAGGTTACACCATCTTAAAGTAAATTATGTTCAAAGCAGATCTTCACCTGTGTTCAATTGAGTCAACATTGAAGCGATGGTCGTTTCCAATAGTAGCCTATAACAAAACATTAAAGCTAGTTACAGATATAGACAAGAAATACCTAAAAAGTAGACAAGAGATAAGTTCGAACCTTCAAATCCTTCAGTTTCCTAGAGTCTTTAATCTTTTTCTTGTCCTTGGACTTTTCCAGCGTGTTTTTTGAATTATCATTTCTTCCTCGAGCCTCCTTCTTAGAATCAAGAGCGAGCTCAACAAGTAACGCTTCTCTTGCAGCATCAGACTTCTCAGTGGCATCTTTCTCTGCTAACGCCTCCAAATGTGCCTGGAGAGAGAGAGAGGGGGGAAAAGGGGGAGATTAAGATGGAAATGCCAATTAGAACCTGAAAGAACACTGCAACCAATGGAAGAAAAAGTAACAAGGTCTTTAGATACTTACCCGCATGTAGGACTTCACCAAAGGTAACAATACTATCTGATAATCGTTGAAGGAAACTGGTCCAAGCTTTAGCTCTAATTGCTGCATCCCAGTGACATTCCGCATCATTTGAGCGTCGATTCTGCTAAGCTGTGATATCACATATACAGATTATTTTTAAAGCAGAAAGGCAGCTAGTGATTATCACAGTCGTGTTGCGTAAAGATCGAAAAGGATACCTCTCCAGACAGCTGCTCTTTTTGTTTTTGGATCGCAACCTCTATGAAACTGTCAGCCTCATGTAAGGAATCTTTCATCCCCCATTCATCAGCTTCACCAGATTCCAGATCATGTAGCTGAGAACTCGTGCAGCCATATGATTCTCCATATCCAAATTGATTGTGGTTGAGGGTTTCAGCATCTTTCAAAACATTTGTTATAGCATCTAACTCAAACCTACTACTGATAAACTCCAACTCAAGGTCATTCTCATTTAGCTCTTGTCTTCGTTTCCTCAGCACAGATTCATAGCTTTCATGGGTAAACTCTGCTGAAGTCTCCCTCTTCCGGCCTTCTTCAAGACAAAGGTCCTCAACAGTCTGCAGTGCTCCCTCGTAGCTTAAGTGCTCGCATTTTCTCTCGCAGAGGTTCTGTAAGTGATAGAACTCCTTCTCAAGATGCTGCATGATCTCCAGTCCTTGATTTGTTTTCTCTTCCTTTGTGCACATCCATGACACAACTTGTTCCCCGCTAGAGGGTCCTGCAAAGATCCATGAAAGAAATCCATCCGCACCAGAAGACACATTATTGCCGTTAGCAATATCTCCAGAACTTACTTTAGCTACATTATCAAATGCTGAGCCCATATATTTCTCTTGGATGCACTCAGTGCCAAGTACTTTTTCATCCAAAAGAAGATATGAATCTTCACCATCAAGAAGAATCTCCTCTGTAACTTCACGACCCAGGTCGCCAAAATTAATTTCATCATTGGTGTTACTTTGTTCAGAATATCGATTCAATCCACAGGCCTGAGTCAAGTCTTGCAGGAATATGAGAATTTTCCTGAGCTGGGAAGCTCCCAAAAAGCAGATGCATATGGGTGACTGGTTCAAGCTACGACTTAAGAATTGTGAAACCGAAGCTAGATTCTGAAGTTCATCCAGCGTAAATTGTATCACCTTATCATGATGGCTGGCAGCTAAATATTTGTGTCTAATAAGCAGCTCAAAGGCTGCACGGATTTTTTCAAGGAGCTTTGCACGTTCAGGATCATCAGATATAGGCCATCCATCAGGAGGAGGAAATGCGATCGACAGCTTAACCTCTTCTTGTTCATTCTCATTACAACCGTTGCAAGTGTCTCTAAGGCTTTCTTTCTCTGGTGAAGTATCATTCCGTGCATCCGTGAAGCAATCGTCACTGTCATCCATATTATCTCCAGAGTGAAATTCATCAAACTCAGTATTTTGGATTTTCTGCTGACCGCGAAGCAATTTCATCGCAGCAGAGAGATCCAATGGTTTCCATGGGGAAGTAAGAAGCATATCAATCCTCTCAGTGTCGACACTTTGAGGCAGAACCATTTGCATCTTAGGTAAGACATTACCCATGTGCTCCTGCACAATATGATGCATATGAGCCTCAGACTTTATGAACTTTTCACTACACTGGCAGCAAACCCAGAACCTCCAAGTCTTATTGGCCTCACAAAAGGACAGAGCTTCACTTATAATCTCATTTGCATTCCCATCCTTTGAAGCACTAAAGTGACTCTTAAGATCACTAACCTTAACTCTAAGCAATTGTTTCTTCATTTCTTTGCTCATAGAATCCCAGTATGACCTAACCCGATCCCTTCTATCAGCTGTGGAGCCGTTTTTCCTTGCATTTCCATGCTTTCTCCTCTCTCCGCTTCTCTTCCCTGAACCTAATGTTGGATCTGATCCCTTGTTGTCAACAGCTCCTACATTCTCCGACGGGGAAGATTCTGACTTCTGCTGCAACAACCTAGCAGCAGCTACCCTAACTTCAACCTCCTTTCTTATCTCTTCAATAGTCTTGTTAGCCTTTTTAATCTCATTCGGCCTCCTGGTCTGAATCAAGTTACTCTCAATAGGATCCTCAGCCATTCTCCTAATCGGTATCAACCGAAACTTCTCTTCACCTTTTCCCAGGTTATTCATCCAAGAAGACAATGAACCAATGTTAGATTTCTGTATCAGTGACCTGAGCTCATCCTGCACATGAACAATACGAGCCTCAGGTGTCAATATCTTCAACTGAGTCTCATCCTGCAAACTCTCTTTAGCAGGATCAATCGGATTTTCGATGGAGAGAGCACGTTGACACTCTTGCACAACTTCGTCATACTCTCTCTTCCCATCATTAGCAGCCTCATAAAGCAAGTTGGCATAAAAATGCCCAAACTCAATCGAATCCGGAGACAATTCCACAGCTTTTCTAGCAGATTCAATTGCATTACGGAGATACTTCTGTTTAGTAGCTAGATCCTCGTAGACAGCAGCAACCTTGACGCAGATAGTTCCTTGAACACGGTGGATTAGGGCAGAGTCTTGATGACGAGAGCATGAATCCTTTATCAGACGAATCGCCTTGTTGTAGCTCCCCCGCCCGAAAGACTTGAGTGCCTTCTCGCATTCGAGCTTGATCACAGCCGAATCCAACGGCGCGGGGGCTTTCTTCTTCTGACCCATCAACGATTCAGCTCAAAACCCTTAATTTTATCCGCATGAAGAATACTCAGAGATATGTATACGCGTACGTATATATTTACGCCCCACCAAACGCGCACAGAAGGTCAAATCGGAAATTATAATACAGTCAACAGACGGCGTCGCCTGAGAGATTCCGGCAACGTATTACGGCGGAGATTGTTGGTGAGGGGAGAGATATAGAGAGAGTAACACAAGAGTCGTTGTGCTCTCTCTCTCTCTCGCTATGGAGCAGAAGAAAATCATTAAACCGAGAAAGGGATTTACATTAGCGCTAACAAACCGGTTTACTTTGATTAGTAATTATTTTAGTTTAACCATCCGTATATACATGGTTAACAAGACGAAGCGGACTAATCCGGTTTGCGAACTGAACCGCTCTGTTTTTAAAAAACCAGGGTCATGTAGCTTCTACAAATAATTTCATTTCACACAATGAAATTATGAAAATGGGAGATGCAACGAGTATAGCTCTTAGGAGAGCGGCCCATACTATACTCATGTCTAAAATGATCCCATCCTCATGTAGTTTCTTCTAAATACTATCATGACCATATTATTGCTACATGATATAGCACAACTTGCCTAATGTATGTGACCATGAGGTCGTCATACATTATTCACGGATCCACCAATGGCCATAGTGAGTGCCTGCCTCTTTGCGGATTGACCCCGCGAATGCAACATATGAAGCCGATTCTCGACCAACAAAAGACATTGGTTTTTTTGCTTTCTAACAATCGAATCGCTTACCCGTGAATTCACTTACATCCACCATATTCGTCATTCTCAGGCAAACACTCCTGAATCTCCAAATTTCATCCAGGACACTTTAAATAATCATAATATTTCTTATGAGATGTTCCATTTCCTCAAGCTTAGTTTTCAACCCATCTTCCGATCACATCTTCGTTTTACGGTTTAAGCTTAAGTGTTAAACACAGTTGGATTGGAGTTTACACAGATTTAAAACTTAAATTAATGTATTAAAAATAAATATAGTAAATTAGTAAGTGTTAAAAGATGATATACTGTATAAACATTTCATTGGATTAGTATTTCTGCAGTTTCTCTCATAACTTCTAACAATTTAATTAGTTGTCAAGATAAGATATATGTATAATGATGATATGATTTATAGAGACAACCGACGAAATAGATTTATATGAACATATAATCCTTAATGTGACAAGGATTTAACCAAGAAAACTACATGATAGCTTCTAAGACCTCTTCCACTGAAAACACTTTTGCTTAATTTCAAAGACAAAATCTTCTTCCACATCCTCTTAGAAGTTAGAACCACTGAGATGAGTGTAAATCACATTCTTTCCTCTCGAGTTTACTTCTGCTTGTCAAAAAAACGTACTTACTTCCTTTGTAGTATGTACTTACGAGATCTCCTAATCTGTAGCAACGGAACTCTACTTGGTCTGTTTTTCTTTTTGATTCTTTTTTGTTTTAACGCTTCTCGTAGAGAAGAACCTGTGGTTGCAAGTGTCCTCTTTCACACATAGAAAGAACATCACTCCAGCTACCAATCACCTGAAAGATATTACAAAAACTGGGTAATGATGTCGATGAGTGTATCTGCCTGCAAAACCCATTGTATTGATAGTCTTACCTTGACGGTTTTGTCATCGTACATGATCCACTGATCGTGCTCACGACTATGTGCAAAACAATGATAATGCTGTCCATAATAACAAACCTGGAGTTGCAGAAATAGCAAAAGAACAATATGTTACCTTGAGGTTTTTAGGGTGAAAGCAAACATGGAAAACACAAAGTACATAGCTGATGTTTTAACGACTCTTCTGGTAATGTCATAAGGAAGAAGAAGAAGAAATATGTACCACGGAAACTAAGCTATATGTGCTCTTAGGGTCCAGACCACGGTACATGATGCTGATGTCTATCTCGGTATTCAAGGCTGCAAGAGTAGCTGCTATGTCTTCTACAGTCTCACATGTGTTTTGCCACCCTAAAACTGCCAGTCCCAAAATAATTAGTGACAAGACACAAACATCATCAATCTGAAATAAGTTTCCATTCATCAAAATTCTAAAAACAAGTTTTACCTGTAGTAAATACATGCGGTGGAGTAGTGAGAATATGGTGGATATGGTTGAGTTTCCCACATCCACCCGTTTCGGAATCACAGGCTAGTTGATGGTTCATCTCGACAAGATTTAGAAGTTCGTCAAATGAATTCTCAGTGCATGTAACCTATAAGGCATAAAGCAGGGAGTTACCAAAAAATATGTGAAAATTCAAGTCTAATGAATATTATCTAATTAGCATTTCTTTTTACCTTCATGGTGCGTAGGGCACTAGCGTTGATGTTATGGAAAAAGGAAGTGTACTTCATATGCCTGGATTCTAGCCCACAGCTGTAGCAATTCAGTTGCTCAAAAATATCCATTCCAAACAGAGAATGGGCAATACATGTGCGGTTGGCACAGTCCCATGAACCAGTACAGTTGCTGTCTGAGGAATCCACATCAGACACGCTTGAACTTTGAGCAAATGAGCGATGAAGGCAGTCAAAGATCACCGCCAGTACTTCTGAAGCATCGTTCATCTGAGCCTGTCCACCATATGACGCCCAAGTTTAGGCTCATAAATGAAATGAAGGTTTACTCTGTATTAGGATGAACATTTAAAACCAGTCATCAAATTCTTTTACCTCTTGGAAGAAACTACTATCTGGATACAATTTACTCAAAGCAATCCTGAGAGATGAAGGTGCCACAGGTTCATTTTGTGTTTCACTCGAAGCAGCGCTCAAAGCAGTAAAAATTTCATACAAAGAGCAGACAACACAAGGATCTCCCACGTGATGGTGCTCTCGTGTTGAACTCTGTAAGAACTCAGCTCGAAACAGCTCCAGATTCCATAGAGACTAAGATCAAAAAAAAAAAAAATAGCTTTCAGCAATGATAAATCTTTTAAGCTGATAGATACTGAATTCCCAAGAAATCAAACAGTTTATGAAAAATGAAGGTTACTTGTATGATAACATTCAAAAAGCAATTGTATTCGCCAACTTCATTCTGAAGACCTGTGCCAAATATGGCAACTCCGGTTGAGCTCCTAGACTCAATTGTGTCATCAGATAAACCCCCATCATTGTTTACTTCCAGAGGTGTCCTCAAACATGAAGCCATACTTCTACCTCCTTGGTACACGTCTGGGTTAAAAAAAAATGTTCTGGTGTCAAATGCTTCATATCAAGGGCTTTTGTCACCCCAAAATGATTACAGACCAAATATGCTCAAAATTCTAAATGAAAACGTAGCAGCTGTCGGCATAAGTAAAGCATGAGAAAAAATAATTTCAGACACCTTAAATAATCAGATTAAAAAAATGCACTGAGATGAAGAAAAATGGTATACACAATACACCATTCTTCATACAAATGACAGTCAGTCAGACAATAGTGACAAAATGGGTACTTAGCAAAATATCGCAAAATGTTGACTGTCAGACATGATATCAGATATATAAACAAGGATGTTGAAAAACTACCAAGGCTTTGACGCACTGCCCTTTTAAGGTCAGCTTGAAACCTTTCTTCTTCATCGTCTTCAGCTTGTAATTGTCTTAATGTCTTTGTTCCCACATCTAGAATGCAAGATGAATGATGTTAGAAAAATTGTTGCTGGAAATCAATATAGATACTGTAATTCCTCATTGACATAAAAGCATAAAACAAAATACACTGGTTACAGAAGTATCCGTTTTAAGAAATCTAACGGCTTCATTAGTTCTAACGGATGAAAGAAGTTTCATTTGTGCCTTAACTGGTCACATCTAATATTCAAGTTCAGAAAAACAATAAGCTCAAGAAGAAAAATCTAGATCCATGTCAGATCATCAATAGATCACAACTATGAGTGCTTTGAAAACATGAGACAAAGAGAATGATCTAGGACAAAAATAAAAATAAAACAAAATCGCTTACCACCATTGTTACGTAGAGTTTCAGAATGTCTCTCGGCGTCGGTGCCTGACCACTGAGATTTAGTATTTTCGGTCTCAGGAGGTGTGACCGGATATTTTCCATCAACTAACTTGTTTGAAGCTTTTTGGCGTCTACCTCTCCTCCCAGTTGGTGGATCAGATTGGAACATACCAGCTTGCATAGCTGTGCCATTAGGCACTACTGCAACACAAAAAATAAATAAATAAATAAATAAGTGCCTCAGAAAGGTCAGCAGACACATATTTTCATATTCGAAGACCAGTGCTAACCTTTTTGGGATTTTACATCCTGCACCTTTGCACTATCAGATATCACAGAATAATTTGTTGACGGGAAAACTCCATTTGTATTCACTCTGGCTCCTTCCAGGTCGTCAAGTCGTCCATTCCTTTTCTCCTGATAAAGCAAAGAAACCCAGAAATTAATTTCAAGTGATGATTAAAATAAACATAACTCCACCCACCTTGTCACTCCATTGTTACCTGATTTATGGATTTTCCATGTCCTTGTAAATCTAAATAATCAACTACATTATCTGTGCATGCATTATACACTGCTTTTGCAACATTCATGGGAACTGAAGAGCTGTATTTCTTTTGTTGTTCTGCCATGTGCTTCTCCTTAGCTTCATCCTCAATTCTTCTCTGATACTCTAGAGTTTTTTCAAGTTTTCTCTCCTCCTCCTCTAGCTCTCTTTGGCGTTTATATTCCTCTTCTTGTTCTTTTATAGCTTCAACAGCTTCAGAAACAACATCAGCCTCTGAATAATCACCGACAGATGCAACCGGAAGGGGGCTGGAACAAGAAATTAGCAGGTAAATAAACGACAGATTATACACCACCAACATTCTCAGAAACAAAGATTATCCAGGTTACACCCGCTTAAGTAAAAATTATGAACAAAGCAGATCTTCACCTGTGTTCAACAGAATCAGCATTGAAGCGATGGTCGTTTCCAATAGTTGCCTATAACAAAAAAGTAAAGCTAGTTACAAATATAGACAAGAAATACCTAAAAGTAGACAACAGATGGTTCAAACCTTCAAATCCTTCAGTTTCCTAGTGTCTTTAATCTTTTTCTTGTCCTTGGACTTTTCCAGCGTGTTTTTTGAATTATCATTTCTTCCTCGAGCCTCCTTCTTAGAATCAAGAGCGAGCTCAACAAGTAACGCTTCTCTTGCAGCATCAGACTTCTCAGTGGCATCTTTCTCTGCTAACGCCTCCAAATGTGCCTGGAGAGAGAGAGAGAGAGAGAGAGAGAGAGAGAGAGAAGGAAAGGGGAGATTAAGATGGAAATGCCAATTAGAACCAGAAAGAACACTGCAACCAATGGAAGAAAAAGTAACAAGGTCTTTAGATACTTACCCGCATGTAGGACTTCACCAAAGGTAACAATACTATCTGATAATCGTTGAAGGAAACTGGTCCAAGCTTTAGCTCTAATTGCTGCATCCCAGTGACATTCCGCATCATTTGAGCGTCGATTTTGCTAAGCTGTGATATCACATATACAGATTATTTTTAAAGCAGAAAGGCAGCTAGTGATTATCGCAGTCGTGTTGCGAAAAGGTCAAAAAGGATACCTCTGCAGACAACTGCTCTTTTTGTTTCTGGATCGCAATCTCTATGAAACTGTCAGCCTCATGTAAGGAATCCTTCATCCCCCATTCATCAGCTTCACCAGATTCCAGATCACGAAGCTGAGAACTCGTGCAGCCATATGATTCTTCATATCCAAATTGATTGTGGTTAAGGGTTTCAGCATCTTTCAAAACATTTGTTATAGCATCTAACTCAAACCTACTACTGATAAACACCAACTCATGGTCATTCCCATTTAGGTCATCTCTTCGTTTCCTCAACACAGATTCATAGCTTTCATGGGTAAACTCTGCTGAAGTCTCCCTCTTCCGGCCTTCTTCAAGACAAAGGTCCTCAACAGTCTGCAGAGCTCCCTCGTAGCTTAAGTGCTCGCATTTTCTCTCGCAGAGGTTCTGTAAGTGATAGAACTCCTTCTCAAGATGCTGCATGATCTCCAGTCCTTGATTTGTTTTCTCTTCCTTTGTGCACATCCATGACACAACTTGTTCCCCGCTAGAGGGTCCTGCGAAGATCCATGAAAGAAATCCATCCGCACCAGCAGACACATCATTTCCATAAGCATTATTAAGTGCTGAGCCCATATATTTCTCTTGGATGCACTCAGTTCCAAGCAATTTTTCATCCAAAAGAAGACATGAATCTTCACCATCAAGAAGAATCTCCTCTGTAACTTCACGACCCAGGTCACCAAAATTAATTTCATCGTTGGGGTTACTTTGTTCGGAATATCGACTCAATCCACAGGCCTGAGACAAGTCCTGCAGGAATTTGAGAATTTTCTTGAGATGGGAAGCTCCCAAAAAGCAGATGCATAAGGGTGACTTGTTCAAGCCACGGTTTAAGAATTGCGAAACCGAGGGTAGATTCTGGAGTTCATCCACCGTAAATTGAATCACCTTATCATGATGGCTGGCAGCTAAATATTTGTGTCTAATAAGCAGCTCAAAGGCTGCACGGATTTTTTCAAGGAGCTTTGCACGTTCAGGATCATCAGATATAGGCCATCCATCAGGAGGAGGAAACGCGATCGACAGCTTACCTTCTTCAGATTCATTCTCATTCCAACCGTTGCAAGCATCTCCAAGGTTTTCTTTCTCTGGTGTAGTATCATTCCATGCATCCTTGAAGCAATCGTCATCGTCATCCATATTATCTCCAGAGTGAAATTCATTAAACTCAGAATTTTGGATTTTCTGCTGACTGCGAAGCAAATTCACCACAGCAGAGAGATCCAATGGTTTCCATGGGGAATTAAAAAGCATATCAATCCTTTCAGTGTCGACAATTTGAGGCAAAACCATTTGCATCTTAGGTAACACGTTACCCATGTGCTCCTGCACAATATGATGCATATGAGCCTCAGGCTCTATGAAGTTTTCACTACACCGGCAGCAAGCCCAGAACCTCCAAGTCTTATTGGCCTCACAAAATGACAGTGCCTCGCTAAGAATCTCATATGCTTGCCCATCCTTTGAAGCACTAAAGTGACTCTTAAGATCACTGAACCTAACTCTTAGGAATTCTTTCTTCATTTCTTTGCTCAAAGAATCCCAGTATGACCTAACCCGATCCCTTCTATCCGCTGTGGAGCCGTTTTTCCTTGCATTTCCATGCTTTCTTCTCTCCCCACTTCTTGGCCCCGCGCCTAATGTTGGATCTGATCCCTTGTTGTTAACAGCTTCTACATTCTCCGATGGGGAAGACTCAGACTTCTGCTGCAACAACCTATGTGCAGCTACCCTCACTTCAACCTCCTTCCTCCTCTCTTCAAGAGTCTTGGTAGCTTTTTTAATCTCATTCGGCCTCCTGTTCTGAATCAAGTTACTCTCAATAGGATCCTCGGCCATTCTCCTAAGAGGGATCAACCTAAATTTCTCTTCACCATTTCCCAAGTTCTGCATCCAAGTGGACAATGAATAAATGTTAGACTTCTGTATCAGTGACCTGAGCTCATCCTGGAAATGTGCAATACGAGCCTCAGGTGTCAATATCTTCAGCTGAGTCTCATCCTGAAGACTCTCTCTAGCAGGATCAATCGGATATTCGATGGAGAGAGCACGATGGCACTCTTGCACGACCTCCTCGTACTCTCTCTTCCCATCGTTGGCAGCCTCATAAAGCAAGTTGGCATAAAAATGCCCAAACTCAATTGAATTTGGAGACAACTCCACAGCTTTTCTAGCAGATTCAATTGCATTTCGCAGATACTTCTGTTTCGTAGCTAGATCCTCATACACAGCAGCAACCTTAACGCAGATAGTTCCCTGAACACGGTGGATTAGGGCAGAGTCTTGATGGCGAGAGCACGAATCCTTGATGAGACGAATCGCCTTGTTATAGCTCCCCCGTCCAAACGACTTCAGTGCCTTCTCGCATTCTAGCTTGACGACAGCTGAATCCAACGGCTCAACATTAGCGTCTGGTCCAGAAAAACCCCCCTCGTTGAAGCTACAAGCGGGAATCTCAGACGGCTCCACCTCTGTCACTGCCACCGTCGTCACCGCCGCAGAAGACGGCGATTGTTTGGAACGAGCGGAGGTTTTCTTCTTCTGACCCATCCACGATTCAGCTTAAAACCCCTAATTTAATCGGCATGTATACGCTTTTGTGTGTGTGTGTGTGTGTTATATACGCCCCAGCAAATGCGAAAAGATAGTCAAACCGGAAATTAAATTTCAGTCAACATACGGTGGCGTCTAGGAGATTACGGCATCGTAGTATGGCGGAGGATCGGCGGAGAAAGCTGGTGTGGGGAAAAAGATAGAGAGAGTAGAACAAGAGTCGTCGTTTTGCTCTCTGTGTGGAGTTCGAAGCCAGGGGAAAATAATCATTAATTAAAATAGGAGAAAAAGGGAATTTTAGTACCAAGTGAGATTTACATTGCGGTTACACACCGGTTCGCTACAATGGATTTAAAATGGCGGTGCAGCGGTACCGTCTGCACTTTTTGCTAACCGCATTTGAATAGTGTAGTATCTAATCAAAATAGAGCGATTTAAATGTACTTATGTTACCAAATTGATGTAGATTTTTTTCGTATAAGTGCATTTAATGTTTGGTCGGCTAATCGAATATTAATATTAATTTATTAAAAAGAAATAATTTATTGTTAAGTATTGAAATTATATTCTATAGTTGAGGCGTTTAAACTATATGTTAGCCACGAGTTGCGATTAGATTATTAACTGATAAATAACTTCCAAAAAAATGAAAACAACTCAAAATCAACAATTTGTTTACCAAATTTTGTTTTAAGAAAAAAGAAAACTGTAACTTTGATGAACTCAATAGATAGGTGGTTTTACTACTTTGTTTAGTCACTCAAACATAACGGGTTAGACCAATTTTCATGTAGAACAAAAATATATAATGAAATCATTCCTTAGTTATCCAAAATATTGCTATCCAAATGCATTTGTGTTTTCAAATTGAGATAAATTTACTTTTCATATAAATGTGTAAGTTATATATATAATGTTCATTTTTTGAAAGTGTAGTCATTTATTTCAAGCTATTGAAACTATATTTCTCACGGTTAAAGCATTTTGTTATCCACGAGTTGTTGTTATTGTTATTCAAAAAACTAAATCAATACAAAATCAACCGTCTTAATTTACTCGAGCATAACGGTTCGACCGATTCCCATGTGGGACGAAAAGCCAAAAGGCCCAAAACTACAGTAAAATTTCTGGTTTTGTTTGGTTTAGGAATCTGGACAATCTAATACCAAATGGTTTTGGTCCAAATCACTACCTATGGGGATAATTTGTTCACTAACAAACTACGTGGCTAAATTATGAAAACAGAAATAATAACGGGGCAAATAATGGAAACTTTCTTAAATCACTAAACCCGATCCTGTACAGGAACATTTCCCTCAGGTTCAGATCGCCTGAAGTAAAACAAAAAATGCTCCGGTCACTTCGTCTCCGCCGCTCCGTCGGCCATTCTCTCGGAACCCTATATCCTTCTTCATCCACCATCCGGTCTCTATTTTCGCCTCACCGTACTCTCTGCACCGCCGGTCAAACATTGACTCCACCACCGCCGCCACCGCCACGTCCTCCACCTCCGATTCCGTCCACCGCCTCAGAAGCCGAATTCCGTAAATACGCCGGATACGCAGCACTCGCTGTCTTCTCTGGAGTCGCTACATATTTCTCATTTCCATTCCCTGAAAATGCTAAGCACAAGAAGGCTCAAATCTTCCGTTACGCTCCTTTACCTGAAGATCTTCACACTGTCTCTAATTGGAGTGGTACTCATGAGGTACAGACTAGGAATTTTAATCAACCGGAGAATCTAGCTGACCTCGAAGCTCTCGTTAAGGAATCTCATGAGAAGAAGTTAAGGATCCGACCCGTTGGATCGGGTCTCTCGCCTAATGGGATTGGTTTGTCTCGCTCCGGGATGGTGAATCTAGCGCTCATGGACAAAGTTCTAGAGGTAGATAAAGAGAAGAAGAGAGTTACGGTGCAGGCTGGGATTAGGGTCCAGCAATTGGTTGACGCCATTAAAGACTATGGTCTGACTCTTCAGAACTTTGCCTCCATAAGAGAGCAGCAAATTGGTGGTATTATTCAGGTTTGCATGCTCTTCTCTTCATTATGTGAAGTCTAGGGTTGTGGAACTAATGGAGAATCTGAAACAAGTTTAGTTGTTCGTCTTTATCTTGTGCTTTGAGGTTTAGACTCTAAATTTTTGTTTATGTTCAGGTTGGGGCACATGGAACAGGTGCTAGATTGCCTCCTATTGATGAGCAGGTGATCAGTATGAAGCTGGTTACTCCTGCAAAGGGAACAATTGAACTATCAAGAGAAAAAGATCCGGAGCTCTTTCATCTAGCTCGATGTGGCCTTGGTGGACTTGGAGTTGTTGCTGAGGTCACCCTCCAATGTGTTGAAAGACATGAACTTGTGGAGCACACATACGTCTCAAACTTGCAAGAAATCAAGAAAAATCACAAGTTAAGTGTTGCTAACTTTCACTATCTTAGTCTCGATATTATGCCTCCAGCTTAGAGAATTCATGCTCAGTATACAAATTTGCTTCTGGTCATATTATCAGAGAAGTATCAGGTTGATGCATGAGCTTTAAGTTTTGTTCACTTTCTAGTTACTGCACCATTCATTTGGCATAGTGCATTTTTAGCATTTGGGAAAGCACTCCCTCTACTATGAAGCAATTGCCTCAGAATGGAACGTTTCCTAACTTTTGTCTTTGTTTCTGGCTGTTCAGAAAATTGCTCTCTGCAAACAAGCATGTTAAGTACCTATATATTCCTTATACCGACACAGTCGTGGTTGTAACATGCAACCCTGTATCAAAATGGAGTGGGCCACCTAAGGACAAACCAAAGTACACTACAGAGGAGGCTGTACAGCATGTCCGTGATCTCTACAGAGAGAGCATTGTGAAGTATAGGTATCGTTAGGCTTTAAGTCTTATGTCTAACTTGCTTTCTCTAATGTGGAGGACTGAATGAAATACAAAATAACCATGATGTATAGGGTCCAGGACTCTGGTAAGAAGTCTCATGACAGCAATGAGCCAGATATAAAGGAGCTTTCGTTTACAGAGTTGAGAGATAAGCTACTTGCCCTCGATCCTCTCAATGACGTTCATGTTGCAAAAGTAAATCAAGCTGAGGCGGAGTTTTGGAAAAAATCAGAAGGATATAGAGTAGGGTGGAGTGATGAAATTCTGGGCTTTGACTGTGGTGGTCAACAATGGGTATCAGAATCTTGTTTTCCTGCTGGAACCCTCTCCAACCCTAGCATGAAAGACCTTGAATACATAGAAGAGCTGAAAAAACTAATAGAAAAGGAAGCAATACCAGCACCTTCTCCAATAGAGCAGCGATGGACGGCTCGAAGTAAGAGCCCCATTAGTCCTGCCTTCAGCACTGCAGAGGATGACATTTTCTCATGGGTAACTCTTGTTTGATGTCCTTTATTCTTCCATTTACTTGTCTTTGACTTTCATGAAAGTATAAAAAGATATTGGTGTCAGTCTTTAGGAAGCTTGTTTTGTGCCTCTCTGCCTTTGTGGTGGAGGAAACATTTGAAATATTGATGTTAAAATGTTCATAGACAAAGATGAATCCGGTAGAAATGATGCTACATACTGTACTCTTAGGGGCTGGATTGTTGTTTCACTTGGTAGATTTTTGCTGCTGGCCAATCTTGTTCCAACACCTGTTTGCCGGGTTTTTTCTCTTTTAATTGCTAGCCATATACACTTACAATATGCTACATGACATTTTGCCTCAGGTTGGTATAATCATGTACCTCCCGACAGCAGACCCTCGCCAGAGGAAGGACATCACAGATGAATTTTTCCACTATAGACATTTGACACAGAAACAATTGTGGGATCAATATTCTGCGTATGAACATTGGGCTAAAATTGAGGTAATTGTAGATTTTCCAATCTAAATATCGGATTCTTGTATCTTAACACACAGATACCATCATTTCCACTTAACTATGTCCTTCTGATTCACTCACCTTTATAGAATTTAGTATTTTAGTTAGATCCATAACTGTAACTAAACGGACAAAAAGTCTCTGTATCTTAATACATTTTTTCTGCTTGAACTATAATTGTCCTCATTGTGAAAAGTAAGCAGAGGAAATGAGAATATGTTGAGGTTACTATTTAGACAATTTCTAATGTTTTCTGTTTGATCTTTATATAATCAGATACCAAAAGATAAAGAGGAACTTGAAGCCTTACAAGCAAGAATCAGAAAACGTTTCCCAGTGGATAAATACAACAAAGCGCGCAGGGAGCTGGACCCAAATAGAATCCTCTCCAACAACATGGTGGAAAAGCTCTTCCCAGTCTCCACCACTGCTTAAAACATTTTCACCAATAGGTTATTTCCTCTTTTTGGGATCCTATGCATCTTTTTATTGCATCTATAAATGTCGTTAAGAAGAGGATAAAGAATGAGTGAAGCCAATATATTTGTCACAAAAACTGTACATTGAGAGTTTTACTACTCTTTTCACAATTCCTATGAATAAATTTTGATCTTCATGCGAAAAGCAAGAAGTAGGAAATCCACAACTCTGATTACTCAGCTGTCTATTCTAAGCTTACCATACCTACTACCTAGATAAGCAATAATAGTGGGGGATATAGGAATTTTATCAAATAAGATAAATACTGTATGTAACAGAGCATACGAGTACACTGTCTACACATTAGAAGGCAACGAAATCAAATCAAATCAATGAAATAATTAAACAAAGGGGAAAAAGTCTAATTTCAAACAAGAGAAGTAAAAAGACAGAAGCAAAGCTTGTGTTTGTTCTTCGGCTCTCAAATCCAAGCCTCCTTAGAAGAATCCCTCCTACCATTCACAATCTATCATCTCCTCTACTTTTGCTATCTACATTCATCATTGAGTTCTTCATGAGACCCCACCAAGAACTCTCTTCAGCTCGGATTTCTGTTCCCCTGTGAGCCTCGACGGGTATTTCACACTAAGCTTCAATTTCAGGTTGCCTTTTTTTCCGGGTTCTTTAGAGATTGGCATTCCTTCGTTTGGAACAACAATCTCATGATCAGGTTTGATGATCTCAGTTAATGGGATCATGAGAGTCCTTCCATCAAGCGTGATCAGGTTGACGGTCTTACCAGTTAAGGCTTCAAGTAAAGTTATCTCCTGATTAACCAAAAGGTCGTTTCCATCTCTCGTGTAAACAGGATGTGGCTTCTCTTCAACCACGAAAATAATATCTGCTGGTATGATTCCAGGCTCTTCATTGCCTTTCTTAGGGAATGTCAGCTTCGTACCTTTCTTCCAACCAGGTTTTATATCTATAGGCAATATCTCCTCTTTGACCGTCCTTCTTCTACAAGATCAAACAGCAACACAAATCATAACAGTATTAATAACCCTGCAAATTAAAAATCTTCAACACGTTTCAACCAATAGTAAACAAACATAAATTCATCTATCTATGCAGACATTGCCCACCAAGAACCCAAATCTCCCAATAAACGAGTATCCCAAACAATTCAAGGAAATGTCTCATCAAATACAAATCATCACCTAGATTGAAAAAGCTAAACATGCCATTTTTGTCATAAGCTTCATTCCTGAATTCCAACGAATAAAGTAGCCTTTTTTCTTTCCAACAACTTCAATTTGATCACGTAGAACAATAATTTCCAGAGAAGAGCTTCTCTTAGCCAAACCAATCACCAAATTTACCCATTTAGTCGTATACAATTGCAATGGCTAAAGGAAAGATTCTTCTAACTCTCAAAGAAGAAAACATACCCAGAAGCATCGTAGACATTTCTAGATAAACGCATCTTCTTCGTCACACCTTTATAAAGATCCTCTAAACTCACAGGTAATGGATTCTCCACAGCTGGAACTTTCCTCAACTCACCGCTATAACCATTAGCACCACCGGTGTTGAAATGACCATTCCTAAACGTTCTGTTTCCTCTCCCACCACCATTACCTCCTCCTCCATTTTCAGATCCAAAGATCTCAGCATAGATATCCTCCGCATTTCTAGGGTTAAAACGAAACGACGCAGCGTTAGGCGGATGCTGCGGCCTATGCTGATGAAAATGCGAATATCTCGAGGAAGAAGAAGAAGATGAAGAAGCCTCCGATGAAGAAGAATTAGGGATTTTGCCAGATTTGAGACCTTCCTCTCCGTAAAGATCGTAGATCTGACGTTTCTGAGGATCGGAAAGAACGTCGTAAGCTTCGGAGATCCGTTTGAATTTGGCTTCTGCTTCGTCTCGACGTGTCGATGGATTCTTATCGGGATGCCAAATCATGGCGAGACGCTTATAAGCTTTCTTGAGATCATCCTCCGTCGCGTTGTGGTTTACCTTGAGTATATTGTAGTAATCTACACCCATCTTAATCGCACAATGAATCAATCAGCTTCACGAATCTGAAGTTTTCGCCGGCGGTTGACGATGATTGGCCGTCGCCGGAGAAAAAGGGGGAAAATGTGAAACAGATGCGTGGAGACTAGGGAAGAGGGGAGGATGTTTCCACTTTCCACCGTTACGTTAAACAAAAAAAGTAATAATTATTTATTTAACCAAAAAAATTGTATCTGTTTTTGGCTTATGAAAATGTTCTGATTTTCTTACACTTTTGTATTTTTCATTCTTTATCTAATTTGGTCATAGAGCCTATTATAGTTTTTTCTCTTTCCATTTTCTTAATTATGTTTTCTAAATTTTTTTTGACAATATCATCATCATAATTAAAATTACAAAAAAAAATAGCATGATGCATATTTTATTTTATTTGGTCAAAGACATATTTGTAACATGTTTTAGAGCATCTCCAATGGGGGAGTTCTCTCCATGAGCTCTCTCAAATTTTTTATTATAAATTTTGAAAAAGTGTTAGATGAGAACCTATAAATTTTTTTTTTGATTTTTTTGTGTCCAATGGTAGGTTCTCTAGTGGGGTTTTTAAAAAAAAAAAATATCAAAAAATTGTATAACATAAAAATTGTATCACTAAAATAATCGTTCCATAAGCGGGTGTGTCCTTCTTCACGTTGTCTTTCAATATATGCTCGTTTCTTCTTTTTCGTGGTGCCTTCTTGCCGATCACCATAATCAACGAATTGATTCTCGAAGGTTTGATTGAGATATTCTCTAAAATATTCATCCATTGTATTGCCAAACGTATTACGGGAAGAACCGGCCATTTGGTGTGATAATTTTGATGTCTCCCAGAAAAAAAAAGAATTATTAGAGAACTAGGTTTTGTGGGAAATTACTGGAAAAAAAGGAAAAACAAGAAGAAGAATAGCAATGGTATTTAGGTGATCGTAAAACGTAGAAAAAACGAATAAGAAGAACAATGGAATTGTGTTTGTGTTGTAAATTTTGGTGTTCCTTGTAACAAGAAAAAAAAGAAGAACAATGGAATTTTGGTAAGACGTAGAGGAAGAAGAAGCACAATGGAATTGTGTGTTTGTGTGTTGTAATAATAAGAACTAGAATGTCGTTAACTCGTTATATATAGCAAAGCAAAATCATATGTAAAAGAAACACTTGTGGTGTCTTGCAGTCATTGCTTCTTTGTCTTCTTTTCACTTGTGACATATCCAGACGAAAGTAAAAGCATATGCAACAGGTCCATGACTTCTGACTTGTAAGAACTATGGTCGTAAACTGCCTTCAGTACTTGAACAGAAAGACTTGTGACCTATCAAGACAAAAGAAAAATTAACAACACAAGCAAAAACAACAAGACCAGACACAAACTGAAACATTCAAATGCAATAACAGAAACAAGTCACAAACCGAGACATTTATTCATGCTCTGACAGAAACAAGTCATACAAAACAATCAATGCATTTATCAAACAAAAGATACAATCAATGCAATAACAAAAGATGGAACCATACCTTCAATTATGTCACAGAAGCCTTCTTCTTTTGCAGTCTCCTTAAACGACCAGAGGATCCTTGCCATCTCCACTTACCTTCTCCAATAGTTGACACTTGACACTCAACAAAAAGAGAGAGAGAGAGAGAGAGAAAACACAATTAGCAAATACAATAACATTCAACTCACAAATTTATTCAATAAACACTAATATACTGATTTTAATGATTCAAAACAAGATAAAGATATCAAATTCCAAGTATGAATACAGAAATCTAGCTAATTCCGATAATACTTTATATTTGCTCAATAAAATCTAACAAAATCCCAAACTATTTACCAAAATCAAACAATATATTTCGAGATTTTTGCTCAATAATGCCTAAAAGGGAAGAACAGAGCATCCAATTCGATTGACAAGACAAAACCAAACTATAATTTTTTCCCCGAAACTATTAACCCTAAATCAAACAATCTATGACAAATTCATCAACAATCATCGAAACGGGCTAGATTCATACCTGGAAGAAGAAATTGGACCATCCTTCAACGAATCCTTCTTCTCCATCTCCAATCTTCGATTTGTTTTCACTCCATTCGCCGATGGTCTTTACCGTGAATCCAGCTGATGATTCCGGCGGCAGGTAAAAGAAACAAACCACGATTCCGGCGTCGAATCATCGGAATCTCACGAAGTCGCGATGATTTTGAGGTGTTCGTCAGTTTTCGCAATCGCCAGATGAACGCAACTTGTGTGTTTTTTTTTTGGTCGCGAGACAAGAGTAAAAAATGAGTGTTTTTTTTTTTTCTTTTGTTATAACTCTCCCTCCAATAAAACACTGACACGTGTCGGGTTCTCTCAAATTCTCAAACTTCTCTCAAGAGAATCGATTCTCTCATTTTAATTCAGTTTTGAATTATTTTTTTCCCAAAATCAGATGAGAACTCAACTAAATTTAGAAGAGAACCTCCCATTGGAGGTGCTCTTAGTACACCATTTATATATAGTAACCTCTTTAATTGGTCTCTCTGTACACCATTTATATATAGTAACCTCTTTAATTGGTCTCTCTCAATACTTTATACTATTTCCCTATTAAATACGGCTTTTATTGTAGTTCGCTTGACGCTTGAAAAAATCCGTCAAAGGTTGAAAAAGTGAAATTTAAAAAGAAAGAAATTGAGTCTTGTTGACTGCCACTACTAGTCACTAAACCTTGAGCGGGTTTTCTCATCTTCTACGCTTTGATTTCGTCGTCGTCCTCCCAACAAAGTTTGTTACGAAACGAAGACCACCGATTTCTTCTCTATTTCTCGGTACTTTCGTCGGAGTTTCTTTATTTTCCTTTTCGCCGGAGTTTTATCCGTTAAGCTTTCCGATTGTTCTTCCTTTGCCGTTTCCAAAATCTGGTTTCTGATCAATTTTTTTGTGTAATTTGAGATTTCCTTGTTGTTTCGCTTCTTGTTGTTGTTGCTTGAGTTCTATCACTATGCTTTCATGGCGAATTCTTAAATAATTTTTGCTGGTTTGTTATTTCTGTGCAGTGCGAAGACGACTATGGAGGACAATCGCGAGGTCCTCGAGGCTGTTTTGAAAGAAGCGGTGGATCTGGTACTCATCATTCTTTAATAGATTCGTGAATTTTTTGAGAGAAAATGGTGTGAGATTGTGTATAATTTCCAGGAAAATGTGCCAATTGAAGAAGTTTTTGAGAGTCTGAGAAGTAGCAAGGAAGGTCTCACTACACAAGCTGCTGATGACAGACTTGCTCTCTTTGGCCATAACAAGCTCGAAGAGAAAAAGGTTTCAAAGTTTGATATTCTGAGTTTTCTATTTGTATATTCTTCGAGATTCTTTATGTTTCTTGTTTGTTCCTGGTTTTATGCTCTCATTGGGAAATTTTTGGATTCTGAGGGTTTTTGCTCCTGAATGTGTTTTATGTATGTGCTGAAGTAGACATCCTCTTTTTTCTGTTGTGAAGGAAAGCAAATTCCTTAAGTTTTTAGGCTTTATGTGGAACCCTCTTTCCTGGGTGATGGAAGCTGCTGCTATCCTGGCTATTGCGCTTGCTAATGGAGGAGTGAGCCCTTATCTTAATTAAACCCTTCTTTAAAGCTTACTCTTACTTTGTGCTTGTTTTGATATCTTTATTTGGTTGTTGTTCTTATATATGTGTGTACCAGGGAAAACCTCCTGATTGGCAAGACTTCGTTGGTATTATCACTCTTCTTGTGATTAACTCCACCATCAGTTTCATCGAGGAGAACAATGCGGGAAACGCTGCAGCTGCTCTCATGGCCCGTCTTGCCCCAAAAGCAAAGGTTCACTATTCTTGCTTACTTTCATGGTTTCTAACAACTGTGTCTTTTATGTGTTTTGCTTTGCTGGATACTCATAACTCATTTGGTTAACCATTTGATTTTTATTTTGTTAAATGTATATATTTATCTTTTTTCTACATTACCGATGTGAAGGTTCTTCGAGATGGAAGGTGGGGTGAGCAGGATGCTGCAATTCTCGTTCCTGGTGATATAATCAGCATCAAGCTTGGGGATATCGTCCCAGCTGATGCACGCCTTCTCGAGGGTGATCCCCTTAAGATCGATCAGGTTTGAAACTGATCATCGTTAGTGTCAATCTTTAGTCACTTCGGATGTCTAGAGAATAGTGTCTGATTCTTTTAAGCTTTTGTTACTTACCAGATTATAGTTAATATACTGAAGCTTTTATGAAAACCTTTTGCTGTATAGTCTGCTCTTACTGGTGAATCTCTACCAGTAACTAAAGGTTCTGGAGATGGTGTCTACTCCGGTTCCACATGCAAACAAGGAGAGATCGAAGCAGTTGTTATCGCAACTGGTGTCCATACCTTTTTTGGGAAGGCTGCTCACCTTGTTGATACGACAAACCAAGTTGGTCATTTCCAACAGGCATGTGTTATTTCAATCTCTTAATTAGCGATTTTCGTCTAACACACCCACATATTCTCGTTTTTGAACTCAGCTTCAGCAATCATGGACTTTGTTCAGTTGGAACAACCTAATATTATTTTTGAATTTTATTCAATCATGTGCACAGGTTTTAACTGCAATTGGGAACTTTTGCATTTGCTCTATTGCTGTGGGGATGCTCATTGAGATTGTCGTGATGTACCCAATTCAACGCCGAGCATACCGCCCTGGGATTGATAACCTTCTTGTGCTTCTCATTGGTGGAATTCCAATTGCCATGCCTACAGTTCTCTCCGTGACCATGGCAATTGGCTCCCACAGACTATCTCAGCAGGGAGCTATCACTAAGAGAATGACGGCGATCGAGGAAATGGCTGGCATGGACGTTCTTTGCAGTGACAAGACGGGCACTCTGACATTGAATAAACTTACTGTTGACAAAAATCTGATCGAAGTTTTCATGAAAGGAGTGGATGCAGATACTGTTGTCCTGATGGCTGCTCGAGCCTCCAGACTAGAGAACCAAGATGCTATAGATGCTGCTATAGTCGGAATGCTGGCAGATCCTAAAGAAGTATTTGGTTTCACTGAACTGCATTCTAAGATTTATTAGCTTCCTTTGTTTTCTGTTTATTTCTCTGGCGCTTATGGTCAACCGTTTTCTGTAGGCACGAGCTGGTATCCAGGAGGTTCACTTCCTTCCTTTCAATCCTACTGATAAGAGAACGGCTCTGACATATATTGACAATGAGGGTAACACACATAGAGTGAGCAAAGGTGCTCCTGAGCAAGTAAGCTCTTTATAGCCAGTTATGCCTGTACTTTACTAATTTTCCATTTTTAGTTAGAGCATAGTCTGAACAGTTACCTTCTGTGAAAAATGTTTCAGATCTGAAATCTTGCTCACAATAGATCAGAGATTGAGCGGAGAGTTCATGCTGTTATTGATAAGTTCGCTGAAAGGGGTCTGCGATCTCTTGCTGTGGCTTACCAGGTCAATTGGAGATCAACTTTCCAAGATTCTTAAAATATTGAGCCACATAAATTTGATATAAAGTTCAAGGTTGAAAAGGTTTTGTACTTTTGCAGGATGTTCCTGAAGGGAGGAAAGATAGTGCTGGAGGTCCTTGGCAATTTGTGGGTCTCATGCCTCTTTTTGATCCGCCTAGGCATGACAGTGCTGAGACGATAAGAAGGGCTTTAAATCTTGGCGTGAGTGTTAAAATGATCACAGGTGAATATTTTTTTGTATCATTTGGTGAATTTCCATTTCATATTGATATTTCTATCTGATCCTTATTCATTTCTTGCCAAAATAAAATTTATCCTTGCTTCTCTATAGGGGATCAACTGGCTATAGGAAAAGAGACTGGGCGCCGCTTGGGGATGGGAACCAACATGTACCCGTCATCCGCTTTACTTGGACAGAATAAGGATGAGTCCATAGTTGCTTTACCTGTCGATGAGCTCATAGAGAAAGCTGATGGATTTGCGGGTGTCTTCCCTGGTAAATTTGTGTGCTTCTGAAACTAGTTCCAGCATACATAAACAGAATTTTATCACTTATGCACAATGGTTTTTGCAGAGCATAAATATGAGATAGTGAAGCGATTACAAGCCAGGAAACATATATGTGGAATGACAGGCGATGGTGTAAATGATGCGCCTGCTCTTAAAAAGGCTGACATCGGCATTGCAGTTGCTGATGCCACTGATGCAGCTCGTAGTGCATCGGATATTGTTCTTACTGAACCTGGTCTTAGCGTTATCATCAGTGCTGTTTTGACCAGTCGTGCTATCTTCCAGAGAATGAAAAATTATACTGTGAGTGCCACATTTCTTTGAGATCTCAAATCATTGAGGCATCATGTCAATTTTCTTTAAGTAACTTGTGTTGGTTTTCATGTTTTACTGGACAGATCTATGCAGTCTCCATCACAATCCGTATTGTTGTATGTTTCGATTCAGTTTGTTGGTTTTTCCTACTCATTTCTCTTTTACTGTTACCACTAATATTCTGACTGCTTTGTACTCTTTTGTCAATTCAGTTGGGCTTTATGCTTCTAGCTCTCATATGGCAGTTTGACTTCCCACCTTTCATGGTTCTTATCATTGCCATTCTTAATGATGGTTCGTTTCATATTTCCTCTTTTTCACAATCATATATAGACTTTTTGGGAGTTTTGTATTAGTTCCTCTGGACTCTGAATCTCTGATATATCAATGAACTCTTGTGGGATTGACTTTTAGGGACAATCATGACAATATCAAAGGACAGGGTAAAACCTTCTCCTCTTCCAGATAGCTGGAAGCTTTCTGAGATTTTTGCTACCGGTGTTGTCTTTGGGAGTTACATGGCCATGATGACCGTTATATTTTTCTGGGTTTCATACAAAACCGATTTCTTCCCGGTACATTATCTCTCCTCTCCGCCACTTGTGTTTATCTCGTTGGTTTGTTAATTCTTTCGCTAACAGCTAATCTCAGCTGAACGAGTATGTCTTCTTTCGGATATCTTAGCAATCAGGCTTTTCTTACTTGAAATTTCAGAGAACTTTTGGAGTTGCGACACTTGAGAAAACAGCACATGATGATTTCCGGAAGCTTGCCTCAGCCATATACCTGCAAGTCAGTATTATCAGTCAGGCGCTTATCTTTGTGACCCGATCGCGAAGCTGGTCTTTTGTGGAACGTCCCGGGATGTGGCTTGTGATTGCCTTTATCCTCGCTCAGTTGGTAAGTCCGGAACTTTGTTAACACAGATCAGGACACAATGCAGAACCTCAAAAGTTATGAGCTTTGGGTCTAATTTTGTGTATTTTTGTTTTGTTTCCAAAACAGGTGGCTACTTTAATTGCAGTCTATGCAAATTGGAGCTTTGCTGCGATAGAAGGAATTGGTTGGGGATGGGCTGGGGTCATTTGGCTTTATAACATCATATTCTATATCCCACTTGATTTCATCAAATTCTTAATCCGCTACACTCTTAGTGGCAGAGCCTGGGATCTTGTTATCGAACAAAGGGTATGTATCAGGAACACAAGTAGCTTTTGTGCCACTTTATGCATTAAAGTTTCTAATCGGTTTTCTTGCATTTCCATAGGTTGCGTTCACAAGGCAAAAGGATTTTGGGAAAGAACAAAGAGAGCTGCAATGGGCGCACGCACAGAGAACGCTCCATGGTCTACAGGCACCAGATACTAAGATGTTCACAGATCGAACCCATGTCAGTGAACTTAACCAAATGGCTGAAGAAGCCAAGAGGAGAGCTGAAATTGCTAGGTTAGTAACTCAAAGCCAAATCTTCTCCATCTTTTTGAACACAACAAAAGAACATTCTTTCATCGTCTTCTCTCTGTCTATTGCTCTCTGTTATATATAGGTTGCGGGAACTTCACACGCTCAAGGGCCATGTTGAATCAGTGGTGAGACTCAAAGGACTCGACATAGAAACCATTCAACAAGCTTACACTGTCTGAGAGACTGAGTGCAAGCTGATCTCAGTTGGGTAATGAGGTGTCTGTAGTTAATACATATTGCACGTAAATATCGAATCCTTGTAGCCTTCTTTTAGCGGTTTGTTCTGTCCTTTTGTGGTGAAAGACGAAACAGTTTGAAATTAGCAACAAAAATTTTATTTTACAATACATGTCTATAAAGATGAAGTGTTTCTTCTTCAATTAATCTATAAAGTACAACAAGATTGATTTCGGGTAAAGAAAAACTACAACAAGAAATAGGAGATTGAAGTAGAAGACCAAAAATATATAAGTTTCCAGATTAGACAGAGTTCTTGTCTTGTAGCTGCTGTTGCTTGGTCTCTTCTTCGTTGGTCTCAATCTCAGTGATGATTTCATCATTACCGCCTTTGTATCTATACCATTTCGCCATCAACAAGAAGTAAGCCATGTTAACAACCATGAGTCCTGTGAGCATGAAGTAGAAGTAATCCAATTTCGCTTCGTTCAGATCCTCAGCTAACCAATTCCCTGAAGGTGAATGCGCAGTTGATCGATGAACAGTTGAGATCAAGAAGCTAGCGAGGTAGCTCGAAACCCCTGCACCGACATAAAAGATAGAACCTGCGAAGCTCTTCATGTTTTCAGGAAACTGCTTGTAGTAAAACTCCATTTGTCCAATGGCAGCAAAAGCTTCTGCTATGCCTGCAAGTGTGAGCTGCGGAATCAGCCATAACGCTGACATTGAGGAGATTTCTCCTGTCCGAGGCGCCATCCCGAGTGTCGGTTTGGTCAGTGCAAAGGTTCTTCTCCTTTCCTCTATAAACCCGGAAACTAATAAACTCAGTATCGCAAATGTAAAGCCTGCTCCGATTCTTTGTAAGAGTGATATACCGGTTTCTATCCCGGTCACTCTTCTGAGCGACGGGACAAGTACACGGTCATAGAATATGATGAAAACTGTCATGCCAGTCATCAAGAACACTACATAGGTGGCCGCGGGAATCCTGAAGCCACCAGAACCTAATCGTCGGTCGCTCTGGATCGCTTGGAAGACCGGATAAGTCATTTGTATCGTTATTGCAAGGTAGTAAATCGTGGAAGCAAACCAGATTGGAATCACTCTAACAATGCATTTCACTTCTTCCACTTGCTGCAACGTGCATAGTTTCCATGGATCGGAAGCCGCTCCATCAGAGTTCAACTTCTCCTCGGGGGTCATAATTGCTGCTTTGTCTAGAAATCTGGCAACATAGCAACCCGACATTTTTCAGCAAAACAAAAGCCAGAAACATAAAGCAAGAGAACAAAGAACAAGAGATTTCGATTTACCTGAACTGGTCAGTGTATTTTAGAGTAGTATTAGGATAGTTAGGCGGAATGTGGTTGTAAAGATTGACCCAAGGCTGCTTAACCGGCTTCAATCCTCGTTTCTTGATTGCGGCTGCTATAACACGAGCAATACCAGCCAATGGACTACCCGAGGCTTTCACTTTTACATACAATTTATCGCCAGCAAAGAAGATCACACACGCCAAGAACATAAGAGACACTGGAATGATCAAACCGATCGTCCAACTCACATTTGACTGGATATACACAACTGCCGTGAGCGAGATGATCTGCGCGAACGTAAAAGTGAAGAAATACCAGTTGAAGAAACTGTTGATCCCTTTCTTTCCAGATTCGGTTTTGGGGTTGAACTGATCAGCACCAAACGCTAAATTACACGGTCTGATACCACCCGCACCTACCACAAGAAACCCTAAACCCATCAGCAGAAACAGTATCTGTCCCGCACTCGGCCCTTCGCACAAGCTTTTGTTTCCGCAAGCAATGGGGTGCAATGACGGAACTGCAGCAGTCAGTAGTATCACAACCGATCCCTACAGAGATGAAAATGGTTTAGCAAAAACGAAACGGGGTTGTTTTTAGTCATCAAAGATTAAACAATATAAGTAGTACCAGAAAACAAGCGATGACAGCGACACTGAGAGTCTTGTAGCGTCCAAAGTAAGTGTCGCAAAGAAAAGCAGCAATAAAAGTCCCGAAGTTGATTGTACCACTAAAGGCATTGATGATAGTTGCAGCTGTGTAGCTCTTAAGGTTGAATACAGAAGTTAGGTACACAAGAAGGTTTGATAATGTCCCTATGATCCCAAGCTTCTCAAATGTCTCATTACCTATACAATAGCACATAAATGATAAGAATACAGTTACAAAGTTTTTTCATTTAATGTACAACTCTGAAACCCAAAACACACAAACCAAAGATTGGACTTTCAATGTTCTGACTTTGGTTCACATGAAAACTTTATAACTGTTTTGTAACTCCCAGAAACTAATTTTGTCTTATCCAGAAATTCACAAAAATCTTCTCTTCTTTTTTCAGAAACTTAACTGCATGATTTAAAAGTCTTTCTTTTTTTTTGGGTAAAGATTTTAAAAGTCTCTTTGAAATTTTTTTTAAAAATAAATCTGTTAGATTATCTTGAGGAAATGACTCTTCAAGAAATCTCCATGAATAAGGGTTGATCTGGGTTTCAACCAAATCTCAGTTTTTGAACCAATTTCGTTTTTAAATCTCAAAGAAAGAATTTCAAATTCGAGATTTTTGACATAGTCAAGTCAAAGACAAGAGAAAAGAAACGAAATTTAAAAACAATCACGGACAAAATGTTCAATTTTCCTAAAATCCGACAAAGCACCCGAAAAAACAAAAGCTGTCTGAATTGGAGGAGAAATAAAAAAGCGTTACCAATGATAAAAGGCATGACTTTCCATCCTCTATAAACGATTTTTCTTTGCTCCTCCTCGACCTTCGAAGTCACACCATCAGAACCACCGCCATCGACGGCGGAGTAGGTGGTGGTCGTCGTTGATGGCTCAACCTCAAGAGGCTTTCTCTCCATAGTATCAATCTGTGTGTAATTATTGTTATTGTTCTTATCTCTTCTGTCTCTATGGTTAAGAATGACTCTGCTCTTCATGTCAAGCTTCTCCGCTCAATTATATATAGTGGTGAATCAAACGAGTGGATTTTGTCGGAATCTGGGTAAAGGGGGAAAAATGAAATAAAGAATGGTGTGAATTTGGCTGTGAAAGATAGAGACATCTGTCTGTGAGTGACTCATTTAATTATTACTTTAATTAATTTCCAAACGTTTCTTTTTAATTTCGTAAATATGTCTGTGAGAGAGAGTTGTGTGGGCTGAGTTAGTGCTGGATTTACGTAGGCCCAATTTTACACTCGCTCTCCCTTTATATTGACTTACTAGTCAATACATATACTGTTTCTAAAGTCAATTTTTTATTATTCTTTTTTAAAAATGAGATATATGTTTACATTACACCAAGTTATGATTTTAGATTTATGTAGTCAAATATTTTGATTGATTTTAGGGGGACTCACAAAAATGCCCCTTTTCTCATGCCCCTTTTCAAAAATGCCCCCTCCCTAATAGCTTCCCTGAAATTGACCATTTTACCCTTAATGAGGAACCAAATTGACCAATTGAGGAACCAAATTGACCACGACAAAATTGGGGAACGACGAAACAAAAATCTCGGCGGCTCTCGTCACCTTCACAGCCGACGAAGAAAAGGTGATGAGATCTTAGATCCGTCGAGTATCTTCATCTTAGATCCGTCGATATCTTCATCTTAGATCCGTCGAGTTCAATCGAGTTCAATCGACGAGGATCAATCGAGTCTGTAATCAAAAATCTGTGACTCATCCCAATCTGCATCAATTAGGTTCGAATCGCTTCTGAAATCTGAACCGTTTAGATCCAAAAGTTCATCGAATTCGTCTTCAAATCTGAATTGATTAATTAAGAGCTTCGATTCTGTGTTTATCTATTTTCTCGAATTTGTCTTGCTTGAAAATTATAATTCGTGTTACCTTTAAAAACTTTCTAAAACCATTGTAAAAATTTCTTCTTCATCTTCTCACTGTATTTATGTTATTCAGTAACTATTGTACACTATTAGTGAAATAATTTTGATTTACCATGTTTTTTGTGAAGATTGTAAACCTTTAAAAAATATTGTAAAACCATGATGAACTTTATAAATACCTTGTGAACTATCATAAAGATACATATGTTTAACATTATAATACATTGTCTTTTTTATCAGGTCGTAATGATTGAGTTGAATTGCATATCTGGTGTTTGGAAATTGAAAAATAACAATTGTTGGGATTTTAAATTTGATGTTGAAAGAGGAGGGTCTCTTACTTTTATCAATGAGGATATGTGTTTCACTGATTTGTGTGCTGTTGTTATAGAAGATTTTGGAATTGATGTCGGTATTAATATAGTGAATCAACACGTGTTTGAAGTGAAAGGAGGTACGTTGGTTCATGTTGTGAATTTGGAAACAAGAGACTGCACGTGCTGTGTGTTCAATATCACGAAAATCCCGTGTGCTCATGCAATAGCGGCTGCAAAACATATTAATCTTAACGAATATGATTATGTTGATACCTTATACTCCAACAAAAGGTATGTCATATTCTAACTTTACAGGTATGTTACTATATAAAACAAGTTATAAAACTGTATTTTTAAAATTTTTATAACCATTAAAAAACCTTGTAAATCAATTTCTTATCAAAACCATTAAAAAACCTTGTAAAATATTATAATAACATTGTGAAACCCTTATCATGTCTTGTAAAAACTTGTTCAACCTCTAAAAACCTTGTAAGACCTAAAAAAACCTTCTGATTGTCTTGCAAACCTTTAAAAACTCTTACAATTTTTTAAAATTACATCTTTGTTTGACAGGTGGACGCTAGCATATTCAGAGAGTATATATCCCGTTGGTGATAGGACACAATGGGAGATTCCAGCCGATGTTGCTGCTTTTGTTTGTCGACCACCATCTTCTCGTGTTCCTAGTGGCAGGCCTAAGAAAAAGAGAATACCTAGTGGATGGGAGTATGGAAAATCTGCAACAAATTACAAATGTCGTCGGTGTGGTCAAAATGGACACAACAAAAGTAGTTGTGTGGCTCCAATATAGTTTTATTTTATTTTATTACATAACATATTAAGTATTTTGTGACTTTTTTAAAAAATATTATTGAAAAACTTTCATAACTTGTTATAAAACCTTTTTTACGTTTATTCTTGGAGAAAGGTGTTACTAGGTTTTCAAAAAGTTGTTACACTTGTAAGATCTATATAAAATCTTTTTAAAACCCTTTAAAACACTTTAAAAAACCTTGTAAAACCTTATAAAACTCTTGTAAAAACCTTTTAACCTACAAAAAGCCTTGTAAAACACTTTAAAAACACTTTTTAACCTCTTTTAAAACCATCATAAAACCCTTGTAAAAACGTATTAACCTATAAAAACCCTTGTAAAACCCTTATAAAACCCTTTAAAAAACTTTAAAAACCATTGTAAAAACCTTAAAACCTCCTTATAGAAATAACATCATAAATCTTTTAAAGCCTTGTAAAACCCTTATAAAACACTTGTATTAACCTATAAAAACTCTTGTAAAAACCTTTTAACCTACAAAAACCCTTGTAAAACCCTTTAAAACACTTTAAAACCTCTTGTAAAACCCTTGTAAAACAGTTTTATTTTATTTTATTACATAACATATTAAGTATTTTGTGACTTTTTTAAAAAATATTATTGAAAAACTTTCATAACTTGTTATAAAACCTTTTTTACGTTTATTCTTGGAGAAAGGTGTTACTAGGTTTTCAAAAAGTTGTTACACTTGTAAGATCTATATAAAATCTTTTTAAAACCCTTGTAAAACCCTTTAAAACACTTTAAAAAACCTTGTAAAACCTTATAAAACTCTTGTAAAAACCTTTTAACCTACAAAAAGCCTTGTAAAACACTTTAAAAACACTTTTTAACCTCTTTTAAAACCATCATAAAACCCTTGTAAAAACGTATTAACCTATAAAAACTCTTGTAAAACCCTTATAAAACCCTTTAAAAAACTTTAAAAACCATTGTAAAAACCTTAAAACCTCCTTATAGAAATAACATCATAAATCTTTTAAAGCCTTGTAAAACCCTTATAAAACACTTGTATTAACCTATAAAAACTCTTGTAAAAACCTTTTAACCTACAAAAACCCTTGTAAAACCCTTTAAAACACTTTAAAACCTCTTGTAAAACCCTTATAAAAATCTTGTAAAAACGTATTAACCTATAAAAACCCTTGTAAAACCCTTTATAACAATTTGAAACAAGCTGGATATAAATTGCAATAGTTAACAATATTCTTCATCTAATAAACTGTTCCATAAACACATTCGTTATCACTGTTTTACAAAATAACATACTGGTTTAAAAAGATAACTACAATAAGAAAGGAACTTATGTTAACTACATTCTTTCACACTTGCTTTTTCTTGATGTAGATATCCCATTCATGCTGCAAAATAAGTTAATAAAAAAACAATAAGAAACGATTCAACATAAAAAAAATGTTTTCGCATTTATTTTGAAAAACTGTTTTAAACTAACCTTTATTACGCTGAAAAGTCTTGTTGCCAGATACTTCTGTTGAATAACAACAGCTCCAATGTTTGGTTCAAACCCGGGATTATATATACGGGGCGGTAGGTTAAGCACATCCAATGAGTCATTGTTAGACATCTGCGTAAAAACCAAGCATAAAAACCATATCAAGAATGTAAAACATTTAAAACGGTTGTAAAAATACAGCAAAGGAATAATTCAGCATTTAAGACCTTTTTAAAACGGTTGTAAATTACAGCAAATGAATAATTCAGCATTAAGAACGAACCTTTAAAAAATGTTGTAAAATCCACAGTTAACGGTTATAAAATCAAGAAATGGAATAAATCAGAGAGGATATACCCTAAATCAAGCATTAAGAAGCATTTACAAGTTAAGAACGAACCTTTAAAAATGTTGTAAAATCTACAGTTCAAAATCAAGCAGTCAAATCAAGCGTTATCAGTCAATAATGAGATCAAAAAAGCTTCAAAAAGACAAAACTTTCACAGAAACACAGAATCTAACCACAGAATCAAACCACAGAATCTAACTTCAAAAAGACAAACCTTTCAAAAAAGCTTCTAAAACATAGTGAGGAATCTAACCTGGAATCGATGTGGGACAGATCGAAATAAAACACAGACAGAGACGGAGACGCTGAGAAATCAAAATCGAACAAAAAGATGTTAACGCCGATCGAAATCGAACAGATCGAAATCGAACAGATCAAATCGAAAACGAACAACGAGATTTTACCACCGATAGAAAGCGAAATCGAAAGGAGACGCCGATTTGATATCGGAATCGAGATCGGAAAAAGAGAAAGAGAGAAATTTCTATCAAATTTGGTTCGTCGCCGTTCGAAGTGAGAGAAAGAGAGAGAATGGTTGATAGAACCGTGCAGATCTTAGGTTATGAAAGCAAGGGTACTTTGGTCATATTTGAATTAATTAAGGGGTATTTTTAAAAATGGCAAGCAAAAAGGGGCAATGTTAAAAAAGGGTGTGTGAAACAGGGCATTATTAACAATTTCTCTTGATTTTATTAAATTTTTCAGATCTATCTTATTTTATTTTAGTTTTCATTTTTTTCTATTCTTATAATCTAGTACTCCCTAATCTCTATGTCACTCTCGTTCACAAAATGTCATTTTGACGTATTTATAATCATAAAAAAAAAAATTGTGATATAAAAATAAAACTTTAAAACGATACTCTTTGTAAAACGGAAAAAACATTTCTAAATGTTATTTTTGAAATCTTAGATGATGTAATTATCATGTTCTTTTGAAGTATTCTAAACTATATATGTCATTGAAATAATTTATACTACATAGTTTCAATAAGATAATTAAAAAATTCAAAGACTCAAAGACTCAATTTTCTTTCTTTCCCAAAATTCAAGATTCTTTTGCTAGAATTGTTTTTAAGTTTGAAAATAACATATCAAAATTAGGAATTTACTGAGGCTTTTTGTTATCTCTGACTTTACTTTGACAAAAAAATAATATCAAAATTAGGAATCTAATTTAGATTTTTATAAACTAAAATAAATTC